TTCTAGCCCCAAGCTACGGGTTCCAGAATGTCGGCGACCAAACACACAAGTGCAAATGACATGCTGGCCCGAGGCACGGAAAAGGACGCAGAAGCTCAGCAGACCATCGGGCTTTGGACTTCCGTCATCCGCACCCGATGCGCCTTTGGTCATCAATCCAATTCTCCCTCCAGAGAGACGATCATTCCTTGCGGTTCACCGACGCTTCCAAAATATCTTACCTGGCGATCAGGGGAATCGTCTCAGCATCAGTTCACGAGCCCTTTTTGCTGCCGGACACTCATCTTCACAAATGCCCAACAATACCGGCTGTCTTCCAGAGGCCATACAGGAAATACAGGCTGCTTTGCTGGTATTGGCCAGAACAACACCACCTAGCATCAAGCCTGCTCAAGAAAACTCACATGGACGCGGATAACTGAGAATCGCAATACTCCGTACTTCGTATGAGGCTCTGGTTTGCTTGAATACGGCAACAGCTGCCTTTGATCCAGACCGACGGTACATACAGGTAGATTGGCCTTCATGGGAGCCCTGACTCATCAGACACAAAGAACCTTGCCTTCACATGGCCGCACGTTGTCATCAGTGCCAACCCACCCCTAATGCAACACAGCCTCGAGGAATTGGTGATTCGCGCGCTTGCCCTTAGCAAACTGGAGATCGATCATTGCCTATTTGGTTTACTCGTGTCGACTCCTACTTAACCAAACAGCCAAATTCGAATACATACAGTGTTTCATGCAGACGGCCTCGTCCTATCCACCTACGTTCCTACATACACCACTCCGATGTGGGATGCCTTGCAGAGATACCACATGTATGCGCCTACAAGGTCGCTTCAGCACTTTCTCATCACTGCATGCTGTGACTGGCGGTGTGAATTACAAACGAGAGCTCGATTCCACGTTTGAATCCTAGGCTGCACTTCGTACCTGTACGCCCGCACATCGTGTACCAAATCTGTTTGACCCCAGGATGAGGACGGGGATATTCGTGGCAATATTGACCTCAACGCATCACTGCGGCCGTCGCTCTCGACGCAGGTGGGCTCTTGGCTCTGAAATCGAGTCTATTGTCAGGGTGCTGCCGCTCATAGGAGTTGAACAAGTACAGAGTTCCCCGGCCGTTTGGACAAATCGGGCAATGTCGTCTCGATGCAGATGCTCGGCTATGCTGCCGTCTGCGAGGTTCTGAAACCAGCGAACGTTTCCGGCCTTTCTCTCGGCCGGAATACACTTTTGAAGCTCAGCGACCGGAGGCCAGGAATTTCGGCGAATCAACCGTGACAAATTCCATATTGATCTCAGTTGCAATTACATTTTTGCGGCGATACAACAACCTGGCACCGAGCGGGAACACGACTGTTTTCGCCCAATGACAGAGATTCCAGACAATTTCAGATTGGCTTGAATCGCTCAAAATCTCTCTCCGTGACAGGCTGGGCGATAGGGCAGTCTCAACAGCTATGAACTTGTATTATCCCTAGGCGTTGAGCTTGCATGGCATTGTCGCACACCACCAGAGCTAAGCTAAGACATATGAGTACTTCTGCACTTCGTGCAAACACACATGGCATAGTCTTAGTACTATTGCGCATCTAAGGCTGGAGGTTTGGGACGATGCAAACCGGAGCCCATGTGGACTGCAGAGAACAGTCCTTCGATTAACACGGATTCAGGAGCCTACGGAACATATATCTACTTCCCCAATACCGAGATAGCTTGGGGGAAGGACCTAGCAGCCACAAGCTATACTCTTGTCGACGACAGCTGGCTGAGGTGAACGAAGAACAAAATCCAAGGGCGATGATGTGACTCTGATCTCAAGCCTGAATCAGACAATCGCGACGAACAAGTTCAAGAAAGGAACCCTGGTGAAACGATGGCTTGCGGCCACGCTCTGCAAAGCGCGCTGTCAGACAAGCAAATGTCATTTCACAGCAGGCGAGGAAACCCTGGAATGGTTTGATCTGATGGAATGCATCTTATCATAGTGTACGGGATACCACCTGGGCATGATACCGTATTCCGTCCGGGTTGTTCCAGGCCTCGCATCTCAGCTAACCTTTGTTTCGATGGCCAACCTTCAAACAATTGGCGACTGGGATATAGACGAAATGCGGTCTAGGAGTCTTGCCGGGGAAGAAGAGCGACCCGCAAACACTCACCGGATCTTGAGACGAACCATCCGCGAAGATGGGGACACCAACGGAGCTGAATCCTACCAAGATGGGGCGTGGTGGTGCGGGTATATCGGGGCTGGTCCTTTGGACTTCATACGGAGTCGTTCACTTGATCAACACCGCGAGGTCAGATTGTGAGGTGGTACTCCACACTGCTGCCAGAAAGCCAGCAAGTATACAAGTATGTTGGTATGCTATTATTATCCTCTGTTTACACTACCTGCCTTGCGATATGATGAGGCTGAGATCATGCCTGAACCAAGCCAACAGAGGCGACGAGCCATGCAGATATATCACCATGCGAAGAGGCTGAACACTCCGGAAGGCATGCTGCTTAAGAGAGCAGGACTGCCACACACGGTCAAACTTGGTCAGGGGGCCAAGGTTGGGTGCTTCTGCGATTGATGCAATGTGGAGGACTACTCAGAAGCGACGGCCACATGGGAGACCCCTGACCAGCTCCAGAATCCGGAATATACCCGTAGGTTGTTGCGGGCTGTTGGATGAGCTAAACACGGCACTAACACAGTTCATCTCCCTACTTCGGCTCAATCTTGCGGGAAGCGTTACTACTTGGTCCGGCCCCTGTTGGCAGCCTCTATCTCTCCTCTTCCCGGGTTCTTATGTTTCTCGAAGGCCTCTAGACACCGACTTGCGAAGTAGTACTAGTGGCTTCTCACTAGGTCCGGATTTGCACCATGCACTACGAGTATGTCATCACGGTCAGAGAGCTCAAGAGATGAGAGTGTGAGAGTCAGTCTATCATCTTGCTGATGTGCTTGGCAGGGAGGCAGCAGCCCGACTGGGTGCACATTCTACCTCCTGAGCTTGCTCTGCCTGGCTCTGATGTGAGAGGCGGCCGCAAGATCACCATGATTGGCCAAGAATACGGGGTAAAATGCCCAATGGATGAGCAGTGAGCGCTCCACAAATGCAGGTACGGAACGCAGGATACGTACTGCCTAGGTATGTACGAGAAGGTGGAAGTACCGTGGGATGCGAGTAAGATGGCCCGCTTCCAGGGACCCGAACCAAAGAGTTGGTCGGATCCATTGTGTACAAGTCAAGAGGCACTACAGAGTACAGAGTGCGAGTTAAGATTGAACCCGTCATGGGTTTGTTCAGCTTTCGGAGAGGAGAGGAGAAGCCGGCACCGTGCTGAGGAGGGGAGCTGGATCAGGGCGCTGCTCGGCATGGCGAGTGTCGTCCGCAATAGCCCCAAAGCGATCTATATACAACCTGGACCCTTGACTCAAGCGGAAAGCTTCGCGTGGGATTGACCAACAAAACAACCAAAGTTCTCTATCGAGCGGCAACAGTGGGAGCGAAAGCAACCTGGTCCATGCTGCTCCGTGGAGCTGCCATCTACTACATATTGCTTGCACTCTCAGATTCACCGCGCAGAAAGGATCATATGGAGTATTAGCCGGGCATCGTCCACAGCAACGAGCCGTTCGAGGCAACTTTCCCGGCCGAATACATGGATACATGCATGTTGTCTGTATATCCGACTTTGGTCAGGGATATCGCGAGGAAAACGAGCCGCGCAGAATCATCGACCAACACACGTCTTGAAGGAGGTTTTGTGCCCGCACGGCGCCGGTGGCCGATACTATTTCTTCGGCAGCATGGCCGACTTGGTCCTAGTCTCCTGTGGTTGCTGCAGCGGAGAAAAAAAAGGCTCGCCGGCGTGGCGTTCGTGAGTGGCGTGGTGATCCTTGAAAGAAAGAGATGCCCACTCTCGGGAGGGGGGACGTTGGCGGAGGAGGGCGCGAGCGCGGCCCATAACGCCGATTGCACTGGAGTTCTGTTTGTGTGTCATCTCTTCGGGTGGAAATGGTTCATTGCCGATCGTGGAGCTACGGGAGACGGCGTTTTACCAGACAAGGCGTTCCAGTGGAGGGCTCCTTTTTTAGGCTTCTGTGCCGTCAAGGCCTTGGTGCTCCCCAAGCAAAGCGGTTCTGGCAGGTTTTCGAAATTACAACACCTTGATGCCCTACCTAGCTGCTAGCCCGCAGCAGCACTGGTGCGGCGTGGCGTCGACAGCGGCGTTCCTCCGAACGCGTGCGTGCTAGAAGACGGGAGTGGGATGAAGACAGAAGTGGGATGCGATGGTGTTGTCCCTCCCAGTTCGTGGAAAAAAAACGAGGCGGCGCTTTTCTAGAAGGCTTCTAGGCCATCGAGCATGAAAGAGCGCAATGTGCGTGAAATGAGGTTAATTCACAGCCGCGCCGGGAGGCGTTCGTCGTGGCGGGTGCAAGATCCGGCCACGGTGTGCGTGCTACAGAACTTTAGGGGGGTGGGAGAGATATGGGGAGGGGGATGGCATGGCATGGTCCCGTTGCCAGCGTTGCATCGTGTGTTCGGCTTGGCTGCAGCGACTTCTCGAATCGATGCGGTTGTCCGGGCCGGTGGTGTTGGGTCGTTGCAATGACGGTCAGGATATCTTCAACATCACCAACTCTGTCTCTACACACGAGTCAAGCAAAGATTACACGCAGCCTTACCTGACGAAGTCACTCGATCAAAGGTGGGAAGGGGCAAAAGAAGTTGGACATCTGCGGTCGTATTGATTATCAAGCACCAGCTTTTTCCCTTGTCTCAGGGCCCATCCCAGCATATTGCTTGCCTCCATCATGATGCTACTGTGCGTTGTGTGTCGACGAGGCTTTCTTGCATATTGTTGTTGTGGTGGTGGTGGTGGTGTTGGTTGTCGTTGTGGTGGTGGTCGTTGTTGGTTATGGTGATATTGGTGTTGATGGTGTTGGTGTTGCTATTCACTTCATTTCATTTCATCTCATCTCAAGCTCCTTTCTCACTGGATTCCGCCAAGCACTTCGGACGAATTTACGCTCAGCTGCACGCAGGCCGCGTCGGCGAGAACGACAGCGATGGGCTTCTCCAGCGCAATCTTGATGGGCCAGCCCTTTCTAATCATGGAACCAGCCTGAGACGAGTGCAGATAGCTGGCGAGGCGGAAGGCCAGAGTGTTGGCCAACGCCTCAAGTGTCTCGAATGTGGATTTGCTCATGACCTGCTGACCGTCAGTATCCAGGGCTGCTGCTGCTGCTGCTGCTCGCTGCATTCAGCTTTGGAAAGCCCATGTGGCTTGTCTGTGAACTCACCTCGACTGCCTCCGCCTCAATCATTGTGAAGACATCCTCGTCGATGTTGAACTTGTCGATCTCAATGGTCGCAACGACGACCTGCTTGGCCTTTCTCTCGTTGTCGTTGACGCCGATGAGAGTGGGAACTCTGAGGTCGTGGATCTTGAGGCTCATGCCCCTGGGCTGAGGCCGTGACTCGCCGTCGCGTCCAAAGAGTGCTATTCTGGTGAGGCTAACGCCGCCTCCGAGCAGAGAGGCCTTGGGAAGATGGACTGTGAGCTCGAGACATCGGATCGTCGACGGCTTCAAAAACGAGGCATTGGTCTCCGGCTCCTCCTCTGTGACCTTGGACCTCCCGTTGCCGTCCTGGCCGGTGAGATCGTTCCAGATTGTGTTGACGACGTCCCGCAGACTTGAGGACTGACTTGTGCCAGCCGCGCTGGCGAGTTTCTGTGCATCCAGATGCTGCTGCTGCTGTGACTCGAGCGAGGCCAGTATCGCCTTGCTGAGGAGTCCGTAGTGGACGGTGTCGGACTCGACTCTGTCGGCGGAGGACGATGTGTCGAAGGCCTCCTTGAGCATGACGGAGGCCGACACGCACAGCGGCTGCGGCCTTCCTTTCCTGTTCCAGGCGTCGGACGGTCCCGCGATGGACGTCTGAAGATTGCGCACCCGCACCACGGCGGGAGGCTGGCCCGCCAGAAAGCGGACTCGCCAGTTGGGCTCCAGGTCTGCCATTGTCTCTCGTCCCCCGGGGATCGACACGCGGCTCAGATCTGGGGTAGCAGCAGCTGATGAGCGGGCGTCGATTGAGATCGGAAACAGGGAAAAAAAAAGAAAAACAAGGCCCTTCCGTTTTTGGTGACCTTTGGGCCGCAACAGCACTTGCGCAGGGCTGCAAATCAGGGTTTTTGCCGGGCGCCTGACGTTTATTCCCTTTTTTCCACCCCACGTTTGGATGCCTCTGATTGCCTCGGTAAGATCGGAGCGTTGCTGGATCCCACCAAAGCTTCTTTTGTTCGGGATGTCGTGGAGGAGAGGGAAAGGAACCCTTTCAGCTCGGTTTCCCTGATCCAGGCCGATATGATGGTCTCCTTTTTACTCGTTCTTTCGAGGAACCAAAGCGGTATGTCTGATCGGCTGTTATGAGACGGTGAGGGAAAGAGGGAAAAGGTTCCCTACCTGGGAAAAGCGAAGGCGGGGTTGGTTCAACAAAAAAAAGGGCTGTGCCACCAAATAGAGTGTGATTGTGAGTATGAGTGTTTGAGTGAGAGTGAGCAAGCCAATGCAAGGGAGGGAAAAGTATCCAAGCTCGGGCAGTTTGAGAGCAAGACATGCCTTATCGGAAGCTTTGAGAGGTATTGTTTCCGTCTGATGTTGATTTTCCTGCCGTCAGTATCTCTGTTGCACAGCTTGAACTGACTCTCTGCTCTTTTTGGGGCGATGTGCAGCTTGTTTCAAAGGGACTTGTTCACACTGTCAGCACTTTTCTCTTTTCACTTTTTCTTCTGGGTTACCCTGCAGGGTTTGGGGGTCTTTCAGAAAGCGGCATCAATCGGGCTGGGAACACACAACGATATTGACACAAACTGCTAGCTGACAACAAATTATATGCAGATCTAACGAAGCCGAATCCATCAGAATAAAGCACAGAGTCCCGCTGTGTGCCATATCTATGCGGTCTATACCTTTGACGCCATTCAATCTACATCTACCGTCTATTTGTGGCTCCAATCATAATCCTCTATACAGTAAACGAAGGACATGAAAACTCCAATCTACCAAGGCTCTATAACGCATCAAATCATTAAGAGAGAAAGAAAAAAAAGAAGAAGAAAAAGAAGTCATTTCATCCATCATAACAGTCCAAGCCAAGTTCATCAGATATCGGCCTTGTCGCACTGAGGCACATCACCATTGGTGACCTCTTTGATGAAGGCGGGATCCGGGTTGAAGAGCATAACGTGGAAGTGCTCCACGGCATGGATCGACTTGAGAGCAGCCCAGTTCTTGAACCACATGACCTACAAGACGACCAAGTCAGCCTCAAGAGATGCTTGACGGGAATCATGAAACAAAGGGGGTAAGGATTCACTCACCTGGTTGTCGGGCATGCGGGACCGAAACTTGAGCGTCACAAAATCATCAATCTCTTTCCTCGCCTTGTCCGTCAAATCGCCCGTCGCCGAACTCGCCTTGAGCTCAAACTTTGTCCAGACAACCAAATGCACGATCCTCGAATCCAGGCCATACGGCCAATCATTGAAGAGGATCTTGACGTCGTCCTCGTACTGGAAGGGCGCGCCCCTGGGCACGACGGGCGCGTCCCAGCGCAGGCGCTCCCGGAGGACAAAGTCGGCGACGCTGCCGTGGGTGCGGGCGAGGCGGTAGGTGAAGGCCTTGTAGCGGCGGAGGTGCGAGGGCACGCGCTGGAAGCGCTCGAGGGCGTTTGTGCGGATGAGGTGGCAGACCTCGTCCCAGGACTGGGGGCGGTAGTCGGCGTCCGGGGTGGAGACGGTGCGGAGGTCCTTTGGGTTGAGGTTGAGGAGGTAGGGCGGGCACTGCGGGGTGCGGGCGTGCTCGGGGACGTTGATGTGCCAGTAGGGGAGGGGGAGGGTGATTGTGACGCTGAGGGAGCCCATCGTTGTGTGGTGGTTTGAGGCTGGTAAGTAATGGTTGGTGGTTGAGGTTGAGTTTGGCTGAAATGGAGGGAGGTGAGGCTGGAGGCGAGATGGGCCGGGGCGGATGTCGGGGGGGTTCCGGGACCGGAACGGGGGGGTTGCCACCGAGGTTAGATGTCGAGATGGGAGTTCACAAGAGGTTGAGTACGAGTATCAGCAGTGTGTCTGAGACTCACCGGAGTTTGAAGTCGAGGAGGGCAAACTCGGGGGATACATGGCGATATAAGAGGAGAAGCAACAGTCCAAGTGGTATCAGTATCTCACATCAGACCCAAGCTGCAACAATACAATAGACTCCACCGGCCTGCTACTACAGAATGGAAGCTCCGGAAGTGGCCATCGCGGGCCAAATGACGCCCTGCCGCTGCGTTCTAGGCCGAAAAGATGGAGCGACTTTGACTCAGAATGAATTACTCTGGGAGTTTATCTTTCATCCTTTGGCTGCTATCTCTGACATGTGCGGGATGGTATCGTCACCTCTGGGCAGATGCAACGTTGTGTGTGGTGGAAAAAGGCTCGGATCATTTGAGGCCGGAAAGGCACTCGAAACGCGGCTTTGGGGCCCGCCATTCAAGAGGCGGCGTGGCGGCACGGGCGACGTGATAGGCAAATACATACTCGTAGGGCACTGGGAGGCAGTTGGCTTCTTCAGTGGTTGCAGCGCTGGAGGCCCGCTGGAACTTGCATTCCTTCAGTGGCGTTGGTCTCAATCCATCAATTGCCCGATGACTCGCTGATCGAGTTTTGACTTGTGGGCCTGGAGAGGTTTCATCTTCAAATTTTGTCCGGGCACGGGAGCCTACTTGTACATATCTATGGAGACTTTGAAGATCAAGAGCCGCATGGAATGGCGGCGATGGAAGAAAGGGATTGATGGTCCAAGAAGGGAGAGAGGCAGCGGGTGGTTCAAGTAGTTTTCTTGACTTCCCCGGTCAGGAGAGAATCCGTTTCGAGACTGGCGTTGAAGCGTTCGGTCTGAAGCCATACGGAGAGCGCAGAAAAGAGGGCGGGAAATTATCGTCATTTCTCATGCGGTGGACCAGCGCCTGACCTGACCTGCCGTGGGCGAAACGGTGGCAGTAGCATGTATGTGATGGGTTGATGCTTTTGTTTGCTTTTTCCCTTCTGGGTTCGTGTTCTACTGGGCTTCTAGACTTTTGTGCTAGTAACTGGTATGGACGAAACACTGCCACTATCATCAAGATGACTCCGAGCAATGCCGACGCTCTCCCTTTCACCCCGCGTGTTTGGGGCCAGTATATTGAGCCCCGAGCCTGAGCCTACCGGGCCGTTGATATAGTAATAGCAGCAAGAGGAGGTGCCCGGATAACGGAGCGTCGCATTGGAGTTGCAACGGCCAAATGTGTCGGTGCCTAACCTCGATCCAGTTTTCAGTCGTGAGCGTTTTTTTTTTTTTTTTTTTTTTTTTTCTTCTCTCTGGCTGCAGTAGATTGTAGGATTCATCAGTCACAACAGTTAATTTATGAAGTTCTGCAGATTGGGGAAATAGACGAAAGAGAGAGTGAGAAGGCAAGTGGACGAAATGAAAGAAATCAGCTGTTTTCTCCGGCTGAGGTGCTGCTGCAAGTGCGTTGGCTGACGATTGGGTTTGGCATCTGATGCATCGTCTCCGCTGGACGGGAGGCCATCCGGGTGACTTGTCCCGAGCAGAGGGCCGGCAGTTGGTAATAGTAGGTAGTGTCCGACTAGGTAGTAGTAGTAGCAGCTGATAGGAGGCAGAAACAACCATAAGTGTCCAGGTCGGTAAGTAAGATATGAAAAGGGACAGGTCACTCCTGAGCATGATAGCTGGCTTTTGGTGCTCCAGCTTAACACGATTCCGTTCTTGCAGCTTGATAGGTACTTCAGGTAGCAATTCACATGCTCTAGACAACAAACTTGTTCGTCAAAAATCCAGAGCTTCAATCAAGAGGGAATAATCGAGGGATTTTTGCCCGCCTGAGGGAATTGCCTTGTTGTGTGTGAGGGCTGGCAAGTTTAGGCACGCAAGCTGGCAGTCTTCTTGGGCAGCATGCCTCTGCAGAGAAATCGCATCTGGGCGCCGATGCATATCGGCATGCATACATGAGAGGTGATGAAGGAGTTGGCGGTGGATGGCGACATGTCGGCCACTGGAGTTGCCATACCAAAGCCGATGCAATAACATGTACATATCCTGTCATACCGGTACGGAAAAGAGGGATAAAAAGTATTTCTCTCATGTTGATTCACCTTTCTAGTTTCCTTGTCGACTTCATGTCTCTATTTTTGGCCTTCCACTCCATCACATCACACACACACAGTCTCGCAATTCTCCGCCTCGTCTTCACCCAAAGGCTGCAGCGTGGGATTCTGTTGGGACCCGATTGGCACGTCTTGACGAATTACCTTGGCACAACGGGAGGGACATGAACACCACCATCAAACCCGCATCAACACACAATTGGCCAGCTTGGTGAATAAGCTTGGGCCGTGAATCAGGCAAACAAGGAAAAGGTGGCGGGGTTCGTTGCTGAACTGCGGATCCCCTCCGTTCATTGTACGAAGTATTACGGAGCGGTACTGTATCATTCTTGTTAGTCCGGTAATAAGGCAAGGTACCTGTTATTTTCACTCAACTCTCCTGGACGGAAGATGATAGATGATGAGCGAAGCCAAAAATAACAGAGCAAGAGAACAAGAAGACCCGACCGGTCTGGCTGCCCGGCTCAGCCCCAATCATAGATTGAACCCCCCCGGCCTCTTTTGGGCTCCTGACCGCGAGGGGGGGTTCCGGCCGGGATCAAGCTGTGCGGCTTCTGCTCTGTAGTGGTACTAGTAGGGCGATGCGAAATGCTGGTGGAGCGGCGAGGAGGTTGTGCTCAGGGGAAAAAAAGGGAATCGACACGACCGAGACGCAGACGCTGGATGGGATGGGGGATCCAGAAATTACGGTCAAAGTGGTGGTTTGACCCGGACCACCGCCGGCTGTCGTAAAGGGGCTGCTGCTGCCCACCCCCCGTTTCCTGTACATCCAGAGCTTCGTCTCGAGCTCTGGTATTTAACTGCTCCCTGTTCCCCTTCTCTCCATGCTGAACCTGTTGCCTCTCTACTTAACGCTGCTGTAACACCTTGAAGGTGAGTACCTTGCCTAGTTGCCTGCTGCAGATCCCGCGCTGCTTGTTGTACAACTACGTGAGCATTGGATGTCCATTCCCGCGCCAGCTGCGTCATTCATTGACGTCAACACGACTGAATCAACTCAGTCCCATCCCCCAACCCAAAACCTGGATATAAGCAGCACGGCGGCACAGTGGAACGAATATTAACTGGGTCGTGCTAGATTTGCTTGGGGCAAGGCTCAATCACCAAGCACCCCGCCAGACACCCCACCTTCCCTTAAGACCTGATACCTCCCCCCTTCTTTGTCGAAACACTCGAATCTCTCCGAATCATCGCCAACTCTTCTCCTGCTGCTCGACCGAATCGCTGCATCACCGACAGCGGTACGGCATTCACAACGCAAACAACTCACTCAACCGACCAAGCACGCACAATCACCTCCAGACACAATGGCGGGAGTCAAGAGCGCTCTGCCAACCCACCTCTCGCCGAACGCTGAGAACAATGACTTCGAGCAGCGTCACCACGGCAAGACGCGCAGTCACATGGCAAGTGATCCCTTCTCTAGCTCTCTGAATCATTCCATTCTTCCCTCTTTTGATTTTACTCGTGAATGCGGTCGAGTTGAGCTGCCAGCGACTCTCCAACACCGGCTGGCGCTTGGACGCATAGCTATGCAGAGCACCTCCATACCCCTCCTGGCCGAGCTCTGCTCGTGTTAATACGCGCACTCTCGCCAGCTGGCTGAGGCAATGCCTGCAGAACATGGCTGAGGGGAGCGTCAAAAGCTCTTGGGAAGAACCAATGGCTGTGGGAGCGACCTGGCGACTTGTGTTTGTGCACTTGCCACCAGGTGGGTGACGTCTTCGTTGCTCGAGCTCGCGCAAGGAAAAGAACACCATTGCCTACATTCACCGTCAAGCGAGGCGTTTCTTCCCCCATTACCAGCTCTCCCTCCTTCTGCTTCGTCCCTGACCGCTCCCCAATCTTCCTGATGCTTTCTCTCACCGAACCTCAAAATGTCCGAGCCTCATGACCGCCAGCTAACCGAGCGCACCCAGGCCTTCGAGAACACCTCGACCAACGTCGCTGCCGCCCAGATGCGAAATGCCCTGACCAACCTCGCCGAGACCGTCAAGGACCCCAAGGAGAAGAAGGTTGGTACAGTCAGATGCAAAGGAAACAGGCTCATACACCGCTAGACGACACAGCTCCGCTAACGCGATGGGTTCTAGCTGTTCGAGACGGAAATGGACAACTTCTTTGCCCTCTTCCGACGATACCTCAACGACAAGGCCAAGGGAAATGCGGTGTACGTCTTAATTCTTCCCTCCCCCTTTTACCGTAAGGCGATGCGACAAGGCTTGCTGACAAGAGCTATAGCGACTGGGACCGCATTGCCCCTCCCGCCCAGGGCCAGGTCGTCGACTACGAGGATCTGGCCAACAGCGAGTCTGTCCAGTTCCTGAACAAGCTTGCCGTCCTCAAGCTCAACGGTGGTCTGGGTACCTCCATGGGCTGCGTCGGACCCAAGTCCGTCATCGAGGTCCGTGACGGCATGTCCTTCCTCGACCTGTCCGTCCGCCAGATCGAGTACCTCAACCGCACCTACAACGTCAACGTGCCCTTCATCCTGATGAACTCGTTCAACACCAACGATGACACCGCCGCCATCATCAAGAAGTATGAGGGCCACAACGTGGACATCCTCACCTTCAACCAGTCAAGATACCCCCGAATCTACAAGGACTCGCTGTTGCCCGTCCCCAAGTCCTTCGACTCGCCTATCAACGAGTGGTACCCTCCTGGACACGGTGACGTCTTCGAGTCTCTCTACAACTCTGGCATCCTCGACCAGCTGATCGAGCGCGGCATCGAGATCGTCTTCCTGTCCAACGTCGACAACCTGGGCGCCGTTGTCGACCTGCGCATCCTGCAGCACATGGTCGAGACCAAGGCCGAGTACATCATGGAGCTGACCAACAAGACCAAGGCCGACGTCAAGGGTGGTACCATCATTGACTACGAGGGCTCCGTCCGTCTGCTCGAAATCGCCCAGGTGCCCAAGGAGCACGTCAACGAGTTCAAGTCCATCAAGAAGTTCAAGTACTTCAACACCAACAACATCTGGCTCAACCTCGCCGCCATCAAGCGCGTCGTGGAGAACAACGAGCTGGCCATGGAGATTATCCCCAACGGCAAGACCATCCCCGGCGACAAGAAGGGCGAGTCGGACATTTCCATCCTCCAGCTCGAGACGGCCGTCGGTGCCGCCATCCGCCACTTCAACAACGCCCACGGCGTCAACGTCCCGCGTCGCCGCTTCTTGCCCGTCAAGACGTGCTCCGACCTAATGCTCGTCAAGTCTGACCTGTACACGCTGAAGCACGGCCAGCTCCAGATGAGCGCGGCTCGATTCGGCGACGCCCCGCTGATCAAGCTTGGCAGCGACTTCAAGAAGGTGTCCGACTTCCAGAAGCACATCCCTTCAATCCCCAAGGTGCTGGAGCTTGACCACCTCACCATCACTGGTGCCGTCAACCTGGGCCGCGGCGTGACGCTCAAGGGTACCGTTATCATCGTCGCGACCGAGGGCAGCACCATTGACATTCCCCCGGGATCCATCCTCGAGAACGTCGTCGTCCAGGGCAGCTTGCGTCTGTTGGAGCACTAAATGCGCGCGTCCTTGACTTGTCTTTTACCCCCCCACAACAGAAAACACAATACCCAGTGCTCCAAGTCTTGGAATTCATCTTCGTATCTATTAGTATCTCCATTTTTTTACGTGCTGGCGATTGACGAGCGAGTTATGGACTGGCCGACGAAAGTCGGAAGAGTCAGCGAGGTGGTGCTGGCCGGTGAACAGCGAGAGAGAAAAAAAAAGGGAAGCGTGTGGCGAGGCGGCAGATGGAAGGGCATGCATGTATGGATGCGTATGGGACATGAATGATTGTGTACCGGCAGCGTCGGTATCGTGTAAATACGGCTATGGCATAGTGGATAGTAATTGATGCATGAGTTGGTACAAAGTGCTGTCCCAGGTGTCTCGCCTCATCGTCTCGAATCTATCAGTGACTTGGTGTCGAGTGTGCCAAGATACATCTCACGTACTTGTACAGATGGTAATGATGTTTTCCCTCTTGGCGATGATGGAGTCGGGTTGATCTACAGGCACCGGCTCTCATTTTCATTGTCATGCCAACCCCGGCAAATCATGTCATGACTAGCGTGATGATGCAGACGGCGCGGTTTGGGAGGCATGGGGGGGTTATTATTTGATGTGATTTGTTCTCAATGCCGGCATGTAATAGCTCGGCAATGCGATTCGAGCGGATGGTTTTTACTCGGTGAGGTAGTGTAATGGGATATTGTCGTCTGGCGCAATAAGGCGTTATTCGGCTATGGTTGTAGTATTGGAGGTCTCATTCTTTACAGTACAGCCTCTAGGAACGAGTTTGGACATTGTGGAAGATGAAAGAACGAATGACAGCTGGATCTGGAGGAACAGCCGTTCATCGCATCTTTGACAAGAGGGGGTGGAGTCTTGTGTGATTGCCTGTTCGATCGATGGTGTGAGACAAGGCAAGGCAAGACAAGACAATGAAAGCATACAGGGAGAAAAAAGCAGGTTTGTCGCCCGAGGGCAGTCCAAAGGCGGTAATTTTGCTTTGCTTGGGGTTTTTTCCCATTAGGATTGCCATTGCATTGGACGGTTTTGGGAGATTTTGCGGGGATGGGGGGCTGGGTTTTCATTTTCTATCGTGCGCCTTTGTACGACTAGAGGCATATTGGAGTCTATAGTAGCAGGGGTGCAATTGATTGCTTGGGGATGGGATGGGATGGGAAGACTCGAAGATGATGCTTGAGAGAAGTTTTGTTTCATAGGAGTGATTACAAGGGCGCTGGAGAAGCAACTGAAGGTTGAGGAGTATATTTAGTGGAAGAGTAAGAGGAAGAATGGGAAGGACGGAGAAGACTGAACAACCGAGGCAATTGGTCGAGATACGGAGCTGAAGGAACAGGGAGTTGAGGCTCTACTGGATACTAGATATATGCCGTGACCAACTGGAAAACGGTGGACTCTTTTGTTCTCCGGATATCCAAGGTAAGGCACTTTATACTAGTAGTAGTAGTCGGGTGTTGCCTTTTCTGGGGGAAAAGATGTGATTTCGGGGGGGAAACGGGCAAAGCACAGCACAGCCTCGATGCATCGGCTCGATGAGGGAGGGGACATAGGCAGACAGCGGAGTCATCTTTCTGCATTGTTTCTTCCGCAGGAATATTATGGGGAATCAGAAGGGCACATGGAGACGACGAGAAAGAAAGAGAAAGCGATCGTATGGAAAACGATGATGGTGTACTTACGTGTTAGCCTGGTTGACGTGCATATAGTATGGGGTAGGGAATTCGTGTTTGCGGCATTCAGAGTTCAGCCATATGGGCAGGGTGGGAATTTCGTGCATTAGGGATTGGGGAAGATGATGCCTGTTCGTGTTTGTCGTGTCGTGTCGTGTCGTGGTCGTGGAGATGGGGGATGGAGGATGGGGAGGACTACTAAGTATTGGGTAAAAAGTTGATGACATTTCGAGAGGTCATGGTTTTTTTTTGGTGTTGTGGAGCGGTGGTGATGCTGCGCGGGCTGCGTCGAAACTTTACGTACGAGGGATGAGTTTTTCACTTGCTCGGGCACAAATGGGGAATGCTCCGTAAGGTTATGCAGTGCTATTAACTGCGTGAAGGAAGACGGTAGGAGAACTTGCAACAAAAGACACTTGCATGAGGTAGGCAGAGACTGAGGCTCAATGGTTGAGCTGCTGATCGCGACGAGAGCTATGTACTTGGGAGGAGGAAGAGACGCGGAGCTATAAAGGCACCTAAGATGGAGGTGGCCCGTTTGGGTAGAAGCCGGACCAGGGGCATTGATTGGGCGGTTGGGTTAGGAGCCGAAGCGGCTAGGAGATTTGGGCGGCTCAAGCGTTGGAGGAATCATTAGACGGGATGGCGCGTTTCTGCTGTTGGTTCAAGCTTGTTCTCCTCCTTGCGGGTTTTCTTTTAGAGCCGGCGGTGCCGTTGTGAAACTGGCGGAAGCCCTCAGCTGTGGATTCTCTCACAAACGTCGTTGACGAGGGAGTGCGCAGTTGATAGATCAGGAGACCAGGGGGGATGATCGAGGGTGAGAGGTACGAGGTGGACGATAGAGCTAAAAAAGAAGCTTTTCGGGTTCTGCAGATAGTGCGGATGACGATGCTGATGCGCGACGAAAGTCAATGGTGCATGTTGGAGGGAATCCCGTATTTGACAGAAATGTGGCGATGGCTATCGAAGACGGGATGGATGCGTGGCTTGACTTGGGGGGGGGGAAACGGGTGTGGATGGGGATGGCGGCGTCGCCATTGGCCCCTGTGGCTTGCATGAGACGGGTTTGATTTGGCTGTGCTTTGCTTTGCTTCCTCGAGAAGCTGTAAGCGAGGCGTAGGATTGAGGCTCAATGGTTGTAGACAGGCTGCCAATTTCGCGATGCATATCGTGTGCGACCTTTTGCCGGTGAGCTGTATGCTGTGTGTATTACCTGTGCCCTTACTATTACCCCGGTATGGACGTACCCTGGGACACCGACTCGACTGATGTGGTGCAATCTCTCGCCTTCGTCATTCATCTCCTCTCGTCGTGCCGTGACCCGGAGGAATTCAAGCGCCGGCAAGGTTCCTTGGAATTGATGACAAGGCACAACACATGAGAGAAACAGCAGCAGCGTCAGAGACTGGAGTCAGAGAGTGGAGCGAGCGCTTTGAGGCTAGCCCAGGTTCTGGATGTTATTTCCCGGGGGCGCGGACGTGTGCATGCAGCCTGCAAGTGGAAAGCTTGGCACCCTTCCAATGGGGTGCTGCAGCGCGCTCCGAGGTCGAGTTCCAGGCGCTGCGAGCTGGCTGTGGGTGCCTGTGCAGTGCCTGGAGCTTCAGCGACTACGAGCACTAGCTGCTGGCGTTAGTGGCGCTAGCGGGTGGCGCTAGCGGGCTGGATGCGATCCAGGGGGGACCCGGACGGCGCTGATAGGCTGCGGGCGGAGGGCCTAGGGCTGCGGCCAATGGCAGCGCCGGTACATGGCACTCGTACCGATGGGACCGTGAAAGCTTCAAGCTTCCTGTCACGTTCTGGCCTTGGTCTGCAACAACTGCTGGAACCGCCCAGCACAGCCCGGGATGCATCGCCCAACCCAAAAGCCAAAATCACCACCACCATCTGATGTCCCGATGCTTGCCTGGGCCTTTCCCACTAGCCGATGGATTCGCTAAGACCAGACGGCCTGCAATCGAGCCCCTCCTCCAATTCCGCGCCCCCTGCTGGCTGGGAATGGGGACACTCGAACCTCCGGGCTTGTCATTGGGGGTGATCCGTGCAATTCCAGCGCGACGCTCCACTCCTCGCCTCTGCTCTGCTCTGCTCTGTCTGCCTCGACTTGTTTAAATTAATATCCGTCGCCGTCCGGTTTGGATTCTTCTGCTTCTTCTGCTCCTTTGCTTTTGCCCCATCCATCCGCCTGATCACTCGCTTTCTAGGCCCTTGTTTCAACTCAGTGTAAGTCCAGCTTCTTGTTTTGGTGCGTTCGTCGTTGTTTGTTGGAGCGGCATCTCGACTTCACCCAGAGGACGATCACTACCTGGATGCTTCCTCGACACGGCCTCGTCTGCGCCCAGAGCACGCATCTACCCCCTGCATCTCACCTTGTCCTCATCCTCTCCTCTCTCGACTATCCCTGGCCGGCTGGCTCCCCTGGCGGCGTCGTGGCTCGCCAGCTGCCTGTGTGTGGCGGAGAGGAAAGGGTTCGAAGACGGCGGAAAGCAGCTTGACGGGCCGTTCTGTCGGGACGGCCGCACGCGTCTGGTGTCTGCCAGCTGCAACGGCTCAATCTTTTTTCCTGCCTGGCTCCTGTTATTGTTTCATCTTCCTCATTCCTCTCTTCGCCTCTGATTGCCCGAGACTTTTGGTTTCCTCCACCACCAGCATACCAGTCACTTCGTCACCACTCTGAAGGAAAAACAAAATAAACTGACCATATCTTGCGCACCAGCCGACGCTTCTTCTTCGTCTCTCGTTCAACATCTATTCTCTTCGTCCTTCCAAAACCAATCTCTCAAGATGAAGTACTCCGTCGCTGCCGTCTCGGCCTTTGTTGCCGCTGCTCTCGCCAAGCCCGAGTTCCTCAACTCCAAGTTTGATGTCGAGGCGGGCAAGCCCTTCACCCTCCAGTACGAGGGCTGCTCTTCCGGCTGCACCATTACCCTGCAGACTGGCGCCAGCTCCGACCTCAAGGACGTCAAGGTTCTGACCTGTAAGTGACTCATCTCCTATGGTTGCCAAAAACACAACACGAGCCGCTGACAACTGTGCGACAGCCTCGGCCACCGGTACCTCCACCACCATCACCCTGGAGGACATCCCCTCTGGCATCTACAACTTCAAGATCACCGACAAGAGCGGCCAGAGCAACTTCAGCCAGCAGTTCCCCTTCCAGGGCACCGGTGTCGCCTCCTCCAGCGCTGCCACATCCGCCACCAGCGCCAAGGAGAGCAACACTGCTGCTCCCACCACCACCGAGGCTGCTACCAGCACCACGGAGGCCGTCTCTACCACCACCGAGGAGGCTACCACCACCGAGGTCAAGACCAAGACTGCTCACTCCACCACCACGGAGACGGAGACCTCGAGCACCTTCACCACCACCACCACCGTCGCCCACTCCACCCACAAGCACAACACCACCACCGTTGCCCCCACAGGCTCGGCGTCAACCACCACTGGTACGTATCATTGTCAAGAGGGTGTTTGCCTCGCACAAGAACCTCGCTTCAGATTTCGCTAACCGATGCATGTTTCTGGGTCACAGGCCGTCAAACCACCGCTGCCTCCACCTCCTCAAACCCCGCCGTGACCACCGTTCCTCCCGGAAGCGCCGCTGGCCACCTCTCTTCTCCCCTCGCCCTCGTTGCCGGCGTGGCCATCGCCATTGCCTTCTTCTCTTAATTCTGCGATTGAGGCAGGGCTTGGGGGCGGAAAGGGAGCTATCCCGATTTGTTTGCGCGTTAGGCTTTTTCTCTGGTACCGGTTAAATTTAATATCTTGAGGCCAAGATTATGTTGTTGCTTTTTTTTTTTTTTTTTCTTCTTCACGCAGCAGGGCAAGGTTGTTGGGAAATGGACGAAAGAAGGGGACGTGTTCCGGCGTCTGTCAGCCCCTTCCTATTGATTGACGATTGCATGGAATCCTACCTTTAAGCTTCTTTGACGATAATGTCAGCCTCTGCATGTACTCTAGTGGTATACTAATGCTTTATATTCCCCCTTTTATTTCACTCGATCTGCGAGTTTGAGTTGTGACTGACAGGTGGGTGATTTGCTGGGTAATTTTGCACACTTTGTCAAAGAAGGTAAGTTACATGAACGCAGCAACTTACGCGAGCAGGACTTGATTCGACGCCTCGCATCTTGATGCACTTGAGGTGAAACAGTATCACACGGGTTGACAGCGGCTGGATGCATGAAGCGTTGCCCGTCTCGTAATAAGCTGACGCAAGGGGGGGGAGGAACCCGGCCGGCATGCTTTTCGTGTGTTGAGACCGCATTCGGAGCCGGGGCTTCGTGTAAGGGTACTTCGTACGAAGTAGTCGGGGTTCAAGAAGCCAGGCTTCATGTACGTGTAGCCACAGGCTCGAACTCGTGTAGCTCCTCAAAGAGGTAGTTGACTGATTTTCTGGTGGGGGGAATACGAGGTCGATCTGGGTTCTTGGGGAGATACGAAGTTCGGCTGCTTGAACCGATCTGCTTTTTAAGAAATACGAAGTCGATTGGAAGCCGATCTAAAAGATGGGGTTTTACGAGGTTCTTGGAGAGATAAGATAGGCACTGAGTCTTGGGTAGATAACCGAGTACGGGCTGGGTAAGTTGAAGCTTTTTTGGTGATGATCTTTACGGATGTAGTCGCCGTGATCATGCTTTCCGCCACAACTGATGGGATGCGAAATCCCCCTGCAAGGGGGAGCTTCGGGATCATCGTCATTGTGCCTACATCGGACCTACATGCACACGCAAGACACGGTAGTACACAGAATTCAGCAGCCATCGGATGGTGTAATTGCGTATGTACGCCCGTCACAGCCGTCAAATTACGTGGCTTGATAGGAAGCATGCCGTCGGCTGAGGCACGCTACATCAGACGATTGGGCAGTAATACGCTCCTTTGTCTTGAAAAGCTTCTAGACTACCCTACCTAACCTGATAGATGCAAACTGACATCACCTTACTTCCAGGCGTGCATAAAGAATCATTCTTGTCTGAAACGTGGCAACCTTGCGCTTTAAGGGGTCAATGTCGCAGGCTTGAAGAAAGCATGATCGGATGCGACGGTGATGGATGCGCCCGAGATACTACATACGGCGGACTGTGATTCGAGTCGGTGGCTTGCTTATTACTAGGTATATATATTTGATACCTTACCTGCTAATGTAGGGTGGCCTTCACTATCACTGAGCTGGATGCCCAATCTTCTGGTCATGAGGCTTGTGAGGGCCTATATAGGTAAGTACATGTAGTGCAATGTGCCACAACAAAACAACAGACAAGTTTGCCATAAGATGCCATTGTGTTATTATCCATTAAAACTACCTATATGACACGCAATGATGGTACAGGCCGGGAGGCCAAACAATCTGCCACCGCTCGCATCATTCTTCTCGCACCTAAAGTTCCATACATGAACCAAAGCAATCTATCACGTCTTTCGTTCCTTTTTCCCTTCTTTCTAGAATACCTAGTTGATCAAGCGATCAACTGACAATGCCGCCGTCGGATCTTTAAAGAAGGAAAGGAGAATTGACCATGACTAAGCGCATTGAAAAGCTGCAAGAACGATCAGGGGAATGCTAGACCAAACCCTAAAGCCAAGGGGAAAAGATACGGTGAAGAAAAAGGGCAAGGGCAGTATTATGGGGATGCATTGAGCCGAAGTCCCTATCCGAAACAGAAGGTTCGTTGTTCTCTTGTTTTATAATCTTTCTTCTTTTCAAGTTTTTTTCTCTTTCATCGTGTTTTTCGGTGAGGGTCGTTGTGCTTTGTGGCCGTTGTGTTCTTTCTTTTGTCCACTATTGCGATGGTGTCGTGACAATGTCTCGGCTCTACTCTCGCGAAAAGGGCTGAGACTCGAAGCCTTGCCTTGTCCCGTCTTCCTTGAGACAGTCTCGGACTGGTGTGTGTACCGTCTGGATCAGGGCTGAACGACGTTCGTTGACGACAAGTGTTGGCAACGTGTCGTCTCCAGGTGAGCGTGTTGCTCTCCTATTCACATCTGAACCGTTTCTTATTTCTTCTTCAGACCACCGAGGCTATCATCAACCCAAGGTGCCATGTGGGAGACTTCAAGCTCGGCATCGATGGGCTTGGCCGGTCCGTTCGAAGACTCGCCAGCCGGCAAGCATGCAGAGCCCGAGCTGGAGTTGCCCTTGCCATCGAAGTGGGCAGGGTCTCTGTTGGCAGGACCGGCCTCATGTTTTTGCGAGGCCAAGTCGGGGCTCACGGCAGTGGGAGCTTGGATGTCCTGCCTGGAGAGACCATCCTGCTCACCAGACGCGTCAGAGGCCCCGGTGCTCGGTTCACTCTCGGGGACGGGCGGCCACTCGCCGTCCTTCGGAAGAGAGTCCAGCTGAGGGTTGTGGACAGCGTTGGTGACGCTCGAGTATGGCCCTCGGATGGGTCGGTTGCTGCCCGATTCGAGGGGGATAGTGGTTGGATACAGCGAATCCATGGCGACGAAGGAGGAAGGAGTTGAGGGTTGAGGTCGGACGATTCAAACGCGTGTCGGCGCGTGGAGCGAAGGGAATGGCAATTCGTGCGTTGCAACAGGAGCGTCAGATGCCTGGAAGCGAGATGATCAGGTTGATGAGCTGGAATAAGAGGAGGGAAGTCGGGGCGGTGCTGGGGTTCTTATGCCCACCGCTGGCGAAGCCTCAAGCAACTCAGGGGGTGCCCTCACATGCTCTCAGCATAATGCTAGCTCGCGTCAATCGCCGCTCGTTGGCTGGGCTTGCTGCCGGCCCCGTTGCTGCTGCCCGGCAACAATCGGCTCGACTATCGTCCTTCGCCTCGGAAGCAGCCTTACTGGTCGCCCAGCCAGGGGCATGTTAACGCTCCCCGAACTCTCTCCACCAGGCACCAACCGATATGCCTTGGGAGGCCTTTGCAAGTTGGGGTACCTGGACGTGGCTTTGCTGCTAAGCGGAGGCAGCAATCATCTGGGTCAGCCTTCGCGGCGCAGGGCTACTGGAGAGCAAGACTCGTGCTTGCGCGTTCAGAGCTGGGTACTTCACAGAGGACAGAATACAACCCAGGGTTGTCACTTTAGTACTGCTTGAGAGTGACAAGTCAGCTGGGGCAGGGTGGCATCGGCCCCGTGCTTGTGTAGAGCCGCCGCTCCAGACCAGCTGGTATGGCGATCCTTTTCGTTCTCCTTCGGTGAAAGTGGTTGTTGACCCCAGCTTACCTACTCGATCATAGATTGTCCTCCCCTTCGGCGGTTACTAGTTTGGTTGGATTCCTGGCGACGAGGGAAGATTTGGCCCAGCAGACCTAATCCTGTTTCCCTGTCGAGCTGAAAAGAAATCTACTGATCACCGCATGTCCGTTCGATTTCTTTTGGATTTCGGGAGTCTTTTCGATTCGTTGCAGCCCGCGTGCGCAGCGTGATATGTGGGCTATGTACCTACGGAGTACATGCAGCATTCGTTTCATTTCTGCACCCCTTGCGCCTCTACTCTTCATGGCGCTACCTGGTATGCCTGCAGAGCTGTCGGATTGCCGTGTGCCGGCTTCTAGCAACGATACCTAGGTATGCTTTACCCTTTCCAAGCCGTTGACCGGGTACTGGGCCAGAAATATCGCCCATGAGCTCGAAAATGCGGTCAGCTAGGTAGCTGATATGTTGTGGTGAAGCAATACACCAAGCGTCAATAGGACCATCCCTCGCGACTGCTTCGTGTTTCGCCACCCACCTTGGGCCACTACATTCCGTCATAGGTACTGCCTCTATGCGGTGGTACATATGTTGTACATGCAGAAAGAGAGGCAGGGCGGTAGCTACCTGGTGTGGAGGGTGTATGGGGGTACCTCAGGTACGTGGTACCGATGCGAACTCGGCTCCGGGCGGAACTCTGGGACGCAGACTCGTTGATGGGCCGCGGGCAGGCAGAGTCGGCCATGCAAGGCCGGCTGAAGCCTCGACTGCGGGCCCAGCACAATCCTCTGTGTAACAGCCCCTAGGAATACGACTCAGGGGGCTCGCCGTTTCCCAAAGGCCGTTCACCAAGAAGGTGCTTGAAGCGTTTTGCCGCTGCGAGTCGCCAAGCGGTCCGAAAGTTTCCCTCTGCGACGCGTCTTCTCTTCAACTACAAAGTAACTGTATCGGTCGGTTTCGCCTGCTCGTGAATTCGAGCCTTTGTCCTTGGAGCGAACACGCACGGCGAGTGAGCCTCGCGGCATGTACGAGGTACTAGGTATATGGAACACATGCACTTCGTATGCGTGTGCTATGTTCTTCTCGGCATGGAATTGGCCTACAATGAAAAAGCGAAATCCGATGTGCCTTGGGCGGCAAAAATCTTCACCATGCGGCTGCCTCTCTTCCTTGTCCTTTTTTGTGCCTAACGGTAGGTACATGCCGTCTCCCAGCATGCATGAACCCGCATGTTTTCCAAGCCTGGCATCCTGTTCTGGACTCTCATCGTGCTCTCATTCATGCGTTGAATGTCATGCAGCAGCTTTGCAGCCGGCCAAGATGCCCGCATTCACCTTGTTCCTGAATTTCTGGGTCTAGAATGATCTGGCCCTGGGATCGAGAGAGGTCTGGATTTTCTGGCGATGGCGCGCAATTGAGGGGCTTGGCGAGGCAAACGACTGCCCACTACCGAAGCGGCTTATGCTTACGAAGCAGAACTCGTTGATACCAACAATGGAGGGAGCCGACTATTGAAATCTTCAAGAGCCTGCAAGCAGGGCTTGGACGTGTTGGAGGTGCATGACAAGGGCAACGGTCTTCCCAGCGAGGACCGGCGCCGGCCAATGGTGGGAAGGGCTACCCAGATCCGAGCCAGGTTTGCCCAGCCGCCTCATGCAGCCACGATGCGGCGCTGAGCATGAGCATGAAGGGTTTCGAGAACAATGAGTCTCCGCGCGGGAATAGGGCTCTCGGGTCTGTTTGTTCATTGTCGAGGCATGTCAGGGCACTTGTCTCACAGGCATACATCGTGTGTTGGTCTGGACCGCTTGGCCGCCTCACTTGCACTCGTACGCGATCTAGAACGTCATTCCTTCAAGCGAAGGAGACCCTCCGAGATGGAAAACCTGGACATTGGACTTGGCCGGCTCATGGTGCCGAACAGGGCAAAACCTTTTGACCTTGCGATTCTCTTTCCGACTGGTTGGCTGAACACATGCCACCTCTTTTCCTTAACCAGAAGCCGACGGCGCTTAATTGAGTACTCTCAATCTGCAATGCCGCAGGGGCACGGCGGCTCGTTTAGCCTCAAGACCCCCGCCACCCTGTCCCTCTTGTCTCTTACCCAGTGGCTTTAATTTTCCAAGGCTGCCAACGCTTGCTCCAACGACTTGCCCGTAAGGCTATTGATTGATGGTCAGCAGTGACCCTGCGTGGAATATGTGAGTTATGACGAGTTGCTTTTAAGAGTACGCACCGTTGAAACACGTCTCTATATTTGGCCGCAGTCTCTTCGACGACCGAGGGAGGTAACTCGACCTAGGACCGATCAGTCAGCAACACGTCTACATGGCATGGGTCATTGCAAGCGAGTTCCGAACCCCCTGGGGCGGTCCTCCTCTTGTTTTTGGCATCGGGCTGTTTTCCCGCATCCGCATGCGGGATCTCGAGATCGGGAAAGCGGAGTTTGGCGATTCGACACGCATGGCTGCGATTTGACTTACGTTAGGCTTGCCCTTGAGCCCTGAGCTGGTCAGATAGTCTCGGACGTATTGCTTGTCGTAGGAGGGGGCCTCGCTGCCCGCCTTCCACTCCGCGGCGTTCCAGAACCGCGAACTGTCACTATTTTCGTTTACGCAAAGTTAGCATTTTGGACTCTTCTGGGCCTCTGAAACGGCATGCTGCGTTGCAAGTGCTTGGCATCCAAGAGGCATCTCGAGAGAGACTCGGTTCTAGATCCCAGGATGCAGCTGGGAGCTTGTCCGATGATACCGGTGAAGCATGGGGTGGGCCATTGGCTGCGGCAGTTTGACTTACGGGGTCAGGACCTCGTCGACCTATTTCGAGTGAAACATTAGTTTGTGGATTTCCATGCAGGATTCTTGATTTGGAGTCTTCGCTGAAAGGGAGAGGAGCAGCTGAACTGAGTCGCTCTCTCTATTTTCATAAACGCCCGCTTACAATCCCTGCATAGCAATGAGAGAGGAGGAGTCGAGATTAGGTTGCCTTACCAGGACGACTTCATCGGTTGCCTCGTCGAGGGCAAACTCACTAGGTACATCGGTTACTGTCAGCCAGGGGGTCGGCGAGCCAAGTGATCAAGTGACAGGGGCCGGGGTAGATGTTGGGGAACATGTATGCTACGATCTGCCGGTACGAGACGGCATTTCAAGGCTGGCGTCGGGCAGGGGCACCGAATCTCCTTCGCCTCTTTCTCCATCCTTTATCGCCGTAGCAATTTAGATGGACCTGCAGCAGGATGATTTGCTGCCTGGGGGGGCGCGGGATAACGCCCATCGCCAAGGAGGAGTGTGCGTTGCCGATCGGATGAGGCTGAAAGGCAGGGAAAAAAGCCGGAACGCGAAGACGAAGCGAAGCCAGGGTATGCCATGAGGGTGGCACAACTTACAACTTGGTGTCGGCCACGATGATGCCGCGCTCGAGGGCGTACGCGGCGGCGGCGCTGTACACGGCCAAGCTCAGCTCCTGGATGCGAGCGGCGTACTTTTCGCCGACGATGGAGACGGCCTGCTCGGGGGAGATGTTTTCGTCCTTTTCGCCCGCGGGGGCTTTCGTGGACGGGGTGTACTTTTGCCTCATCAGCTGTCATATTCTCATTCAATGAGATGTGATTGTGGCGTTGCGGATGGTTGGGCGTGAACGTCTTGTGTCACTCTGCAGTCTGACAGGGAGGGAACCAGGGGTAAAGAGACGGGAGAAAAGTGAGGCTTGAGATGGGTAGCGTGAATTTTGATGCCGTGCAATGGTGACTTACGATGGGGCCGTTGGGGAATGGGCTGCAGAGCTGGAGGCCGGGCGGCTGGGGGATGCCGTGGACGGTTCCCTTGGCGGTGCTTGGATTGATGTTAGTCTTTTTGAGGCTTGGCGGTGATGAGATGGGCTGATGTCCAGGATGCAAGATGGGCAGCACCAGGACATGCAAATGCACATGAGATGGGCCAAATTGAGATGAGGATTGACATACTATTCACTCCATGCGCTGCCGGTGATGTAGCCTCGCACAATGGCTTCCTATAGCAGCAGTCTGTCAGTCTCTTACATCTGACACCTCAGAAATCATCTTGGCAACAACTCACGATAGGGAAGACCTTGAGCCGACGGCAGACCATGGTCCGGCCCCTCAGCAGGGCGCGCTCCTCGGGCGTGAGGGGGGCCGAGGCGGGGGCCGAGAGGGACAGCAGGTGGTGCTTGAGGCCGGGGACCTTTTGCTCGAGGACGGCGAACCAGTGGGCCGAGATCTGGGTGAGGATGAGGCCCTTGCCGGGGACGCCGTTGGCGAGGACAACGTCGTAGGCGGAGATGCGGTCGGTGGCGGTGAAGAGCAGGGAGGCGTCGTCGAGGGCGAAGAGGTCGCGGACCTTGCCGGTGGAGAGCTTGGGGAGGGAGGTGAGGGTGAGGGTGGTGATGGCTTGGGTGGAGGAGGAGGAGGAGGAGGACATGGTGACGGTTGGTGGTGTCTGTTTTTCTTTCTCCTGGCGTTGGGTTTGTTGTTGTGTTAATACCGGGATTAATTTCCCTGATTTTATATTACCTTCCACCTGTGGTTTTGAGAGTCGAGGTTGATGGAGGGCTGAGATGAGGTTGAAATTGAAATGCGTGACTAAGATGACTCCGGCTTTGGTGATTGATGTAGAATTTTTGCCATGTGGGGGCCGTGATCTGCTACTAGTTCGCCGATTTGTGGCGTTTATACTTAGATAGGTAAGTATTGGCTCTTCTCCAACGTTATAGGATCGCTCCAATTGGATCGTATGCCTTGGTGAGGGTTTTTACTATTGGCCATTGAAACTTCATTTGAGTTGACGATGAAGACGGTGGAAAAGAGATGCAAAGGCTGAGATGGAATTGACTGGCAAGAGAATGCCGGATACCCAAGCTGGGGTGCTGGACAGCAACCCGCCTCTGCTAAACCAAGTTACATGTGCTCCCTGTAGTTATTGTCGACCGTGATACGCATCGCACCACCGGTGGACGATCTGACTGCCCTCACCAACTCGACTGGATGGTGGACCTGCTCCGTCCAGGCCAACTCAAACTTGAAACCGAAATCTCCCAGCTTGTTGCCGATCCGCGCGCACGAGAATTGCTCTTCAGGCGAGCTGGGCGGGATGCCCCATGTTGCGTTCGTCACTGGCTCCCGCTTGAAAGTGTCCAGATCGACTGGGTTCATGTTGTATATGGCGTATACCCCGTCCATGCGACCGGCGGGGCTCAGCCGGGCCACGACAGCAAAGCCGGTCGGTTCCCAGTCATCTGAATCGTCGCCTTGCTCCAAAGTCGACGGCATCTCAGCGGCGGTCTCGCATTCCACGCACTCCAGCGCGCCGAGCTGGTGGAAGACAAAGCCCGGGGCATCTGCGCCGTCCGACTCCGCCGACTGGGTGGACTGTTCCGAGAGATTGGGGGCGCGGCGGTTGAGCGGCCGAGCCGGCTCACGCGGCTGCACCGTCGTGTTTACGCCGAGAAATGCAGTGTCGAGGACTTGATAGCTTGTCTGAGGACACTCGCTGCTCTGCGGTACCAGCCTGTCGAGAGATGGAACCAGGCGGTAGAGCGTCGTCTGCTCATAGCCGACGGGGATCCAGGGTCGAACTGCCCATTCGAGCCCGGGCAGCAGCTCCTTGCGTTCCGCGGGGTTGTAAAAGTTGATCGAGTCTGCGAGCTCAACAAACCGGGCTGGTGTCAGGATGCCGGCAGGGTTGGCCAGATGCGGCAGGCTGAGATGGAGATCGTATGTGCAGAATGCGTGGAGCTCCTATGGGTCAGGGAACATCTCGCCGATAGCGTTCATGTACTCGGTACAGCCAAGGCGGCGACTGCGCAACTCCTTGGTGATCTCGTCGAAGCGAGCATTGCGGGCTTCGATGGACTCTACGGCTGCCCTTGGTGCTTGTGAGGAGGGCGAAGCGGCAGCCGAAGTCGTATCCATTGTGGGATGAAGGTAACGTATGGCACGGAAAGAAGGAGGAATGCAAGGACAGGGTGAAAGATGCAGAGGGAAGCAGACGGAGGGAGCTGCGAGGTTACTTTTCTTTTCCCCAACTCTCATCCTATCCGCCACAGATAGTAGCCATACTACAGCCACAGTTTGAACAGCAGAATGGCAGCCGCAAAGCTTGTTTTCAGAGTTTCCAGCCTTGAAGCCAGAAGTACTTTCGATGACCAGCTCTGGCGTGGCCGAAGCCGTCCAGGTCGTCCATCGTGCGGCAATCGCACTCACTGAAGATGCCGCCATGTTCCAGGAACTGGGACATCAACTGGGAGGCTCCGAGGATGAGTGATGTGGTACCTACCGCCGGTCCATACCAGCTATTCTACCAGAAAATAGACAGAATGCATAGGAATAAGTGGCAATAGATCAAGTAGAGATATTGGCACCTAGGTGCAAGAATTTAGAGCGGTTGATTATATTGCAAGGTTTTCTCTAGACTGAAGGACAAAATGAAATGTAGGCCGTCTATAAGTCATAGTTACCCGGCCCTTGTCTTCATCGCCCCTTGACTCCGTCTTCAAACTGATATCTGAACATTGTTCGGAGAAACCTTCAAGCTCCCTATGGTGAGTCTCGACCGACGAGCAAGGTTCGAAAACGAAATCAGTCTACGAGTCATCTGCGAGGCTGGCAAAGCAATGATGGCGTCAAACATCATGCAGCATCTCCTTCAGCGTGGATTCTGCGGACGCGCTTCACTGCTTCTACTTGTTTCCATTTCTCACGTCCAAGGGCAAGACTGCTGGCCCCATGTCTGCACACTGATTTGACATTCTCGCGAGGACATGGGTCATTTGGGGGTGTTTGAAAACCCCCGACAAGTGCTGATGCCCTATCAAAGTGTTGTGCCTCAGCCAGCCCGAAGCCCCCAGGGTTGCAGGACGGGGGTACCAGTTTCTCAGCAGAGATCTGTGAGCAGAGCCATCACCTCCGAAGAACCATCAACCCTATTCACTGGACTTGAGCTTGTACTGGACATTGACATTCGGGTTGACAGTGAATGCCAGGGACGTCACGTGTGCAGCACTGCACGGCGGTGACTTGAAACATGCTCTGCTATCCAGCCTCTGCCCACAGAAACCCTCTTCCTTCATCGACCCTGCAGAGCAGAGAGCAGAGCAACAGAACTGGCTGCCATCTCGACTACCAGCGCGTCCGTACAAGCAAACGCCGAAGCCGATCCTGGTGCCTCGATCGTGGGCACTGCGGCTTCTGCTTCGGGCTTGGTTTTTCGTACCCACAGCTCAGCTCGATCGGCAGCATCCGATCGGATCTACAGTAGCCTCAGCCTCAGCCCCTGGCCGCTTCCATCTCCAGTCTGGCACATCAAGACGGTAAAGCTCTCCACAACTCTCTGCCATCTCTACATGCGCTCACCGTGCTTGACAAGGAAGTACACCGCTGACAGTACACAAAGCTGCCATCATGCCCCAGCTACTGTCGCTCCCACGGGAGCTCATAGAGCACATCTGCCGTCAACTCGTCGGCCGCGCTAGAGATGTCATTCCGAAGCCCTGGGATCCAAAGTCTCTGTCTCACCTCTGCCAAACCTCGAAATCCATGCATCGTATCGGCACTCCCATTCTGTACGCTGGCTTTAGCAGTAGTGAGAGCGGCATACAGCGAAGCGCCAACTTCCTGAGGACAATCAGCCTGCGTCCTGAGCTCGGCGAACTGGTGCGGGAGCTGCACATCTTGGTTTATCGTTCGCAAAACCTTGATCAAAGCCAAAGGGATGTATTCCGGAAAGCGGCAGCAAGGCTGGGTGTAGGCATTCCTGGCTGGCTGGAGCATCACCCGTCCGAGACCGTCGCCTTTCTCCTCGTCGCCCAGACACCCATGTTGAAAACACTCGATATCTACGTTTTCCACAACGTCTATATCGAAGACGACCTTAGCCCCTTCAACATATTCGAAGATGCATCTGTGCCTGCTCCGTGGCGCGTTTGGCTGCCGCATCTGCATCACCTTGGCTTGGGCCACAGCAGCGAAGAACATTGTCTGCAATACTTTGGCGGCATCCTTCAGTTTGCGTCCGGTGTGGCCGACCTCACCCTGCGGTCGAGCTTTACCATCCCCTCCACCAGAGCGCTTCGCAACGGCCTCATGCATTTCGCAAATGTCACCCATTTAGTTGTCAAAGGCTCCGACTGGACCCGGTCTCAGCTGGAAGCCGTCGTTTCTCGCTGCCTTGCGCTAGAGGAGTTCCGCTACCAGAGCCTGGCAGCCGAAAACGGCCATGAACCAGATACCGTCAACGCCAGAGAGCTCATCGACATGTTGAGGCAGTATGGCCACAACAACACGCTCCGAACTTTGTACATGGATCTGGAGGATCGAGACCGTTACGTGGACGATGAATACGTTCCCAGGAGGTGTTCTGATGGCGAGCAAATCCTGTCGCTCAAAGACTTCTCACAGCTTCAGACTTTCTGTGTTGATGGCAGCTCGATGCTTTTTCCCGCGGCGGATTCGCCTGATTACCGTACCAACATCTTGACCAATCTGCTGCCCAGCTGCATCCGCTGTTTTCGTCTGATGAGCGCACCAGATGAGTCTGTCGCCAACATGTTGTCTTTGGCGGAATCGATTGCGGACTTTCCATTCCTCGACGAGGTGGCTTTCGCACTGAATGACGGATACGGGGAGTGGGATGATTCTGATGATTGTGATGAACCAGAGACGGACAAACTGCTGGAAAAGCTGAAGGATTGCTTGACAGCTAAGGGAGTCCGGCTTGATAAGGGATATAGTAGATGGTCTTGGTTTCAGCAATAACGACAACCATACTCATGGATCTGTCGTCATGGGGTATCTACCTACTGTCTGTACCTACCTGCTAGGCTAGAGTAGATGCGTGTCCAAGTTTTAGTTCCGGAGTCTGATCCGAGTGCATACGAAACTACAAAGTATCGCATGCAATGATATAACAAGATGGGTCAAATCGAACAGCTTTCCAGATCCGTGAGCTGCAATATACTGTTAGACAGCTCAACTGAGCATCCCTTATCGAATGATGAAGAGACGAAAATTGATTGTACAGGCGACGTGAGCATCGTGCCGCCCATCAGCAGCTTGGCCAAATGTCGAGAGCTAAGGTAGAGGAGCCGAGAGAATTACTCTTGACCTATTTCTCGGTTCTTGGTCATTCTCAATGACGGGTAACGGTGGAAGCAGCCGCACACAGATACAAAGGCTTCATTTGATGTGTGACATCTCCATCCAGCATCTGAATCCGTGTCCTCGTCTTTCTACCTCTTCCTCCCACTTGTCCCTCCCACGCCTCTCCTCCTCTTCTCCTCGAGAAACGACATCCTCCACTGCCAAGTGAAGCCGCCGGGCCGCCTCCGTGACTTCGCCTCCGGTCAGCCTCAGCGGCGACTCGAACCCGTAGTCCGCGATCCAGGACTCCACCGCAGTCATGTCGGCCGTCTCGAAATGCGTGGCCAGCGCGGCCAATATGCTTTGCCGAATGTGTCTCCCGGGCGTCAGGGAAGGACAGCGCTCATAGTACCGTGCCCATATATCCTGCCACCCCAGGTCTTTGAGATCTCTGATCCGGATCAGCGCCATCAGGAAGTGAAAGTAGAGATACCGCGGAGTCTGACGTCTCTCGTTGAGGAAGACCAGTTCCCTTCCATAGAGCGACGACGCGTCATGACCAGGACAAAGCTTCGTCTGCAGGATGCTGGGGTACAGAATCTCCGTTCGCCATCGTGTGATGGGGCTTTTCGTAGCATCCACCGGAACAACTACGAGGTGGTGATTATAGAAGCAGTTCTTGATCCGGCTCGACATGAGGAGCGCATTCCGCGGTCCCTGGATCGAAGTCACTGGCCTCGGGGACGATTGTGCTCGTCTGCCAAACAGCAGCTCATCCACTCCGTCGACGACTTGGGTAGAGAATGGCACGATGGGGGGCAGCCTTGGTCGTTATGTCCTCCGACTGCCGCATGCCGCTGATATGGCACCAGAAGTGGTACACCCCCAGCACTGCGCATTCGCCGCCGTAGTATGTTAGGACATCGCTGCGCCAGCCTGGTGGGGAGCTGTCTGTCCCAGACGTCGTTCCGTCGCCTTCCCTGTAGAGACCCAAAAGGCACTTTGAAGAGGGGACACGTTCCGAGGTGTATCGCATTCTCATCCTTTGGTGTTGCCATAGCTCAGCCCCGGCAGCCAGATGGTAGCGGTTGAGGTCTCTAAGGCGTTCCTCCGCAACCTCAAAACTCAAGATCCCGGCGTTCCTCTGCAAGGATACAACGTCTCGCCCGAGTCGAGTGGCTTCCATTCTTGCGGAAGCGAGCCGGATACCCATCAGGGCCAAGCTGAGCCTCGACTTGGAATTTTCTTCCGTCTCAGCGTCACGATCAAGTCGACGCAACAGTCGTCAAAATGCCCGCTGCAGTTGCGACGAGGCCTGTTGCGCTTGGTAACGCCGAATCCTCGCCATGGCAAAGGCTGCCTCCTTTTGTCCTCGAACGGCGTCCATTTCGTAGATTGTGAGGTAAGATATGGAGGAGACGTAGTACATGCAGGTGGGTATTGGGTATTGGACTGGGAGAAGATGTGGGTTGGAAAGAGAAAATGAGAATCTTGGTCGGGGCATGTTTCTCCTATATATGCGCAGGTCGAGAGAGTTTATGGCTTATAGATCAATCTCTCAACAAGACTGGGCTCAAACTCTCGATATCACCAGCAGAGCTACTTCATAGACGTACAGCTTAAAGGTTCGCCACTTCGTTCTCTGGGGAATAATGGCAACTCACCGAATCCCTCGTCGACATGGTGCCGACTTTGTTGGGCCTTGGCGTCAGGTTGGGAAATTGATGCAATGACTTGGAGACGGAGAAGCTGGGTCTGGGTTGACAGTGACGTGGACTGAGGTTGGCCCACGGGCGTAATCGGCGTCCTTAGGGAAACGGAGGGTTGCCCTTGACAGTCTCTGAACTCTCTTGTTGGATGGCTCAGTCTCCCGCTTCTCATAGACTCTGGGGTTCAGCCAGAGGTCCTCATCTGTTGCTTCATGTAGCGAGAGAATCGGTAATCTCGTTCCCTTTCAACCGGGGCTTGAAAGCTGTAATGTCATGACAACGAAAGGTTATCGGATCCTCCAAGATGGCGGCTTGATGGTGATCTGCATTGATATCCTCAGAGAATATGGTGGGAGACGGTGACGTTGAGTTACAGCCCGTGTGATGCCTTTGGCATTCGATGGTCAGAACCGTGCTGTCTGCAGCTACTGGGGTTTGCTCATCCCGCAGAGGGCCGTCAAAGCCGTCATAGCTCTCATGGCTTGTCCGCTGGCAGTCCTCGATTGCTGAGCTGTAAGGGGGATTGGGGCCTTTTCTCCACGGGCCTTCATCAAGATGGCTCCCGCTCCTCAGGTCTTCCTACTTCGCGGCCTTCGTCCTAAAGCACCTTGGGGTTGCTCCTGGGAGTTCATGCAAAGGATTGCTTTGCCTCCCCTGTGCACATAATTCTGGTTTGGAGTCCGGAGTGTCATCAACTTGTAATTCGCATATCCAGTCTCAGGATGTCCCGACTTGTCCATTTATTCTTGTAAATCGTGCTCATATGTTCCTGTAGAAGTCGCCTGGTGGCCCGGAGAGTCGTATTTTCAGGAGTCGGCCTTGGCCCGTCTGCCACGGTCAACGTACCATCTGCATTGCCAGCAGACACCGCCCTCGACGACCAGACATCCCTGCCACAAACATGTCAGTACGACAGAAACTTCTCTTGTCCATACATGCCTCACGACGCTCGTTTCAACTCATATCCCAACGGCAGTTGGCATATATAGACGCTGAGGCCATGGAACGACCGCAAAGGTCACATCCTCTTGCAAGACAGGATAATACTTCAGAGGGACTAAGCCGCGACAGAGGAGGCACAGGACAGGGACAGACACACGAACTTGAACGATTCAGGTTGCAAAGGTCGAGTATCTACTTAAGTAGGGTGATTGTAGATGGAAGGAGAACGGATCATGGTCCATGGCTTAGTGATGACTAAAGGTACCTTACCTTAGATGTCGTGATGCCCTCAAAGGGAAGGTCCAACTCGACTCAAGCAGGTACCGTGCCTGAGTGGGTGCAATCACGTGACGCACCCTCTTCTCTTCACCGCACATCTCCTCCAATGAGCAACGAGAAGGCATCAACCAAAGGCCTGAGCCCCTGCGATTCGCGATGTTGAAGACACATTCGCCGCAATTGTCTCCGTATGAACAAATTTACCAACTCATCTTTGATCAAATAAAAGGCGATTCTAGTATTAACAGTTGCCACTTGAAGTCCTGAAAGAAGAAGAACCAGGACGGAATTTAGCGGTCAAGGTCAAGGCGGCACTGCTTATGTGACAAGACACACACACAAGCTGAGACGGAGATCAAATGAGGCGGAGTCGAGTCGAGTCGCATTAGACACAATTTCTTCATCTTTCATAGCGGAGCCTTGCGATTTTCTCTTCTCTTTTTCTCTTTTCCTCAATCGTTTCCTTGTTCTTCTTAGTGGTTCATGTCTTTGCTTCTATTGCTTCATTCCTTGGTATTTCCTCCAGTCGTGTCACGGTTATAAACACCGCCAATCTCGTGTATAAGCCCAACGAAATCGGCCATCCTCCTCCTCCTCCTCTTCTTCCTCCTCTTCAGCAGCCATGGCCGAAGTCCTCGGCACCGCCCTCGGCGTCGTCGGCTTCATCGGCCAGCTCTTCGACGGCTGCGTCAAGGCCTACGGCTACTTCACCACGGCCGCCAACCTCGACGCCGACAGCCAGCGCATGCTGTGCAAGGTGCGCATCGAGGAGATGCGCCTCGTCGTCTGGGGCCGCGAATGGGGCGTCGCCGAAGGGAAATTCGACGAGCACCTGAGCGAGCGCAACCCGCAGCTGCGGCTGCTGGCCACGCAGATCCTGGAGCAGCTGCACGGCACCGTCACGGATTTCAAGAAGCTGCAGGACCGGTATGGGTTGGTGGACGAGGCGGCGGGGAAGAGTGGCAGGGAGGATGTGTCGCCGTCGAGAAAGGGGTCGAGGGATGAGGGGAGGAGGATGAATGGGCTGAAGATGACGAGCACGAGCTTAACCACGAGTGACAGGAGCTGGAGGAGAGAATTGGGTTTGCGGACCAAATGGGTCATAGGAGGTGAGATATATAGCCACCTCTATGAGAAAGGGGGCTTGAGATGAGAGAACTCATGCTCTAACACATACGGACAGACAAGGACAAGTTTGCCAACCTCCTCAAAGATCTCAAAGGTATATACTACACCCCTCAAGCCTACATACCCCTCCTACATACTACTCCTAAACAGTTCAAAAGCTTACACACAACAACGCAGACTTCAACGACGGCCTCGAAGCCCTCTTCCCCCCCTCCCAAGTCCCCTCCTTCCAGCGCGCCTGGACGCACCACCTCCTCGACCGCGCCCAGCGCGACCTCGCCGAGCTGTCCCTGCTGGAAAACGCCTCGTCGGGCATCTACCCGCAGCTCACCAACTCGGCCACGCTCAAGAAGCTGCGCATCAACCTCGACAGCAAGCCCCAGGCCTCCTTCAAGCCCACTTTCGCCCTCCGCATCGGCCTCTCCTCGCTCGAGATCCCCCCCGAGGCCACCTCTGCCTCATCCTCTTCTTCTTCTTCTTCTAGGCGCCGGTGTCAGGCCCACCACGTCACCGCCGGCAACGTCCTCATCGAATGGATCGACTACGACCGCGACGAAGTCGACGAGCGCGTCGCCCACGTCCGCCGCCTCGACGACCTCGCCCGCATGATGCACTCCGCCTCGGAATCCCACCCGGACCTCCACAGCATCGACTGCCTCGGCTACACCGACGACACCATCAACTCCCGCTACGGCCTCGTCTACAAGGCCCCCTCGTCCTCGCACTCCTCCCTCGACGCCCTCATCGCCAGCCCGGACCTCAAGACGCCCGACCTCGACGCCCGCGTCCGCCTCGCCAACGCCCTCGCCGTCGCCCTCTGGTCCCTGCACTCCCTCGACTGGCTGCACAAGTCCCTCTGCTCCTCCAACATCGTCTTCTTCCCCTCCGCCTTCTCCGCCTCGCCGCTCTCCCCCACCGCCTCCGCCGCCCTCGTCCCCGACGTCTCGTCCCCTTACCTCTGCGGCTTCGCCGCCTCCCGCCCGGAGCTCGACGTCGCCCTGTCCGTCGCCCCGCGCAACCCCTCCATCGAGGAGCTGCACCGCCACCCGGCCTCCCTCCGCGGCAGGCCCCACGTCAAGCCCTTCGACATCTACAGCTTCGGCCTCGTCCTCCTCGAGATCGGCCTCTGGAAGGTCCTGCAGACGTACTACAAGGGGCACTACTCCGCCGAGCGCTGGCGCGACAAGGTCGTCCTCGCGGTGCTCGTCCCGGGGCTCGGCAGCAAGGTCGGCAGGCGCTACAGGGAGGTCGTCGAGATGTGCCTGCGCGTGGATGAGGACATGTCGAGTAGCGAGGCGGGGGAGCTGATGGAGGAGGTGGTCAATAAGCTGGAGAGCATACGCGTGTGATGATGCCCACGATTTGACGATGACATGAAACGACTGAATTCACGGAATGAGTAGCCAAAAGTAACAGAGCACGAGAGATGATTGCATATCACAGAATAAAACAAGAGTAGGATACAATGCATGTAGATGATCAATAACAAACAGAACAAACTTCTTCACCAAAGTCATAAACCATTATTTGGGAACGAGCCATGGAAAGTTGCAAGTGATTAAAAGACGTATCGAAATATCATGCATGAAATTGATATATAAAGCAACACTTCCGACTCCCAACCTCCCTCACTTTCCAAAGCCAACCTGCAAAAGCGACTGACGATCCTCCAAGCATTACCCAAATGCCTGATCCGTGCTCCAGATGCGAATCAGCAAGGAATAAGCAACAAAGGAACAGAGAAGGAGGGACGAAAAGAGAAGAAGCGACAAAGAACCAAAAAGTACTCGAAACAAATCCGTACAAGCGAGAAATAAGAACCAGTGCAATGCGGCAATGAAATCGAAGAGACAAGAAAAAGCCGATATACCCAAGTCCCCCTTTCCCTTTCCATCCGTTGCGCCATCGCCATCATGATGTCTCTCTCGCCTCTCCTTTCCTGCCACCCAAGTTGTGTCGGGTTTTCTTTTCCGCTCTCAGATCATCATCACCATCGTCTTGTCTCTTCCCCCACGTTCCCGCTGAAAGTCGTGTCCAAGAAGGCATTCCTTCGACGTAATGAGTACCGTGAGGGTGTGAGCGCAGTCTCCAGCCTCGCAGTCAACTTTTCAGCGCGTCAGTAGCAGTGGTCGTCCTCATGGTGGTGATGGTGAATGGTGGTATAAAAAACGTCATCCTGCCTCTCCTATCGCGCCTTGGAATACTAAAACGCCCGTGTATATGCATACGCATGAATCGCTCGTAATAGAATAAAACGTGAAGTCATGATCGTTAAGATGAAAAGTTGTTTACAAGGTGCTCGGTCATCTCCTTATGGGTGACCGTTGCGGCTCGGCGTCTGGTCACGCCTACCTACGACGTGCCCGAGACCCTGCGGGCAGTCGATGATGTCGTCGTTACCGATGGGCCTACGCCGGCAGTGCCGACACGGCCACTCGTCTTGCGGACCCCAGCAGATTCTTTCGATCGCAGAGGGGAGTCGGCAGCCTGTCGCCTGGTCGCCCGGACCTTGGCCAGGGTGCCAGGCTGGCTGGGTACCCTATCCGCCGACTTGGGCTTTACCGAGCCAATGTTCTCGGCGTCAAAGGAGGCATCGTTGTCGATTCCGTAAGGGCTCGAGTTCTGGCTACTCGGTTGGGACTTGTCATTCCGGCTGGGTGACTGGGCCGCCTTGCGCTGCTTTCGCATTCGCAGGTGATGCTCTTCATCCGAGTCGGGGCCCTGAGAGCGGCGCTGCGGCGACGGTGGAGGCGCTGCCTCTTGGTGCGGCGGTGGATGCTGCTGCTGCTGCTGCTGCTCCAAGGCTTGCTCGTCCGCAGTCTGAAAGCCATCCGCTCTGTGATAACGATGGCGCCGATCGCGTGCGGCTTTCCGCGGCTGGCCAGGAGTGGGCGCGGGTAAGTAGTCGTCGTGAACTCCGACGTTGTTGCGATCGTGGTCCACCTCGCTGAGCGGCGAGCGGTTGGACGAGCTGCGGTTCGAGGGCGTCGTGACCTGGTTGCGCGTGCCCTTCATGGCTCGCATGGGCGTGCTGGGTGCTGCCTGGCCGGCGGCGGCGGCAGCAAACTCTCGCCTCAGCTTTCGCTCGATGCGCTCCTCAATCCACCACTCTCGGAAGGTTCCCTGGTTGAGGTGCAGCCAGTGCTGCTGAGGTCCAACAACCATGCCGGGCCTCATGAAGCGCATGAAGGAGATGACCTCGTTGGCAGTGAAGCCATGGCGGTAGATCAGGTAGGCGCCAATGAGGCAGCCGGTTCGGCCCAGGCCAGCCTTGCAGTGGACAGCCACGCCTCTCTTCTTGACGGTGATGGTCTCGTGGGCCATGCGGATAAACTTGCGAACCATGGACAGAGGCGGGCAAGTTCCGTCGTCAAACACCATGTCGACGTGCTGGATCCCCAGCGCTTCAAAGTAGGACGGCGAGTAGAGGTGCGAGTTCAACCGGACGACCAGGCCAATGTTGCGCTCGCTGAAGTGGGAGAGCACATTCTTGAAGGGCTGGGGCAGGAAAGGGTGATCCTCGACCGCGGCCACGTCTCGGGGGAGCAGCGGATACAGCTCAGAGTCCTCAGTGATCTTGCCGACGGGCGTGTGCTGGGGAGAGGCAAAGGCGAGGAAGTTGGGAGTCACCCAGTTGAAGTCGCCGTGCTCGACCCGCTCATACATCTCGTACTGGTCCAGGTCGAAGTTGTCCAGATCGCAGCACTTCTCCTCCTTGGCCTTCCAGACACCGTACACCACATCCTGGACGCTGATGCCGTAGTCGGCTTGGCTATAGCCGGCATCTCGGAAGGGCATCAGCGGAGGGTCGATCTGGGCAATCGGGGCGAGGGCCAGGTGAGGCGGCCAGTTCTGGATCAGCACCATGTAGCAGGCCAACATGCAAGCGGCATTTGCACGGCCTATATAGCACCGAACACGTTAGCATCTGGATATCCTCAGCTTGGTAAAGAAAGCCGTTGGGGACTCACTCCGCGGGTCAGCCGCGCTGTAAAACACAATGGGCCGGTCCCGGTTCTCCTTGGCGCCCAGGATATCGTGGAACTTGATGGCGAAGCGGTACAGGTGGCCAATGTGCAGCGGGCCAAAGTCATGGTGGAAGGCATTGTACAGCAGGGTGTCGTCCACGGTGAAGTAGCACGGCGGGTTGCGGTTCGTCACCAGCGGCGCCGGAGCCGCTCCGTCGGCATACCGCGACGATCGCTTTCTGGGAGACTCGGTGCCGGGCAGCGGCGTGTCGGGGGTCGGAGGGTGCACGTAGGCGCCCAGGTAGAGCCGGTCTGTCGATGGAGAGATTGTCAGCGCAAAGTCGGAGGAGATGGGATTCCGGGTTGGAAACGAGACAGCGGTGTCTAGAGACAAGCTCCAGCGCCAATTGAGGAGCAAGCCTCGTCGAGAAAGAAGAAAACAGGAGAAAGTGAAGCTGTCGTACCGGGAATGTATTCGACAACATGGCCCAGGTTCTGGGAGTGCCTCGTAGCAGGAGCCATTCTTCCAGGCTCGCTAATCTTCCAATCCGCAACAGAGAATCTGCTCCCCGAGATCGTAGGAATATACTATTCCGAAAGTAGATGCAAATCAATGCCGTCAAAACCTGCTTCCCAATTGCGCAGCTGAAATTGCGCAAACAAAAAAAAAATCCCCCAGATGTAGAGGTAGTAAAAAAGAAAAGCTAAGCTGCGGTGAAGCTCCGAAAAAACCAGGGTCGTGTGATGTCGGTGATGTAAGGTAAACAACAAACAGCGGCCGAAAGAATAAAGGGGGGCTGGGAGGGATTTAGACCGAGAATGAGGAGAAGTCCCAGCCGGCGAGAGAGCGTCAATTGAAGCTGGGGAAAATGGCCGTCGACAATCACAGACGTCTTTCTTTGATCGGTTCTCCCGCTGTGAAGGGGAGGAGAAAAAAAGGATATGTTTGGCTGGGGGGGGATTGCGGATGATCGGACGGGGGGCGAACTGCACGAAAGGCGATGCTGCACCTGTGTGTGGTCGTCTTGCGGTCGCTCTGTCGCTCTGTCGCTGGAGTCTCTCCTCTAGTCAATGCTCTTCAGCGCTCTCCAGCACTGTAACTGGCGCTCTATAGCAGAGACCAAACAAAGAGAGAGAAGATGATCAGCCAAGACAGACCCTTCCGGCCAAGGACGAGGTATAATATGAAGGGGGAAGGAGGAAGCCGCGACGAGAGGAGGGACCCGGGAGGATTAAAACAAGGAACAGAAACGCCGTGATGTGGTAGAGTGAGGTGATGATGGTACGGGCCGTCACGATGTTTTTGTAACCAGGGAGGGCCCTTGCAGCGTGTATGTCCTGGGCGCTGCAGATGTTATTCCTTATTACAGGCCCTGAAGCAAGCGAAAACCCCCTATAAACGGGCCTTGACGGGCCACTGCGCAGCTGCGTTGGCGCTTCCCCCCCCTTGGCGCTGTTCCCCCGGCGCCAGCGCCCAAAGAGCCAGCGCACGCTGTTATTGTGGGCCGTCGACCCGTCGCTACGGCAACGTCATAACAAAGCCGGCTGCAAGCCGTTAGCGCGCTCTTGTCAGGCTGCGGCCCGGCGGGTACGCAACTCAAGTAACTTTGTACCCAACGGCAGGGGTGGTTCCCGCACAGGTTGTCCGTTGTGGCTCGTGGGCTTCGGCTTTTGCACGCGCCACGTTCTTTTTGTGGCTGACGTGCATTCCAGTTGCGCAAACCTCCATCGTCGCTGATAACCTGGAGTTTTTCGCATCTAGAAGCCGTCAACGATTATTCCATCCACCCACGATTCCAGATCCACAGCCACTTCGTCTCTTGTAGATACAGCTGCAGCTTACACCAGCCACACATTCATCAGCCGACAAAACTTGCCCCGTACGAACAAACGACTCCAGATCGAAAACAGGGAAAAGAAGCGGGAGAACAACATTCGAGAACCCCTCCATTCCTGATAGAACACCCCCAGCCCGGACCCAGGAGAAACGAAAATAAAGACAAGACAAGAAAAACAAGACGAGACAGAAAAAGGACCCTGACTCAGGCCATCTCCGCGCAATAATGGGTTCCGATTCCAGCTTTCCATGCAGCATGCAAGTTCATTTCCCCTCACTCCTCCCGTTCCCCTGCCAATCAACCTCCACCTCTCTCCATGTTATTCTCTCTCTCTCTCTCTCTCTCTCCATCTCGCGCGCTCCATGCAAAACAAGGCTGACCGGGCAATCGTGTGTTTCCCATCAAAACAGCCAGCTGCACATCCCCTTCCCCACACCACGCCTCGCCTCCACGGCCCTCAAAGCCCTCCAGGTCGACCCGGAGCTGTCGCCCCTCGTCCAGCGAACCCTCTCCGTCGTGTCCTCTCCCTCTTCCCCGTCGTCGTCGACGACCACAGCAAGCGCCAGCGGCGACGACTCCGAAACTCAAACACAAACGGACAAGGACGACGACGACGCGCAAGTGCTGCGGGTGGAGTACCGGGCCACGACGAACCGCATGCTGCGCGTGGCCGTAAACTCCTTCATGGAGGGCCTCAAGCTGGTCTTGGAGGTCATGGAGCAGCTGGACGTGGACGTCTTGGCCGCGGGGGAGCAGAAGAGTTCAATTCAATCTCCGTGAAAGACGTATGCCAACCAATTGCTGCCTTGCAACGTGACTAGAGTGCTATATACTATTGCGCAACATTCCTACGTTTGCGCAGACTGCCATACGGACCGTCGAGACATGATACTTGAACACTACCAGGCATTACTCGATACAACGTTAGAATCTTAGCAAAGAAGAGAAATCAAAAGAGGTGAGATTCATAATGATGATTACTCCATACGCTCAGCCGCGTAGTGGTATATATTCAGGTGTCCTCTCGCAAGAGTCTAAATTACACTATCATGTACCTTATGTATGAACAGATGGATGGAAAATGCATCAACAGCAGATGCGGGGAAAAGACAGGGCGGACGAAACAACAAGACGACAAAGTGCCCACCCGTTCGACATCCATGCATACCGGAACAAAGGCCAAAACAATAGCAAGGCTTGAGCCCTTGTAAAGATATGCGCTCCCAGATGGAAAGACGGAAACCGCCCAAGATATGCCGCGAACAAACCAAAGCCGCCCACCATATACAAATTCGAACAAGACGGAAAAAAAGGGTTTAAGCATCTATTCCGTGCCGAACCCGATACCCACGACACGGGAAGAAATCGTATTCGTTGATCGTTGTTCGTCAACTGCCTTCTTCAGGGTCGCTCACCGTCGCCGTGGCCGTGTCCATCTTGGTGTCTTCCTGGGCATCGGGGCTGCCGCCCAGCTCCTCGCTTATTTTGGGCAATTTCTTGTCGTCGCTCCGGGCCGCAGTGCTCCCTTCGGCACCGCCGTCGGATCCTTTCAGCTTCTCGAGCTGCTCCTTTAATGCCTGCAGCTCATATTTCAGATCCACATTCTCCTTCTCCAGATTCTTCATGTGGACAATGGCGTTTTCAACGACGCTGGCCTTGCTGTTGGAAGCGTTGGATTGCTTGCCATCCTTCTTATCGCTGTCGTCGCCCGAAACGACCTTGTTCTTGCTCTCCGGGAGCAGACTGGCCATGATCTGCAGGGCTGAGTTGATGCGGTTTCGACGGCCCTGTTCGGCAATCTTGTGTGACGTTCTCTTCGACGTGAGGTTTGTAGACAATTCGCTGGGATAAGACACACCAGGGACTTGGTTGCCCTCTAGGATGTTCTGGTAATTTGACTTGGACATCAACAGTCGCGATGCCTGGTCTTCAACAGACATGCCAGGAGTACCGGGAAGCAGGGGCTTGATGTTGGGCGATATCCTGGGCAGCAGAGCGGGAGAGGCGTGAATCGATCCCGTCGACCGCTTGCGACTATTCCTGGCAGAAAGCTGCGGCGTTCTTCGCTGGCTGGAGCCGGACGCCCCAGGCAACAAGAGGGGGCTCTGATTCGCCGATGACGTTCCCGTTGCTCGAACGATTGGCGACGGCATGGACTGAAACGTAACTCCCTTGGAACCCATGCTCGGCTCGGGCCGAGGGGTCTGAGTACCAAGCTGGGCATCGTCGAGACCACCAGCATGCGGGGTGTTGGATATTGATTCAGGGAGTTCAAGCGACTCAATGTTGTCGGACAGCGGGGGTTCTTGGAGACTCGTCGTAAGCTTTTTCGTCTTGGAGGCCGGCAATTTCATTAGGGAAGCTGGCGTGGCGGGATGAGGAGGGTGCAATTCGTCGAGCAGAGCGGGTGCGTGAATGGCCTGCATATTGTTCTGCGGACGTATGTAGGGCGACTTGCTCGTCGAGCGCCTGGCGGGGATAGGCGGAGGGGGCATGTCCGAGAGGTTCTCGGGCGACACAGACGCGTTCTCGTCCGACCCGTCGGTAGAGGCAGCGGGTAGGGGCAGCAGCCCGTGGTCGCTAGCCTGCAGGCTCCTCTCCTCCACCTCGCTCAGCACCTGTGACACCATGGCCGGGCTGGGGCCAGTCTTGCGCCTGAGCGGCTTGGAAATGGGCGAGCTCTTGACGCTCGGCTTCCTCGCCTTGGTGGCCTGCGTCTTTCTCGTCTTCTTGGAAAGATCCAGGTTGACGGCTGGGACGGCCGGCTGCTCGAGGTCCATCTCCACCGGGGAGTTGTTTGAGTGGGTGGTGTGATCATAGTTGGAGGAGGAGTCATTCTGCGCATGGAGAGCCGGCGAAGTCAGGGGGCTGAAGTAAGCTCCGGGGACGGTAAAGGCGCTCTCCATGTTGAAATGGGGATCCAAGGGAGTGACGGCAGGCGAGACGAGAGGCGTAAAGGCCATCTAGGATTTACCTTGTGGTTAGGGGCAATTCAAGAATGGTCCAACATGCGCATGTCGAAACTAAAGAGGGTCGGGGCTTGTGGGCAACGTAGACTTACATCCTGCTCTGCCATACGCTGATGATAATTCCTGTCGTAGGCCCCTCTTGATGGCATCTGCTCGGCTTGTGAGTAGAACTGAGCGCTGCCGGGCGTCATCTCCAGGCTTTGGGGTGTCGGGGGCACCGAGTGGCTATGGTTGACGAAGAAGGTGGCCTGCTGCTCTTGCAGCTGGCGCTGCTGCTGCTGGAACTTTTGCTGCTGCAGATACTGGATCTGTGCGTCGATGTTGGAGATGGCCTCGCGCGAGGCGGACGGCGCCATCATGTGGGAGGGCATGGGCGCCATGGCGGGCGTGTGATTCTGCAGAAGACCGTCGCTTCGGGCAATCATGCTCGAGGGATCTGCGTCGCCCATGATGGCGTCGGCCGTCTGGCGAGCTTGACCCATGATGGAGTGCGAGCCGTCGTCCTGGAAGCCCTGGAAGTCGAACTGCATGCCGTCGCCCATGTTGGCCATGCCGCTGATGTCGAGGAACTGCTGGAACTCATCCTCGGTCGCGGCCATGGCCTGGTCCTGCGCATTCCACGCTGCAGAACTCATCATGTCGATGTCTGGGAGATGCGCTTGGCGGATCCGTGAGATAATCCTCCGCGGTGTTTCCCCTCGTTTAGGAACCTCCAACCAAACCAGCACGGTCTGACTCTACAGGCGCAAGGGACCAGACAGCGAGGATGGTTCTTCTCTCCTTCACAGTCAATGTGCCCACAGTGTGAGCAGCGCTCTCCGCTACAGTTTCCAAAAATTCCTCGCGAGCGGAAGCAGATGATCAAGCAGGGCCGAAGAAGAGGAGGACGGCGCCTGGAGGCCGGAGACTGGCGATGCCGTCGTCAACGGCGGTCGGGGTAAAGCAGGGCGTTTTCGGTCGGGGAGCAGCGGCAGCAACCGGGGCAAAGCCGTTCCGTTCGCACAGGCTTCAGCAGTTGGCGAGTGGTGACGCAACGGACAGGAGGCCCATCAGCCGCCAAAGAGAAGGAATGATAGTGATACAGGGAAAAAGAATCAAAGGCCGCCGTGTAAGCTGCGTCCAGCAATGGTCTCTGCGACGACAGCGCAGCAATGCTGATGCTCAAGGCAGGGAGCGCGAGAGGAAGAAACGAACTGCAGAAAAGGCCCGGGAATGGGGTTCAGTCGTCCGGGGAGAAGAGGGAAAAAAAAAAAAGTTGGCGCCTCGCTCCAAAAATTCAGGTGGCCGTCCCGTGAGAATCCAAAGCCAGAAGCGCTGGAGGGTCAAGGGTCGCACTGGCTGGCAGCACAAGCGGCTGCTGGGCGTGGAGGTTCCGTTCGTTAGTGCTCGTTAGCGGTGGCCGCAGGTGGGGGATCGCAGCAGCGGATCTCGCGTGGGAGGCACCAGCAGCTGCTAAAAGGCCCGTTCGACGAGCCACAGCGAATGCACCGTGCTAGAAATGGACTTGCGTCCAGTGCAAGTCGACTTCAGACGGCCCAGATTCACCCGAATAGTGGGTTCCCTATGGACCGCAAGTCGACTCGCCCAAGACGTGAGAACTGCGCACGTGTCGAGTCTCTGATTGGCCGTCTTGCTTCACCTCGTCTTCAACGCTATACAGTTATCTACCATTGCTGGAATTCGTCCATGTCCTTACATATACTATCCCGCTCGTCCTCTTTTTTTTTAATTTTTTTTTTTCCTTTTCTCCTTCGGTTTCCATTCACTTAGTTCCCCTTCCCTGCTGCCGGCGCCATGCTCGTTCTAGACCTGGGGCGGCTCGACGACCCCCCCAAGAGGAACCGCTGCATACAGGACTGACCGAGAAGATGGATGCCTCCCTTTCCCTGGGCCCACTGATGCCGGGCCCTCCCAGCAGCTGATGGCACCGTCTGTGCTAGTATCACCAGATGGAAAGTCCCAAGCCGTTCTCTCGCCATCAGCCGTCCATCCGCCCTCCCACTCGCTTCAGCCCGTCACGCATCACCGTGCCATCGTGACTGGGAACACGCTTCACCCAAACCCCCCCTTCTCGTGCCCTTGTTCCGTCCGTTCGACGTCTCCCAGCTGCTGCTCGTTTTGACTGCCAGATTGGAAACCAACGGCCGGTAAACCTAACCGAGGCCGTCTTCAAGGCACTTTTTACTCGTCCGACCAGGGGGTTCCATCGACGGTGGGGGCCGCCGAAGAAACCAGCAGCAGCAGCAGCAGCAAGTATTAGTACTAGAGCAACGGGGGACCTGGCAGGACCCTCAACCGAAGTGCCATAGATCCCTCTAGCACTGGGGGGGGATTCGGCGCTCTTCAACTTTTGCTACCTGTCGTATCGCGATGAGTAGAGCAAATAATTACAAGGGCCACCTGCAGGCACAAGCATGGGAAGCAAAATGGGTCTCGTCTCGTCCAAGGGTCCAAGATCCAAAATGTTCAAAAACATCCCCCAATAGCCGCAACCGCAATCATCTGCCCTCTTTCTGTCTCCATGTCAGGTTCTGCTCCAGACGGCCAATCTCCCCGAGCCAAAGATAAAGCGGATAGGCAAGATTGGACACACACACACACACCTTGATTGCCTGACAAGCCCACTTCCTACTGTCAAGCAGATGCTGCAAGTTTATTTCCAGTTTCCAGCTCCCATTGGCCAAGTGTACTATACAGGGGTCTTGTTGGAAGGGGGAGAAGGCTGCAAGGCGATTGGAGGCTGCCATTCTGGCTAAATACGGTGCATGTGCTTCGGCTTCATCCTTTTGACGGCTTCCGGAACTCAGACGTATGGCTGTAAAGGTTGCGTGTCGATAGAGTGGGATCCAGATCACCGTCAAACGTCACATTACATGCAATTACTTCACAGACTCGAGCGTCACTTGGAGACCATCGCAAGCTATCAAAGTTTTCTTCTTCTCATTCTCTTCACCTCGCAACTCTCCTCATCCCCTCATCAGCACTACAACGAAAATCTATATCAGCACTCCTCATCCTCCATCCATCCTATCCGCCTTCTACCGTTCGCCCCCATCAACTTGCATCCAGCGAATTACTTTCAAGGCAGATGGTTATATCAATCACAACACACAAATAAGGAAAATGGCCAAGCCCGGGCCAGCTTCTAGAATGTACAGAAAATAAATAGGGGTAAAAAGAAGAAGAAAAACACAAGAGTCTGAGTCCAATATGTCCAATACAGATATCGACGCCGAGTCATGCGGTGAGGCTCAGGCATCCGACACAGATCTTGGACCTTGACGTCCGCTTAACAAGGGGCGAAATGGCGATGCGATGCGCAGTGCTTTTGTGCCAATGAAACCAGGCGCCTGTGCCCCAGCGATATCCGGTACGAGCACACAGTGTTTGCTCTGCTCCGAACCGCAAGGGTAAGAAATAAATGTGAACAAAAAGCAAGAGAGGGTGGGTAGTGAGAGTGAGAGACAATTAAAGGCGGCATGCCGCCGAGAATACCGTGCCCAAAACAAATTCGAGGATATAAGCCGACCATTTCATCAAAAAAAATTCGCTCAAAAGAAAACTTCGCTCCATGATCATGTTCATTCGACTCATACCCGTGAATTATCACCAAGGTTGAGCCAGCTCATGTCATTCGATGTTGACGCCGTGGTGAGCTGAGGCTGCTTGCTCACGCCCAGCGGATGGGGCTGAACGTTGATTTCGCTGGGAGCGTATGCGCTGCTGGGGGCGCGATCGACTCCCCACGCCTTGCCGGCATGTGTGGGATCCCACGACTCTTGGACGCTCTCGGGAATCCCGCTGGAGTAACCGGACGATGCTGACAGCGCTGAGACGGTCGAGGTAGGTCGCTCAATCTTGCCAGACATGCCTTCCCTCCAAGGAATCTCGGGATAGTGTGACACCACTGGGCTCCCAGTGTTGACTCTGCTCATCCCCGGAGGAGCCTCAAAGTTGAGGGGCGGGACGGTAGCCGAGTCTTGCGTTGCCCTGACGTTACGGACGTTTGTCGCCTGAGAGTAGTGAGAGCTTCGATCCGATGCCATGGTGCTCCTCTGCGCAGCGGGCGCCGGTGCGGAAGGCTGTTCGGTTGCCTGTCCAGATGGCTGGGCAGCCCCATATCCGAGAATCTGCAGCGCGCTTCCCCCTGACCAGTACTTGTTCCAGCCCGAGCTTCGTCGCGTTTCATCGTCTGCTCCTGCGAGACCCTCTTGAGGTCGGAGCCCGGCAGAAGTGGCCAATGTGTCGCCCTTTTCATCCTGGATCTGGAGAATCGGGGCTTGCTGTGGCTGGAGGACTGGCTTGCCGATGGTGCTCTTGAACTGGTTGTGCGCCGTCATGCTCTTGATGGAGTCGTTGCTGAGCTGCTTGGGCTTGTGCTGGCCTACCCTGCCCATGAGAATAGCCATTGACGAGGTTGATTCCGAAGATGCCGTGTGCTGGTGGCCTCGGAGCTGCTTTTGCACGTGGGGAGGAAGCGTGTTCTTCGCCATTGCGCTCTGGGCAGCAAAGGCAGCGGTATTCTTCTCATCAACAGGGGGGGTCTTGGGTTTTCCCGCCTCCGGGTGAAGCAGTTGTCGTCTGCGGCAGCGAAGGAGCAAGAGGATAAGGCCAAGCAAGGCGAGGAATCCACCAATGGCGCCAAGAGTGATGCCGAGGATGGCGTTGGAGCTAGGGCCGGAGTCGTCGCTCGCGCTGCCAGTACCAGTCGGGATGGCGGGAACAGACAAGTCTGTAGGGACGAAGCCTGCCGTCCCCGTGGCGGTAGCGCTGGTGGAGAAGGGAAGGGTTGTCGAGACGGAATGCGTGGTAGAGGCAGAGTGCGTAGTAGAGGTAGAGTGCGTAGTCGACTTGGTTCGCGCGCTGGAAGTCGTCTTGGTCTTGGTCGTTGTCTTCGACGTCGACGTGACATCCTGGATTGATGATTCGCCATCGCCCAATACCTTCTGCGCGTCAACCCAGCCGTTGTCGCTGGGGTTGAAGATGGCCAGAGGGACTTGATCATTGCCACCAGAAAAGACCACGGTGCCGTCGGGGGCCTGGGCCATGGCATAGTTTGTTCGGGTGTCCTTGGGAGCCAGGGTTGAGTTGTAGGCGGGCCAGTTGGTCAAGGTCGGGGCACGCTTCTCGAAGCTTTCGGCATCGCCGTCATCGAGGCTTCGTGCGGCAATGGGGGCCGAGTCTGCGAGAGGGTTGCCAGCGGCATCCTGCACAATGGTACGGGTGACGGAGTTGGGTGACGTGGACAAGTCGAACGTGAAGAGGTTCTTGGATCCATCATCTCCCGAAACCAGGGCCGCATTCACCGAGCCTGAGGCCGTGTTGATAGGCGGCTGTACGCCCGCACCAGAATATCTCCATCCAGCAGTCGGGTTGAACCAGTAAATCTTGCCATCCACTCCGTCGCCGCTCATCATGGCAGCATCAGCAGCGGACCACTGCATGACGAGAGGAGAAACGGCCGGTACGGCGGAAGACTGAAACGAAAGAGCCGCATATGGTTCAGAAGCCTGGATGGTGAATGTCTGCGAAGAAGGACCGGTGCTTCCATCCTGACTGCCGGCGTATACCAAAATCACGTCGTCGGCTGGGATATACGTGGATCCGTGGTGCAAGCGATTCTGCGTAACGGGAACCGAGGGCGTGATAGTAGTCCAGTTGCCAGTCGAGAAGGTATACTTTTGGAGTCCAGTGTAATCAGCCGCATCCGACGTTCCTCCAACAATGAAAAGCGCAGCGTCAGCAGCATTAGGAGGCGTGGTTCCAACGCAGGTTCCATCCGTCACCTTGACTCCCATATCAAGCTGTGTCCATTCCGCACTATCCTCCAAGGGCAGCTTGAGAAATCCATTGGGTGAGTAGGAATAAAGTATGTTGTCGTGAATGACAGAGCAGGAGTTGTCCAAAGACGAAGCCGAGGGGGGTTTCGGTAACGACATTGCCGGGTTTGACTGAGAGAATGTGGAGAGGATTACAAAGGACGGCTTCGACGCGATATCGGGATCCTTTCTAGTTCGATGTCGATGTCGTTTCCTACAGTTGCATGGCGATGGTGGTCTCAAAGTAGTCCCTCTCTTGTCATTCAAGAAATGTGAGTTAGTCTAGCAACGAGGGCACAGGCAAATTGTTGCAGGAAAGTGTTGTGTGGATAGCGAAAGCCCGCGGTTCGAAATGAATGTCAGGCGGCGGGCAGATGACTGAAAATGAACGGCTGTCGGTAAAACAGTAGCGGCGAGGACGTAGTACCATACGACAAGACAATAACGAATGTGTCTAAAAAGCAAGCGTGCGGGCGTATGTTCCGTAAAAGAGACTTTTTTTTTTTATGTTGTTGTAGTTGTTGTTTTGAATGAGTGAATAGTGACTGTGTTGGTGACAGTCACGGTCTAATGGTCTAATGGCGCAATCGTGGCGGGTCTGTAAACTTTTGGAGAGAGAATCGTCGGAAATGGTGCAGGTCTTCGTTCAAGCCGGTCAACGGGAGATTGCCAGATGAGCAAGTCCGCAACGTAGGCAAATGACAGCAAGATGGATTCAACTGCGAAGAAAGGCAATGGGCGTCTTGTCAACGGTCTTCGTTCCAGACGTGTTTCGACGGCGATGGTCCCAGAAGCGGCAGCAAAAAGTTGGAGGAGAAGAAGAAGAGGCTGCGACAGGATTCGACTGTACACAAGCGCAAGCAAAGACGCAACAGAGAAGGAGAGGGAGGGAGAGGCGGCGCCGGCCAACAGAACAAGGGAATCGACGGTCAGTTGGTGCTTCTGCTGCGGCGTCTGCGAGGCAGGTCGAGGCGAAAACAAAACAAACGCAAGCACGGAAAGGAAAAGGAAAGGGAAGAGAACAGCCACCAAGCCACAGGTAGCGAAAGATCAAGAGAGGCGAAAACGGGGAGGCGGAGGAGGAGAAGGACTTGAGAAACGGACGCAAAGATTCGAAGGTACTGCTGCTGCGCTCTCTCTCTCTGCTCTGCGACATGCAGCCCCTGGTCGCACATCGTGTGCTCCTCTCACCTTGTACAAGTACAGATACTCCCGCACTTGGGGTTTGTATCGGTACCCGTCTGCCCAGCGTGGCTGGCGCAGTTGCTCAGGTACCTGCCCGGCCAGCTCTCGCGCAGATTGGGGCGGACGAGCGAGGCTCCCCCCTGCTGGGTGCTCAGCACCTTCCCTGCGCAGCTTCTGCAGTTACGGAGCCCGCTTTGAGACACGAGGATGGGCAGGAGGACCTGAGGGCCTGAGGGCAGGAGAGGAGGCGCTGTGGTGTGCTGTGGTGTGCCGTGCTGGGGTAGGCGCGAGCCGGGGGAGGCGCATCGCACCTGCGTCTGCAGTCCTGGTGGTGTTTTGTGGTGTCTGTGCTAAGAGGCCGCAGGGTAGGGATCATCCTCGCGTCATCCAATCAGCGGCCGCGGATGGCGTGCCATTTGCGCAGCCCTGTAGCCCCAGGTTTTAGCAGCTTTCGAGGTACCTAAGCTCTGCCGAGATAAGCCATAGATGGAGAGGTACTGAACGTGTTTGAGGTACCTGGAGGGAACCCAACTCGAGGCAGCCCCCCCGGCCTTGCGCCAAGACTCGTTCCTGAAGTGACACCTTTTTTTAGTGGAAAAGGGGTAGCCGCCAATCAAGCCACTTTGCTGCTGCATGGAAGCGCCTTGGCTGCGGGTAGAGGTACTTTGGTCTTGGCAGCATTTCTGCTCATCATGCTCGTGTCATGCTTCCATTTTGCCCACCCGGGCATGGCCTTCATGATCGTGCCGGTATAGCGTCGTACGCCCTTATGGCCAGTGTTTGGCGCTGCTTCGTCTTTGGGGTCATTAATGCGAGTGACCTGGGCCATTTCAGCACACTACCTACATGTAACCTATAGATACCTTACCCAGGACCTGTTGCGGTAGGCCGTCCGAAGCTGTGCCCTCGGTGAAGGAGGAGTGCTACTGAAGATTCGGCAAGGGCTTCAATTTCACCAATTGCGGAGCTCAGAGAACGCACGAGTACTGGGTACCGAGGACTTCATACAGAGGCTGGTTTCGCCAGAGCCCTTGCCTTGTCGCTTCAGCATTGCGATGGTACGAGTATTACGACTCGATCCAGCAGGCAAATGACATCAACAGCCTCTTCCGCTCGTGGCTTCCTGTGGCCTCGCTTGAACCCGATGCCCTGCGCACCACCGCTCGCCGTCATCTTGGGCTTTTTGCTCTTTTGTCCAAGCTCGCAGTCGTCACGCTCCGGCGCTGGGTTTGCTGGGAGTGCAGAGTGCCTCTGCTTCATACACAAGGTAGACCACTACTACCTGTACGGATTGATGCGTTGATGCTGCTCCGTAATACCACCGGGGTGCCAGCCAATTTGGTACCAGTACGAGTGCTCTCCGCTCGCCAAGCCTTTGCAACGGCCTATCCGCACTCTACGAGACACGAGATGGTACGAGGGCATTGAGCCTGGTGAATTTCGGTGCCTGGTGCAATTTGCCAGCCCTTGCGCAGAGTTGCATTCAGACTCATCCATGAGATGTCTAGCAAAAGGGCGACTGCGAGGGAGTTTCAATCACCAACCGGTCGACCCCGATCCGACCCGCCGAAGCTCCTCGAGCAAACAGACAGCTTCAAGCTCGAACCGCAGAAGACGAGCTCTCGAGGGCCGCACCGCACGGACCGCACAGACTGCAGCCCAACGACCACACCAAGAGCAAGAAATCAAAAACAAACAAAAGGCCAAACATGACGCTTTACGGTGTGCTGCTTCGTACCTCGCTGAGCACCTCCTCGTATTACAGGTCTCTACCTCTGGGACTGACCAGGTATGTATGTAGCACTGCTGCGCAGGGCATCGCCATCTCTCCTCTCTTTCTGGCGCCCCGGTCATGCAGCAGATTGCAGTGCTGCCCTCCAGCGTCATCCGTCGACAGCGCCATGGGCATGGCATCGGTTCCTGGCCGGGGACCCTCTGGGCCTGTGAACCCTTGGTGATCGCTTGCAGCTTTTGGCTCCTGATCCCCACTGGCTCAACTCATTGTGAAACGCGCCAGCAGGGGTTGTCCCTGCATCTGCATTGTTCAGAACCCCTAGCAGCATCCGGCCGTCCTCGGTCATCGCTCCACCTGCATCGAGCATGAACTCGTCTCCGCGTCGAGTCACGCCCATCAAGAGACGACCGACGACAACAACACCCGAATGAGAATGACGAAGAGAGCGGGAGAACTGGTGTTGCTGTCCTGTCGAGTTGTGCTACATTTACGAGGAGTGTGACGATTGCTGGTCGATATGCGAGCGGAGGAATGTGACGAATCGGTATCACAGCATACGGCCTCCAGGCTTGCATGTTGGTCAGATCTGGTGATCGGAGCATCTGCGATCAATTGGTGCACTGCATGGGAGCCGAAAAACAAAGATCAGTGACAAATGGTCGATGAAAGGCAGATGTAGGGGGTTGGATGGGTGTTGCTTATGCGAGGGCGAATCCGCGTCGTTGATTCAGTCAACGCTCGAAGAGGCTGGGCGACCAAAAATGGTCAACTCAGTCTCGCAATGTGGTAGTAACACAATTCATTGGTTCGGGGGTCAGTGTCCTCCCTCTGAAATGTCTTCTCTTTGTAGACTCGGAGGAAGCTGGTACTGTTTCTGGAACATGTCAAGTATTGCGTTCAAGTGTCTAGGGTAGGCCTGTATGTGAGCCATGAAGCAAAGCTCAAAGGCCACCAGCACATGGAGATCAGCACCTCACTTCGGTTGTCAGTCATTCGTCTTGCCGTGGCCTTCCGTGTCCTTCACTCGTACTTCGTGTTCGCCAGTATAATTCATGGCAAGTTGAGTCTTGGCAAACGGGCTATGCCAACTTCTCTAACCTCCTCATATCCCGTACCTGTACACGCCGCGTTTATTGCTCCGCACGAAGCAGGGCTCCCATACGGTCCATATTGCACAATTGCCAGCTCCAGTCAGGTTCCTCGCTTGTTCAGTAATTCAAATTCCAGCATCCCGTACGAGTGCTTCGTATATCCGTGTAACACCCTTTCAGACAATACACTACTACTACCAACCAAATACTTCGTGCAAACGCCCTCAACCCAGCTACCAGTAATATCACAATCCTATATAACAAAACAATCATTCACGTCGAAAAAGGAGCCGTAGGGTGAGAGAAAAAAAAAAAAAAGAGAGATACACAGAGACAATTCAAGAACGTATAAACATAACCAGAGCTTCAGATACCTATAGTAGTACTCATAAAAATGCTCCAACCTGCGATGGAGCTGTGCTTGCTGCTGCGGTCCATTGACTTGCGTCACCTCTTCATTCCTTTTTGTATCTGATCTACGTAATGTGCGCTGGGGGAAGAGGTAGGAAAGGGGAATGCTAGTTATTTGGGAAGATCTGCGGTGGGCTGACATTTTCCTTTTCGTGTTTCCTGTCTTTTTTTGTTGTCCAACTCCTTGCTTTCGTGTCTTCCCGCATTCCATACATCGCGAGAGAGACACGGCGGCGGTATTCTTCCGCATACACCAAATGATCACTGTTCTGCAAGTCTCTACGGGATATCGTTAGAGAACCACCACACTGCAAGATGCTGCAAGCCCATGATTTCTATTGTTCCCCAAGATTCATCCATTCTCAATTCTCAATCCCGATGCAGCGCTGGTTTTTTCAGCAGCTGTAATTTATCGTCCTTGTTACCTCATCTCTCCCCCCCTATCCCCCCAAGCATGAAATACATTGTACACGAGGACCCCCACCTCCCAAATCCCCCTCTCTATAAATAACCGGCCATATATTATACCACCACAGGGCTCCATACAGGGATTTGTCCCATTTCTCCTGTCCATCCTATCTTAACAGCTCATGCGGTCCTTGTACTGCGGGCATTAGAGGATGCGACCCGTCTGCTAGGGGGCCGGAGACGCGAATGCCTCTGGTGGTAACTGTGACTGAAGTGAACGTTAGCATCCGGTCGCAGTTTAGAGCAATTGTTGTACATGTCAAAACATACCTTCTTCTCATTGAAGATGACCAAGGCTCTGGCAAAGTCCCATTCGACTTGCGACAAGCACATCTCCGAATACTGCGGCACCATGCCCGTTTGCTTCGACAGCTCGGCGATCATGGCCTGATGCTGGCTTGCCGTATCCGCGAGAGGTGCTGAAGGTGCAGGTGCTGAAGGCGCAACGAATACGTTCGGCAGGGCGCTCCATGCTCGCAGAGACAGCATGTCACTGACGACTCTGATCTGAGCGGTCCCAGATAGGCCCGGCGCGAGCACAAACGTGCGAGAGAAACTTCGCTTGCCCGTGGTGCCCGACTTCTGGTCGTATTCCTCAAATTCGCCGTGAACAGCAAGAATCAAGCCGTCGACGCCAAACTGGCTCTGACCGGTGGGATCGGCCAAACCCGGCAGGGGATGGCAATCCATAATGTACTTGCTCAGCTCGTCCTTCATGTTGGGATGCTTCGTCATTGGGAGTTCCTTCCACAGATCGTTGATGGCCTGGGCTCCCTTGAACAGTCGCTGCGATCTGGCATGCTGGGTACTGATCTTCAGCAGGTTGCGAGAGGATTTGATGTAAGCGCCCCAAGGCAGCGGCGGCGGTCCGTTCGGATCCCTCACAGATTGGGCATCCACGGCAAGGGAAAACTGACTGCTGGCGTCGTAGAGCCTGGAGATCAGTGCCTCGCGATTGGTGTCATACGCTGTGAAGAACTCGAGCAGGAATTGTTCGCCGATGCCGTTGACATCTCGGAAGTCGGGTCCGCTCTGCGGAATCGGCTTGGGTAGACGAGCGGCCTCCTGCTCGGCAATTTGCTGCGCGGTGCGGAGCTCAATCCCGTTGATGCTCCGTAGCTTGGGAAACCACTCCAGGAAAGTCGCCGTGTAGTTGGGGTCTGACATCTCAATCGGGTTCCCGGTCATGTAGATGGCATCGAGCTCTTTGAACTTGCCCTTCCATCGTTGGAGTCCCTCCATGTCGCTGATGAGATTGCCACTCATGTCGAGGTTCTTGAGCTGCGGGAATGTTGTTGCCACCGACTCGACCTGGATGACGTTGTCGATGCTGTTGTTAGCCAGGCTGATACTTTCAATGGCATCTTTCTTCTCCTGAAGCGTCTTGAAGAGGCCGTCGCAGATTGCCATGAGACCCTTGAAAGTTTTGAGAGCTCTCTCGCGGGTTTCAAACATGCCGAGGGTGACCAGCTCGGCATCGGCGGCCAGGGCATCAAGCTTGAGCAGCTTGCTGTCGCCGATGTAGCGCTGACTCAGGATTGCCTGCAGTTTCGCGCGTAGCTCTGCCGTCTCTGGTGACTCTGTCGCCTTGTTTGGCGGCTCAAAATCTGCATCCGACTCCACCACTTCCAATTGAATGCCGGCAAATGTAAAAGTGTTGAGTTTGACCAGTTCCTCCGCGTCCTCCTTGTTCGCTCCAACGAAAACGTATTCTCCAGCTTTTTGTGACTATGGCGGGTTAGCTACCAGGAAAAAGTAGAGAAAAATTGTCAACCTCGAGCGCTGGGGCGATGTAGAATTTCAGTCGACGTCAACGAATCTCCCCTGAGATGTGTGTGTCTTTTAGTCGCCAAAGAAGCAGCTGAGACGATGGTTGGCTTCGGCACCCCTGCTATCTCGTCAATGATATGCTTACCTTTCGAATCGTAACCTGTCGTTTCCGTCCCGATTGGAGAGACGAGGCTTTCCTCTCCATGAAGCTCAGCAGGTCAGAGAGACCACCGTCAGGGTTCTGTGCCGCCTTGCTTTGTTTGAGCCCTCGCACTCTTAGCCAAGTGAGTCCTTCAATGTGAGCGCCTCTGCCTCTGGTTGGTCTTGAAACTCGCGAAGCCAAGTCAGAGCTAGCATTGCCCAGCTGTTTCATGACGATTTGAGCAACTTTGGCAGCCCCTCTCGACGGCGCAGGGCCTCTGCCCGAAGGCCTGCCTCTGCCACCGGTTGCTTCAGTCGTAGGGCCTCTGTTTTGTCGCTTGGACGGGCCGTCCATATCGAGGTCTCCATCGGTGTCGACTCTCGTCGGGCCTCTTCGCTTCTGGATGCCGCCCCTGGAGCTGGATTTTGCGCCAAGGGGATTACGGGCCTCTCGAGTTGACGTAGACTTCCCGCGGGGAGCCATAGTTGCCAAGCGTCCACGAAACGTTTGTAGAACAGGTGTGTGGTATGGACGACAGCTGCGAAAGAGGGCCGTTGAGCCCGCGCAGCGTCGTAGATGGTGTCTGTCGGGTCGCCCCCCGGATCGGCTGGGTTATGCTTGCTTCCTTTCGCAGTGGCGCTGGTCTGGTTGTTCGAGAATCGCCGAGTAGTATTTGGTATCTAGGTTCGGATAAGGCTGATAGCCTTGCGATAGGAGAGCGCAAGAGGCTCAAACTGTTCGCTCGAAATCGCGGAAGGCTTTTGAACACTGCCGCTACAGCTGATCCTGTCGCAACGGGGTCTCGCTGCGAGAAAGGTGGAATGTCCAGTCGCTGAGAGCGACTAGAGGTTTGTATGCAGCGAGTTTGTACGAGAACAGCCTGAAGCGCTCAAAGATCGCTGTCGTACAGCGCTGCTTTGGAAGATGGTTGTAGGAAGGTAAATAAGAGGACTGGCTGGTGTGTTGATGCGGATTTGATGTTTGTCTCTGGGCCTGCTGAGGAAAGTTCGGTGCTAAGCCGGTGAGGTTTAGCGCAGGCTGCCAGCCGGATTTTCTCTTGGGCGTGCACCATTGCCTAGTGTGGCTTAGCAGTTGCCTAGAGTTGTTAGGAGTTTTTCCGAAAGCCTTTAAGCTTGAATGCAAGAGGCTGTTTGTTCGATGTGATTCCTTGTCGGCAAGGGTCTTTTTGACTGAGTGAATGGTTCTGATATGTAAGAGTATCATACCTGGCCTGCATGGTTTTTGTTTGTTTCCACCTTTAATAACTGTCCCTACTTTTGAATACTTTTGGCCGAGAATATAACCTCAAAGGTTGTTTGATACAACCAAGTTTTTCCGGTCGCATACCGCAACTCAAAGCCATTAAAGTCACGTGATGTGGTATCGGTTTCGCGTCTTGGTCCGTCTGGCGCGTCACTGGCGACATGCTTTGCGGCCTCGAGCAGTGAATGAGCATCTTATCACCAAGTATCGTGTCGCTTTTCATCGCCCTCTCGAAAGATCAGTATCAAACACCAAAATCGCCTATGGTTCGAGGTTATTCTCATAATATGAGATTGGAGGCTCTCTAAAACCACCCGCCACCATATTGCATGGTGCTTCCATATGGCACCTGGTAGCCATGGACTCCGATGAGTTTGATGACGACATCGCAGATGAAGATATTCTCGCTGCCTTGGACCAAGTATCTTCCTCTAATGGAGGAAATCTTGGGTCTACCTCTTCTTCCAATGGAGCCAAGAGCGGCAACTCCCATGGACTGAATCAACGGCAACAAGCAGCACAGGAGCTCGACGACTTGCCATCGGATGCCTTCTCCTCACCAGAACCTGCGAGGGGCAACGTACGCGCACCACCAAAGCCTGTAGCAGCTGCTCGCACAGGTTTCAGCCGCACAAACTCTGGAACGCTGCGACAGACGACCTTATGGGGCGGACAAGCAGCAACGGAAGATGCCCCTCGCCCATCTCAGCCCACAACGGCCAGGGTCTTTCGCGCTGACCTGCCCCCTGAACCGCCCAGCCCGCATGAACTTGACAGAGAGGCGATGAAGACTTGGGTGTATCCGACAAATCTGGGGCCAACTCGAGACTATCAGTTCAGCATTGTCAAAAACAGCCTGTTCAATAACACGCTCGTCGCCTTGCCGACGGGCTTGGGAAAGACCTTTATTGCCGCGACTGTGATGCTCAACTTTTATCGCTGGACGAAATCGGCCAAGATTGTCTTTGTTGCGCCAACAAAGCCGCTTGTAACGCAGCAGATCGATGCTTGTTACAATATTGCGGGCATCCCTCGATCAGAGACCACGCTCCTCACCGGTGACATACCCCCTGCTCTGCGCAGTGACGAGTGGGAGAAGCGACGGGTCTTCTTCATGACACCGCAAACGCTGCTCAATGATCTTTCTCACGGATATGCGGACCCCAAGAGTATCTGCCTCATGGTTATCGACGAGGCTCATCGCGCTGTGGGCGAATATGCCTATGCTAAGGCTACCAAACTCATCCGGCGCTTTTCCAATAGCTTCCGGGTGCTGGCCTTGACAGCCACGCCAGGTTCCAAGGTCGAAACTGTACAAGAAGTCATTGACAATCTGGGAATCTCGCATTGCGAAATTCGAACGGAGGAGTCCTTGGACATTCGGCAGTATGTGCACCAGCGGAATATAGACCAGATCATTCTCGAGCCCTCGGACGAGATGAACCTTATTAGCGAGCTGTTTACCGAGGCACTCAAGCCGTTGACGGAGAAGCTGACCGCCCAAAATATATGGTATGGGCGGAATCCGATGGCTCTCACAACGTACGGTTTGATTCAGGCGCAGAAGGAGTGGTTTGCCACGCGTGGGAATCGTGCCAACCAGGGCGTCCAGTTCATGATGCGGGCCATCTTCAGCGTTTTAACAAGCCTCGCTCATTCGATCAAGCTATTGCAGTTCCATGGCATCAAACCTTTCTACGACAACATGGTCGACTTCCGCAGTGAACAAGAGGACAAGGGCGAGAAGGGATCAAAATACAAACGCCAGATCATCGACAGCCCCAGCTTCCAAGAAATGATGGATAAGATTGCCGGATGGCTCAAGATGGACGGCTTTGTGGGACATCCAAAGCTGACGGCCTTGGCGGACTGCGTGCTTAACCATTTCATGGACAATGGGGAGAGTACTCGGGTGATTGTGTTCAGCGAGTACCGTGATTCAGCGGAAGAGATTGTGCGCATGTTCAATGCCCACAGGCCGCTCATCAAAGCTACCGTCTTTGTTGGGCAGGCAGACGGCAAGCGCGGCGAGGGTATGAAGCAGAAGCAGCAAATAGAGACGATTGAGAGGTTCAAGACTGGCGCTTACAACGTCCTTGTTGCCACCTCCATTGGAGAAGAGGGTCTGGACATTGGCCAGGTCGATCTTATTGTGTGCTACGACTCCTCGGCATCACCGATTCGCATGTTGCAGCGCATGGGCAGAACGGGTCGAAAGCGCGCAGGCAACATTGCGCTGCTGCTGATGAGAGGGAAAGAGGAGGAGCAGTTTGCCAAGTCCAAAGACAACTACGAAAAGATGCAGAGGCTCATCTGCGAAGGAAGCCGGTTCAACTTCCGGTTCGACCTCTCTACGAGAATTGTGCCCCGGGACATACGGCCGGAGATTGACATGCGACATGTTGAGATTCCAGTCGAGAACACTCAGAACACGTCGTTACCAGAACCAAAAAAGCGACAAGTGCCCCGGGGCAAAAAGAAGCCACCCAAAAAATTCCACATGCCGGATGGAGTACAGACTGGCTTTCAAAAAGTCAGCGACTTCATGAAGCCATCGGCAGGCACAGGCCGAACTGCCTCCAATTCCAACCCAAAGCCAAGGCGAAACCCCGAGCTGGATGACATAGCGGCAATTCCTGAACTGGAACGTGTTGTTCTTGGCCCGGATGAGCTTCATGAGCTCGAGCGAACGTACCGGAATTTGCCCTTCAGCCATAGCGTGGTTGAAGACACAAATATGCCAGACATGACGGCTCAGTCGACGTTACAACGACAGCTACGGCCAACTGTCTTATTTGGGCATGGGCCATATACGAAACGCTGCGTCAAGCTGCTACGAAAGATGGAGGCAGATCCCGATAGCTTCGTGAGGCCTTGTCGAGACGTGGACACGAGCAATTTCCTCGAGATTCCAGTTAGGCCTTTTGTATATTCCGATAATGGCGAGACAGATGCGAGCGATGACCAATCTGAAGCAGAAGGGATAAAGCGAACATTCGTGGATCTTGATTCGGATGATGACGCTACGCTGGTTGAGGCTCAGCAGCCGAAGAAAAGGAAGGTCGCGGCCACAAAGCCTCAGCCCAAGAAGTCTCAACCCAAAAAGACGCTCAAGTCTGCTGTGTTGGATTCAGATGACGAAGACTTGCTCGACTCTGAGCTCGACATCGATGCCCCGGAGGAAGAGCCTGGGTTGCCGCCCAGACTCAGCGAGGCAAAGCGGCGGAAAAGGCTGAATGCAAAGTCAAAGGGCAAATATTCTCGGAAAGCAGCCATTGGCAGTGACGAGATAGGGGATGATTGTGAAAGAGACAGCGATCTGCTCGACGAGAGTGACTCGGACGATGGAGCAGACCTGGTGGATTTTGTTGTTGGAGATGACCAAGCAACGTCTAGCATGCTTGATTCCGAAGCGACGTCTCCTATACGGCAGAACGAGCGGACGCCGCGAGCTGAGGCAAGCAAACCATATTTTGTGCCGACACAGTTCACGGCAACGCAAGAGAGCGAAGACGTTCCCGAACTCGATACACTTACGGGTAAATCCGCGTTTGAGAGATGGGCGAACGGAGGGTCCGAAGAGGCGGCACCCGCTGGGAGGAGGCGGCGCGGAAGAGCCACATTATTAGACAGTGACGATAGTGACGTCTGATGTTTACTACGGGAAAGGGTCACAGGCGTTGAGCTATGGATGGAAGCAGGTTATGTTTCTATTATGTTTTATCGGATATACAGGGCTATTCTGCATGGAGCGAACTACGAGGCAACGAATTGATGACCGATCGAAACCTGATCAATGCTCCTCGTTCGACGTACATCATTACTTCGATGATCTAAACTCTGAGGGACGAATTAGCACTCGTCCAAGGGAACCACAAGGCAAAATGTCCGCATAATTCATCCTCAACTCTTCTCTTTCAGAAACCCAGTTATAAGCACAACGGCCCCCACCACCGCCAGCGGACCGTCGCAGGAAAACGCCCGAATGCGCATATGACGATGCAAAAGATTCAGACGTGTAATTTCCCGCTCTTGTCTGCTGGAAGCGGCCGAAGGACCGACGAGAAAAGGAGAAACGCAAAACAAAAGCTTGAATTGCGTTTTTTGCCCCCCTTCTCTCGTCGATCGGAGGCAGTCTCAGACGGCTCTTCCTAATAAGTGTATTTGGGTACAATGTTGCTCATCATTTCGAGGAGGGGAGGGGGGAAATGGTTGTTTGTTGTGTTTTTGTATGTGTGTGCGCGCGTGGTAGGGGAATTGGAGAGGAAACGTACATTTTACAGCTGTCGGAATAGCCGTTGGTTAGCAGAATATAAAGGGAGAGAGGAAGAGCAGTGAATCAACTGGAAGCCATGGTATCAACACACAACTGCAATCGATCGTGGTGTGAGCTTGATATTGGAGGAAGGAGAAGAAGTTCAAGAAGAAGAAAAATTGCAAACCTGTGGCACGGTAAAGCTTGTCTGCACAGCACGTGAATCACCCGCATTTAAGCGGAGACCTCAGCAGAACGCCCCATAATGCTACCAAGTCATATTAGGTTTAGCTCGATTGGGTAGCTTTTTGCAGGTGGGCAAGCGGGCAAGTGGGATGGAAGCAATGGGAAGCAATTGAGAGTTGAAAGCCGAGGAGCAGCTTCCTGCCTAAGATGGGCTACTAGTACCTATCGCTTGTTAGCTGTAGAAACTTGGAAGGCATGACGTGACGCCCAAACCAGCGCCGGTTACCTTATCTGCACAGCTCAAACAAGGGAAAGCAACGGCGCTTGTTCTTTGCTTTGCTCTGCGAACCGCCCCGGATTTTTGTCTTGCCGGTTCGGCCTACAGCCTTCGCTTCCTTGTGATCCGATCTGTTTCCCTCTCTTCAGGTTCTTACATAACTGAATCACGAACCTCCAACGAACAGAAGCAGAATCAGCACGGACTCGATCAAAACCATCACAATGGCAAAGGGGATCTCGGTCCTCAAATTCGTGGGCACCGTGTCCCTCGGACTGCTGACGGTACGTTTTCGTACTTACTCTCCTGTTTGAGGTGTGCATTGAGGAGGAGGAGCATCGTGGGTTGAGATGCCGAAGTTGCCCCTCCCCCTCGCTGAGAGTCGCATGGTTCGTTCCACTGCATCGCATCATCGCATTCAATCCCCGCCAGTTGCGAGCGCCATGTTTCAATGACTCTGCGGACTGAGAAGATCGGAAGCCGGCAAGCTTGGGGCATCAAATCAACGGCATTGCTACAAGCGGACAGTCTTTGAGAGCCGTCAATGCATCGAGGAACAACATCACCATGATGATGATGATGGATGTGATATGCTGACTTGAGTACCACAGGGCGTCTCATACACCGTGTCGACGCTCACCCTCCCAACCCTCCTCACCCTCCCGTCCTCGTCCTCCGCCGCCCACGGCCTGGCCTCGCTGCAGTCCTCCCTCCGCCTCCCCGTCCTCGCGCTCTCGTCCCTGGCCGCCGCTCCGCTCTTCCTCTCCTTCGTCTTCTCTCCGCGCTACGCTCGCCACCCGTATCTCTTCTACACCTCTCTTCTCGCCGTGCTGTCCGTGGCCGTCCCCGGATACCTTCCCCAGCCGGTTACCCCAGCTTCGAAGTCTGCCGGCGCCCGCAGGGCTACGTCGTCCAGAGCCCGCATGGAGGCCAGCTACGAGGTCCTCGGCGATTCACACAGCGAGGGAGACTTACCCAGCGAGTCTGAACTGGAGGATGCCAATGGCGAGGAGGTCAGGGCCAGCGTTGAGGGCGCCGCGAGGGCATATCTCGTCCGGACCGGCTTCGCTGCCGCCGCGTTTGTGCTGTCTGTGGTTGGGCTCTGGGGTGATGGTGCTCCCCGAACTGTCCGCTACTACTAGGCCTTGAGCTGGCTGATGTAACTTGTAAGATTGTGCGTTGGTTGCAGATCCGGTGAAGGGGTTTTGCCAGTCGCTGGATTAGAAAATATGTAACATGTCGGAAAGTTGGGTTATGCCTAGGAGAGCGAGGCAGTTTCACCACACTCTCTTTTGAAAGTTTGTCATGCCGAAACGAAAATCAAATCACCCTGTTCAAATACCATCACATTTGTTGAAAATATATATCCGTATTCATTCACATCCTGCCTATCTATGATCAAAGTCATCCCATGTAGCCCAATTCGACCTATAAAGAGCACTTTTCACTATCATGGGAAGTTGAGATTGCACATTCCGTCATGATACGACCCGCACGCATCGCATTTCTCAATGCCATACTGCTCAGCTACATAGCTGTTGATGCTCCAAGCGTGGCCGAGCTTCGTCGCAAGCTGGTTGGCAGCAAAGTCCCTCGTGTTGTCCTTTTCATCCCCCTCGGCCTCGTCTCCCTCCTCCTCGTCATCGTCCTCTGCTCGGCCCTGGACGGAAAAGTAGCGCGAGGCCGCATGCTTCTCGCCGAGCCTCTTCGCGACGTCGTTGGCCTCGTTGAGGCTGACGAGGCGGCGCTTCCCGGGGTTCTTGTCCATGGCGGTCTTGCAGAGATCCCAGATGACCTTGTTGCAGGTCACCGGGGTGAGCGACTCCTTGCTCTGCGCCAGGCCGACGGCGCCGATGATGGCGGCCACCTGGCGGCGCTTGTACTCGCCGCTGAGGCCGAGCTCAACCACCTTTTCGTGGAGCTGTTCGCGGCTGAGACCCTTGACGGTTGAGCACGTCACGAAGTCGGTGACGGCCTTGGTGGGCCAGGCGTCGAGCTTGTCGACTCTCGGGCTGTGGACCTTGTTCTGCTGCGCAAATTGGTCGGCTGTTACATTGTCCTGAGCCACCTCGGCAGGGGTGCGGCCGACGGCGTTTTCTCTGTGCAACAGCTGCGGCTTGAAGTCGACGAGAACCTTGACGATGGCAACCATCTTCTGCATGACGGCCGTGTGCAGGCAAGTGTCGCCCGCGCCGTTGAGCATGTCCAGCTCCTCGCCCTTGGAATACTCCAGCATCAGCTTCAGCATGTCCACAATGTTCACAGTCCGGGTATAGGGCACCGGTGCAGGGTGGTGATGATGTCGCCAGCGCCTCGTACGCCTGCCATAGTAGGCGGAGTTGTCATGCTGGCTCACGCCGGAAACTTGCGAGATCCAGGCGTGTAGCGGCGTCAGGCCGTTTGCCTGCAGACTTTTGCGCTCCGTAAACAGATGATTTCGGAGACTGGGATCGAGTATATCCAGCAGGCGGCGAAGACTGCGGGCCATTGGGTTTCCAGCTACGGCCGCATGCAAGATGTTTTCTCCCTGGTGGTTGCGAGTGCACTGGTTGGCATTTGCGTCGATGAGCATCTTGGCAAACTGGACGTAACCAAGACGACAAGCCAACATCAGTGGCGTGTCGCCATCGGAAGTCTTTCTCTCAATCGAGTCGGGGTAGGATTCGATCAAGTACTCGACCAATTTGACTGAGTTCTCGGAGGGCGATGCCAAGATGGCCGTGTGCAGCACGAAGTCGTCTGCAAGGACCCTTTTGTCAGCAGGTATCTTGATATCTTGTACAAAGAAGAGGGCTTACTGTCTGCACCCAGCCATTTGGATATGACGCGATCAAAGCCGATTGGGCTCTGAATGAGATGCTTGAGCCGAGGATCCTCAAGAGCGGTCTTGGACTTTGCAAACTCGGCGTACAGACGATGAGGCTTGTCGCCCAAGAAGAACTCGACTGCTTCAAGGCGGCCACCGAGTGCTGCGTGAAGAAGAGGTGGCGTTTGGACCCCGGTGGTTCTGACGACCATGTTACGGCCGGCCGTTGCCCAGTCCTTCCTGATCGCGATGTCAGTGAAAACTATTCTCTCGTCATGTCTTGGTCGGCATGTTCATACCTCTTCTTTCCATAAACCGTCAGACCTTGGTAGTAGCGGGGTTTCTGCTTCAGCTCAGCGCCGCTCTTCTTGACGAGGTGATCCAGGGGGATTCCTGCGCCAGTTCGCTTGATGAGGAGACTGAGCGCTTCCGTGTTCCCGCTTTGGACTGCGAATAGGAAGTCGCTCGAGTCCATGTTGAATCTCTTGCTGGTGTCCTCTTCATCACCGGTCAACTCCAAACCTTCGTACTCTTTCATCAATCCCAGAAGCATTTTCAGGCTAGTTGTGTCCTCTGCCTCGATGGCTTGCCGCAAGAGACTGGCTATGCCACCGAGTTCAGGCGGTGCGTCATCCTTCATGATGACACGATGCGCAATGCCTGTAATCACATCCATGGGCCTGACATGAGACTTGACCTGCATTGAGATCTGCCCAACGTCATCGATGGTAAAGGCCTTGTCGATCGCCTCCGAGACAATGCGAAGCTCGTTATCTGACTCCGACTCATCGCCGTCGTCGTCATTGTCTTCACTCTCGTCACCGTCATCTCGTGACTGCATCTTGTATCGGACCTTTTCCTTTTCAGGCGCTGACCACTGGGCCCTGATAATCTCCAAGATAGCCTTGGCTGCGTTGTGGTGGCCACGAAGGAAAGCAACCGAAAAGGGAGAGTTTTGACTGTTGTCGTAGATGGCCATCTTGCACGGGGGTTGCTCGTTGTTGGGACCCCAAGCTCGAAGAGTTAGGGACTTGATCGTTTCCACGTCCCCAGTCCAGGCTGCTTCCATCCTGAAAACCGAGTAGTATTAGTAGTGAGTCTTGATCTTGCGTAACAGAGACATGGACTTACAATCGCAGATATCCCTCTCTCCTCGCTTCAGTCATGAACTCATCCCCATGGAATAGGATCTTGGGCTCATCTTTGTTGTAGTGGTAATGTGGCATATAGCTGTTGTAGTAGTCGTTGGTCCGGCCAGTCATCTTGATATCCGGATGAAGCTCAGTGAAAATCAGCCCGCCTTTGGCAACAAGGATACCTTCCAGCTTGACGAGCTCCTCAATCTTCTCCTTGATTGCGTTTGCTTTTTCGACAACGCCTTTGGGGTTAGTCACTTTCCGCAACTCTTTCTCGTAGTTATCGCTATCGCGCTGGTATCGTTCTCGAGCCTCCTTGATCCTGTAGGAAGCTACGCAGTGTTGATAAGTGCCGGGCTCCAGATCCTTCAAATAGGGTTCGAAATCCGGCAGTTTCTCAGGCTTTGTATACATTGTTCTCGGCTTTTCTCCATCGTACTCGCGCAACTTTTTGATGAGACGCTGAACCATGTCCAAGGCCGTGACTCCGATGGTATAGTTGCGCTGCGACTCGTTCAACATTGCGTTCTCCGTTTCGCGGGTGAGCGCGTTGGGGTTTGCCCCGTGTTCCAGGAGATGAATAACTGACTCAACGTCGCCTGACCGGATCGCCGTGATCAAAGGCTGCTCCACCGACTGCCTATACCTCTGCTTGGTCATGTCGGGGTTTGCGAGGTGGTTGGCCTGTGTGGGAGTCACCTTGGCCGATTTGAGCCAGGCATCAAAGTCGATCTCGGTTGAGGCTCCAGCATTCAAAAGCTTGAGGACAAGAATTGGGTCACCTCTATCGAGAGCAGTCTGAAGCGGCAAGACAACATCGGGATTCCACGTATGGCCTCCAAAGAACAAGTGGTTGATGGCTGCCTGAGTGCCTCTGGGGTCGCTCTCAATGAGTGTTCCAACCATGTCAACGCTGCCTTTCTCGACATAACGATGGAAGGCGGTACACCCGTCAGAATCGGCTTGGGAGCAGGTGGCGCCGAGTTGGAGAAGCAACAGTGCCATAGACTTGGCCTTTTCTGTCGGCAGCGAGAGTGCAAGCGTCAAGGTAAGGATGGCCGCGGCTTGGTTCGAGTATTGAGGGACATTCAGGAATTTGACGGGAAGGATCGAATCGGCTCCATACTATTTTGACGTTAGAATCCAAACAAATCAGTGGCTCGGGCTGGACATCGAGAGCCGCTTATGAAACTCACATCGCAAAGGGTCTTGACAGCCTCTTCGTGCCCTCCTGTAATAGCGAGATGGAGAGGAGAGCATGGTACATCCCAGGCGAGTACGTTGATCTGGTAGAAGTCTGGTCCTTCCTCTGGCTCGTCGAGTGTGGGCTCCTCCGTGCCTGTGTTTTCCTTGCCCTTCTCTACCTTGACGAACGACCCAGTAACGATTGAGACTGCGTCTGTCTCGGTTTCGGCGTTGTCCACAATCTCAATGTCTGAATCCTCTGCATCCTCGGCTCCCTCGGGTGACTTTTCAGTGTCTTCGTTGTTGTCACTCCCTTGGGCCCTAGCAGCCTTGCGTCGCCTGTCCTTCCTGTCCTCTTCAGCTTCTTCATTCTCATCACTCTTGTCCATCAGAATCTTGATGATCTCGGCATGGCCTCTGGCGGCGGCGAGATGAAGAGCCGTTCGACCGTCCGCAAGACGAGCGGTTAGGCGAGCGCCGTGGTCGACGAGGCACCGAACAACTCCTGGAGAGGAAACCATGGCGGCGAGATGAAGCGGTGCTCGTCCGGTGTAATCCCTCTGATTCGGGTCTGCGCCTTCTTGAGAGAGCCAATTCAGGACATCGTCAACATCATCATCGACAATAGACTGAAACAGTCTAGCCGTGTTGCCGACATAAGCCATGTCGGTCCAGTCTTGCTCCGTCAAAGGATTGAACGATCCGATCTGCTGCCTGCCAGGGTCGTCAATGAGAAACGTGACCTTGCCGGAGATGTATATCTCAGCCTCTTTCTCGGCAACCTCAATCTCTTCCGGGGTCACTGGCTTGGGGCAAGACCCGCAGCAGTCTTCGATCACATCCTCCACCCTGCCAAAGAATGCAGGGTGGCGATGCAGATAGACTTCGCGCTCCTTTGGCTGGTTCCACTCGGCGTTGAGCAGCAGGTCTCGGGTGTAGCAGAGCTTCTCAATCCGCTTCGCGTTGAATTTCTCGCCATACGGAACAGTGAAGGTGTGATAGTTGCTGACGTCTTCCTCTGAGAGCCAATCGGCAACCTCATCTTCGTGGTAGGACTTGAGGTTTCCTCTGAGGCTGAAGTGGTTGCGCTGCACCGCCGGCCGGCCACGCTCCTGACGCCTTTTGTTGAGGTAGGCATCGCGAGCATGCGTGGTTGGCAGTCGTTCCAAGACCAATAGACGGGCAAGTCCCAAGGTTCGTTGAAAGCTCCTCTCGAAAATTGTTGGGTCAACGCGGGATCTGTCGAGCTCAGGCCAGTAAACCTCGAAATTTCGATGAGAGTATTTGGACAAGCGGTTCTCATAAGACGGACTGCGTCTGGAAAGATCTATGTGGTTGATCTGCGTGATGATGCTGCCGAGGGTCCTGGGAGCCACGTAAACCTGCTTACCGTCGTAGGCGGCTCCAGCGGCATCAATGTCGAATCCAGTCAGAATCTCGCTGACTGACTTGTACACACGGAGAACGACCTGTGAAGGGTCAGTTTTAATAAGAGGCCTGAATAATCCTGCGCGCCGAGGTTTGTCCTCACCTGCACATGCCGAACGGGATATTGACTAGCAATAGTGATGGCATATTTGGTGCGAACGACTGTGACTTCGCTCAGGATCGAGTCCCGAATCGACTGCTCGATCTGCTTAATCTTTTCGATGGCCTCGTCATGGGTGAGACCATACAAGAAGAGGTCGACATCGGACGCAGGGCAAAACTTCTCGTGATAATATTCGCGGAGCTTTCTCTTGTTCGCTTTGAACTCATTTGGAACTGGCAGCAACGTGTTGACAACGGAGGAGCCGGCTGCCACGACATTGTTCCAGTCGAGCTCGGCAAGAGAAGACTCCGAAAAGATGCCAAAGTTCTTCTGAAACTCGGCCAGATTGGCAACAGTTGCTGGTGATCCATGTGGGCGGCGCTTGTCGTCCGGCAACACCATGATGTACTTGGACTTCTCTTCCTCCGATTCAGACGCCAGATCTCGAGCACGAGTGGTGATGCTCTTGGTAGCATCAGTAAACAGAGGAACGACATTGAGGTAAGGATCCTTGAGGATGGGGTTCTCCCTGTCCTGGGCAAACACCGAGCGCAGGTGGGCTTCGTATCTGCGGTAGGGCTCCATGATCTCGACCATGGGCTTGGCCGGATTCTGGGCAATGTAGTTGACCAGGTCCGCCTGGGGCGCAGGCAGCTCAGGGAAGTCTGCGAAAGCCATTGCTGCGTGTGAGTCCGAGTCAATTGAGGGCCGGCTGGCGTTGGACGGAGAATGATATCTCGCACAGCGAGGGAATTGACTGTGATGGTGACGTGGTGGAGAAGAAGCGAAACTCGTAACAAACAAGAAGATCGAAGAGCTCCACGTCCGATTGAGTCCAACGAAGAAGAAGAGACTCGTGAGATGAGAGATGGCTTGGGAATCAGACCAGGAAACGAACGGAAAGACGACAAGCTTTATACATGTCCAGCTGGCCAGGAGCTAGAGAGACCCTGAGGCGATTCTCTCATCCCGCGAGACGATCCATCCTCGGTCTCCCAAGCACTAGAGCTGTGGAACAGCCGCTAACGACGATAGCATCTTGGTGGTGACTGTAATAGCGCTTGGAGCTGGAAAAGGGCATGGAGCCACGACGCGAGAACGCGCTTCCACATCGTCCGGGGGTCTGCTGCCTGGAGCAGAGGGCACGACTGCATCGCGAAGTCCCGTGACCGACGCCTGGATGGAGACACAAGCCGAGGGCATCGCCAGAGAGGGTCGCTGGTGCCTGTTGGAGCTTGGCTTGAGAGCTCGGTCGAGCTGCCGGCCCCACTATGGCAGCCTGGCCGGGGCGGAGAATTGCGATGGCCGGGCAATGGAAGTTACCCGATCAGGCAGAAGGCGGTGGAGAACGAGCAAATGATAGGGACTCATTCAACTTGCAGGAGGGAGGACCTGTCGCGTCGTATCTTTGACTTTCCATCCCGCCGCCTGTCGAAAAATTTACACGAGATGCAATGCACGAAGCAGTACAAGACATACTGCGGACCAACATCAATGGGAGACGTAATTGCACGCAACGGAAAAGAATTCACGTATCCATTCACATGGAACCCTGATTCCGGCAATTGCTGCATTCGGGGTTCGCTTTGAGTCATTGTACGTCTAAACCGCCTCTCTTGTCTACTCTAATGTCACAAGACGCCCGCTGTCCATTACCCTGTACGCTGGCTGCAAATCAAATCTCACTCGCTTTTTATCCCAAAAAACCATCGAGCCAAAAACGCCTGAAATAACACAGTGATGCTGAGACCCCTTACACCTCCGATGTGTTGACCTTCTTCTTCTCGGCCCCTGAGAAAATGTACAAGAGACCAGCCAGTCCCTTGCCCGCCCCAGACACAGCAAGCGCAGCCCCTGACCCGGCAGTGCGATAAATCAGGGCACCGACCAAGCCCCCGATGACAAGCGCCAGAAGAAACGCAACTCGCCTCGTCCGCGGTCGGTTGTCCAGAACAAAGAGCTTCTGGTCAATCATCAAGTCCACCCACGCTGCCGTCGCCATCGCAGTGCTGATTTCGGTCGCGGCCAAGCTTCGAGACTGCACCACCTGGCTGCCGGCGGCGAACGCCAACAGGGCGACGACGACAACAGCGCTCCAACCATGATCATGGACTCCGTGCCGATATTGAATGCCGGTCGCAGCAAAGACAAGGCCGGTTTGAATCAGGTTGCAAAAAATAAGCCACCATCGCTTGCGAGGCCCGACGATGTGGCCTATTTGGCCGGTCAACCATCCTGCGACGAGGAATACGCCTAATCCCGTGCCGATGTTGGCAGTATAAAACATGTCACCGTTGAACTGCGGCATGATCAATGCCAGGCAGAGGAAGATGGTGTTGCCGGTTTGGTTCGAGGCGAAGCAGTGATAGTCGGGGAACGTCGTTGCATCTGTGATATGATCTGTGTTAGCTTCCTAATAAGGGAAAAGACGATGCTGAAGTAAGAGTATGCTGACCTTGAATGCCTGTGCAGAACGTGATCAGCAAGAGTTGGAGCTCAACGAACAGTGTTGTTCGAATGTCCTGTGAGAGATAGTCGACAAGTTCATTGTTCCTGTTCGGTTCCTTGGCTGCTTGTGGCGTTTGCTTCCCGGTATGGAGAGACCCTTCTCGACTAGTGTCCGGTAGAGGGGTCGTTGTGACTTTCTCCTCCGTCTCGGCCATCGTATCCGTGATATATGTTGTAACACTCCTATATAAGAGCTAGAGGGAGTGTTAATTCTGTTTGGCGGCAGTCCTCAGCAAGTCATCTGATTTCCAAGATAGGGCAGTGCATCACAAAAGTGTGTGTGAAGGCTGGAGATTAGGGATTCCGTCTTGATTTATTGCAGGCGTCGGGACCGACATCCGTCTGAGGCACGGTTGAAAAAAATGGACTTCCGCCGGCCCCACGCCGAAGCCAGGATCCAGACCAGGTCTTTAAAGGGGGAAGCAGATAACGGACACTTCCGGCCAACTATCTTGCGAGAAGCGCATACATCATGGTCATTGCTGCTTTAAAAACCAAATTTATGACATGTGTATTAGATCGAGGGTTGTTCCGATCGTTTCTCCGCATCAAGAAAGGATGCTTGGTCATGCACCTGGGATCGAGATGTAAGACTGTCTGACACATATAGCAAAGAAAGCGTCCGCGTCATGATTTGGTGCAAACGCTGGTAAATCAAGTTTCAAAGACAAAAAGCAATCTGTCGCATCCAATGTTTGCCAGAGTGACTGAGTTGGCATCGCTGCAACAGACGTTGCACTGGAATTGCGTCCATTCTGCTGAACTTCCTTGTCGCTTCTCAGAGAGCAAGCACTGCATGGTCAACACTCTGGGAGCCGAGTTCCGGGCTCATTCTCACCGACTGCAACGACAGGCTCTTAGATAATACTTACGTACCTGACCCCTGGGACGCCATCCATGATGTGAAAGAAAAAATCAACTGTCGGCTTAAAGCGGCGTGGCTGCGAAAGCCGTCCCCCTTGCAGCCAATAGCCAGGTCCTGACGCACCGCATCCGGAGTGGGCCCCGGCCGGCTGCCGTCCAGCCAGCCGTGCGGGCCGGGAGGCGATCTGATCGCGACTCCACCGATGCCGCCGACAGCCGTTGCTGTTTCCGCTGCGGTTTTGCAGAGAAATGCTGCTTCAGGCAGTGATCGTGACATGTCAAAAAATAAAGTTATAATAGACGGCGACCTTGATCCATGCAGAAACGTGGAATTGAATGACTCGGAGGACTAGATCGTGGTTGGAGAGTGTCGTGCTGGTAGGGCTGTGGGTATGGGTTGTCAATAAGGCTGACATGCTTAAAGACTAGGTACGAGCACGTCGGGTATCCTGGAGGGTCTCAAGCTCTTTTAGGAGAAAAGGTGGTGATCCTATGATTTGTGCTTTTCGTATAGCAAGTAGGCGGATACGACAACGAAGGCAGCCAGGAATTTGATGATGTATGGGTCTGTGTATTGTATGTGTTGGACGCGGGTGGCCGACCTTCGCAATGAGCTCTTCTCATAGTAGAAAATATGGCATCATCATAATAAGGACTTCAATTCTATTGATGCCAAACCGAAGTCGAGTTTCAGCCGCCGTCAATAGCTATACAGCCTCGAGCAGCCATGTGCCGATGTTTGTTGGCCCCGTGTAATTGCACGGCAGAATTGTATGCTCTGACTGGTGATAGGGTCGTGTTGCTGCCAATTGACAATGCATGCCCATTGAAACTCTCTTATATTAATTTCCACATAAAATTATATGGTCCCTGTCCATGATAATGAATCTTTGTTTTGCCTTTCTAATTGACTGCTTGAAATTCGATTGACCTGGTCTATTGCAGGTCTGATGTTGAAATTGGTAGCGTTACCTAATGCACAATCTTGAACCGCATATTCTCCGACTGCCGCTGAGCGCGTTAATGGATCACGTGCTGTCGCATCTGCTGACTAACCAAACGCGGTACGCGACTTCTCCCACTATTGTTTCAACGCCGCATAAACGAAGCAACAAGCTGTTGACAGGCATCAAAACACCAGCGATACGAGACAACGGCTCCAATGCTCGCCAGAGGTGCAAATGCGGACCAGTCTGGCATCCCGAAGCCGGCTTCATGACTCGAAATAACCTCGCGGGCCACCTCACCTGGTTGTTGAAGAACGCCGCCTTATCAAAGCCCGCCGCTCGAGAGCTTCCCCAAGCCAGCGACTCAGCATCATTCCGATTTTCGCAATCCCAGTCTGCAGGCGGCCGTACGGCAGAGCCGAGTCAAGCAACCACCGTATCAAGTGGAGGAGACAGACATCGTCAGCAGGTTCAGGAATCTCGGAGCTCAAATGGCCCGCCGAAGAGAGAAGAAGGTTCACTGGTTACAGAAGTGGTGGCATTAGAGGACGACGATATGGGCCGCCTAAACTTGTCTACCGGGTCGAAAAAGCCTTCGCTTTTGTCACAATATGGCAGACTTGCGACGCCATCATCAGCTGAAACCCAGTACAAACAGCGCTCAAATGAGTCTTCAAAAACGAGTGGTGCGCATACCGAAAAACTGGGTTCTGATATTCCCAGGTATAATGGCCCGATAGCAACTCCGGGGTCTGCGAAACCAAAGCAATTTGTCCTGTCACCGGCAAAGCCAGACCCGTCACGCCGCAGTCCATCTCCAGGATTCGACGCTGATTTTGCGGACTTCGACGTGGACGATCTGGAATACATGGATCTGACGAGGACAACCGGTGCATCTGACGAATCTGATGAATTTGGCGAAGATGTAAAAGTCTGGACCGAAAAGGACGCATCCTGGGAGGCACCGTTGCCCAAGACTAAGAAGAGGAAGAGTGCCGATGCTGGTGCTGATACTCAGTTTCCCGATGTCTATCAGATTCTGGGAACCTCTCCTCCTGCCCCGACTCCCGGTCGACGTTCCGTCAAGAAAGTCAGTTCTGCCGTGCCAAACCTTCAACAGACAGGGAGGTCCATTGTTGCTAAACCATCACAGAGTGTTAAAGCAGGGTTACCTTCGGCCGGGTCTTCATCTCCCTTGGGACGACTTGCCAATCAAAGATCACCATCTCCAATCAAGCGGACCCCTGATAAAGACTATGCCATCACTAGCTCTGAGAGAAGGAAGAAAGCGAAAGTTTCTGGCCGGCGTTCTACATCCCCGGATTCTCTAGACTTTGACGACCGCATCCCTCAACCCGAACAGCGCCGAACCGACGAGTATTTCATTCCTGATTCCGATGACGAATTTGTGACACCCCCGTCAGTCCCTGCTGCTACAAAGAAGGATTTTGTGGCGCCTGTGGTCAACCTGGAGAAAGATGACTTCATCATGGATGTCGAAGATCTGCCTCCCACCCCTGAACCAAGACGAAAACGGTCACCACCGCCTGCTCGACGAACACAGGCCAAAGACCTGGAGGCGTCTCACCAAAGCTTATCTGATACCCCGAGCACAACCACTGCCGACAATGTGAGCGAAGACAGCCATCCACAGCCGCCGGTTACGACATCCAGCCAATCATCAAAACTCCTGTCCATAATATTATCGAATCCGCAGCTACTAGCGAAAAGGTGCGACTCGTTAGACAAGAAAATCCAGCAGAATGATCGGGACTTCATGCAGGCCATCAATGACAGATTGCCGAAGGAGAAGAGGAACGAGATCAAAGCGGAGAAAGAACGGCTCGTCAGACAACAAAAGGCGATCCAGGATCTCGATCAATCAGTGAAACATTACAAGAATCTGCACCAGCAACGAGAGGCAGTGGCTCAGAAGGTAGCACGATCATACGCCGAAGGTGCAAATACGGACGAAGAAGAAGCCCGACTGGACGAGCTCACTGAGCATGTCGAGACGAAAGAAGGAGAGCTCGCTCAAATGCTAGCCGCAGCAGGGCTCAACGAAGCCAATCTATTAGATACTACGGAGGCTCCTGACACGAGCCGAAGAGATGATCATATCGTTGTGCTTGGAACCCAGGCTGGTCATGGAGGCTTGGTGAACATGTCACGGAGTTCAAGAGACGCTCACTTGCCTATGGGAGGGACTCAAGTCGTCCATCAGACCCAACTTCCTGAACCTGTCCGGTCACAACTCTGGAATGAACCCATTCCGGCCCAGAGAATGACTGGTGGAAGCGGTAGTCTGTCCCAAGAGGATTTAAACTCACGATCTAAGCCATTTCCACGACAGCCATCACGTACCACCCAGCTGCCCGATTACGCCTCGACGTCTGCTCCAAGATCAGTGCCAACGCTGGTCCATGACGTGGACGCCGAGGAAGATTTCTTCTCTGACATTGATGACGTGGACATGCAGCTGCTACCCAAACCGGCGAAGAAGGCCACTCCAGCCGAGACACGCAAAGCACCTCAGAGGAGTCACATTCAACGCGCAGCAAACGAGTTTAGCGACTTTAGTGACGATGCTGATATGCTTGCATTTGCTCAAGACTATGAGGGACGGCAGTCTGCTCGAAATCTGCCCCTGGATTCTCGACGGGCATTCTCCGAAACATCTGGAAATGCTGTGCCCGCGCCAAAGCAGAAGCAAGCCTCCAAAAGACAGGCGCCTCCAGATTCATCTCAAACAAGGATACCGGCGGAGCTGATGAGACATCCTTGGTCTGCAGACGTACAAAAGACCTTGAAAGATCGATTCAGGATGAAGGGATTTCGACAGAATCAACTGGAAGCCATTAACGCCACGCTCGCAGGCGACGATGCCTTTGTTCTGATGCCAACGGGCGGTGGAAAGTCCCTCTGCTATCAGCTCCCAGCTGTTGTCAAGTCCGGCAAAACAAGAGGCGTCACTATCGTTGTTTCTCCTCTGCTGAGCTTAATGCAAGATCAAGTAGATCACATGAAAGCTCTAGGAATACAGGCCGTTGCATTCAACAGCGAGTGTTCGCCAGAGTACAAGCGGCAAGTCATGTCTGCTTTCGATGAGCGGAATCCAGAACACTTCATCGAGCTCCTCTACGTCACACCGGAAATGGCCAGCAAAAGCCCCCAGTTCATGAACGCTTTGCAAAACTTGTACCGCAACAAAAAGTTTGCTCGCATCGTCATCGATGAGGCTCACTGCGTTAGCCAGTGGGGGCATGACTTTCGTCCAGACTACAAGACGCTGGGACAGCTTCGAGCCAAGTTTCCTCAGGTTCCTGTCATGGCGCTGACGGCCACTGCCACACAGAACGTCATTGTCGACATCAAACACAATCTTCGTATGAAGAACTGCCAAGTGTTTTCGCAAAGCTTCAACCGTCCGAACCTGTACTACGAGGTCCGGCCTAAAGGCTCCAACCCGGTAGTGACGCAGCAGATCGCTGCTTTAATCAAAGCCAAATACCCCGATGTTACAGGCATTATCTACACAATTTCGCGAAAGCAAGCCGAAGATGTTGCCCAGAAGCTCTCTGAACACGGCATCACAGCACGACATTACCATGCCATGATTACACCCTCGGAGAAGGTGGAGGTACAAACTGCGTGGCAAAAGGGCCAAATCAAAGTCGTAGTGGCTACGATTGCTTTCGGGATGGGGATCGACAAGCCAGACGTGAGATACGTTATCCACCATGGCATTCCGAAGAGCTTGGAAGGCTATTATCAAGAAACCGGGCGTGCGGGACGTGATGGGAAGCCCTCCGACTGTATCTTGTTCTATGGAAAGGGGGATATAAGAGTCCTCAAAAAGCTGATACTGGACGGAGATGGCAGCCACGATCAAAAGGAAAGGCAGATGGTAATGCTGAACCGCGTGACAGCATTCTGTGATAACAAGGCAGATTGTCGACGAACCGAGGTCCTCCGCTACTTTGGAGAGGACTTCCATCCGTCACAATGCAACAAGACCTGCGACAATTGTCAGGCTGGGCTTGTATTTGAGCAGCAGGACTTCTCCGAATACGCCATAGCCGCCATACGAGTTGTCCAGCAGCAGCACAGACTGACGGCCAACCAGTGTGCGGATATCTTGATTGGGAGGAAATATCCAGACAATGAAATGCAAAACTCGGATGAGTACCACGGCATGGCCAGGGGGATGAAGAAGCATGAGATTGTGCGCGTTATCGACCGCCTCTCGGCTGAGAAGGGCTTCCACGAGGACAACGTTGTTGGCAATCATGGAGTTGCTATTCAATATCTCCAAATCGGACCTGCTGCCGACCAGTTTCTGACGGGGAGACGAAAGCTTATGCTGACGGTCCAAGTTTCTGATCATGGCGATGCAGATCAGACGAGACCCAAGAAAACAAAAGCCAGCAAGAAGCAGAAAGAGCCGGCTAATAACGTACAATCGACATATGTCTCCTCTCCCGTCAACGCACGCAGAAAAAGAGCAATGGTGCTTGATAGTGATGACGAGTCAAACCTACCCACGACAGCACACGGCTATGTGAACGATGGCTTCGTTGTCTCGGACGAAGAGATGGAAGACGAAGGTGAAGAGGAAATGGCCGAAGAGGACGAAGCTTTTGAGCCGCTGCCTCAGCACCGACCCGCGAAACCAACCAACTCGACAGCCAGCTCCAGAAAGCCATCACGGCCCGAACCTACCTCAGGTAGGCTGAAGCTGGAAGATCTGCCAGAGATCCATCAGGACGTGGTGGATGCTTTCGTTCAAGAGGCACGCCAACTGGAAGAGCGATTTCGGAACAGGCATGAAATTAGACGACCACTGTTTAACGATTCTCACCTGCAAGAAATGGCCATTAATTGGACCATCTCCCTCGAGAGCATGAGCCGGATTCCCGGGATTGACGTCGAGAAAGTCAAGCAGTTTGGCTCGAAGCTGATACCAATCTTAGAGACGTATCATGATTCATATCGCGAGATTTCCGCGGCAGAGTCTGGTGGTGCTGGTGGCTCAGCTTTCAACTTAGATCAAGAAATAGTGGACCTGATCAGTTCGGATCTCGAGATAGATGAGGATGAAGAGGAGGCCATGGGGATGGAAGAAGACTCTCACTACTTTGCTCCCCAACCGCCAGCGAATGTGCAAGCATTCCACGACAGGCTGCAGAGCTTGAATAGTCACCCGAGTCAATCCAGGGGCAGATCATATAGCCGGGGTGGCGGAGGGGGAGGAGGAGGAGGGCGAAGGAGATACTCTGGTGGGAAGAAATGGTCCAAGAAAGGTGCTTCTGGCGGAGGCTCTCAGCGCCGGGGCAGCGGCTCTGGCGGGAGGGGTGGCAGTTCTGCGAGGGGAGGCAGTTCTGCGAGGGGAGGCAGTTCTGGGAGAGGAGGCGGTTCTGGGAGCGGCGGCGGCGGTTCCTCGTCTCGATCTGGCGGAGGGAGCAGTGGCGGGTTCAAGCGTGACGGCAAGATCGTCAAGAAGAGTGGAGGAGGGATTGGTTTGATGCCTTTATGATGAATTGACCATTGACGAACGGCTTTGCTATTCCTCCGGGCGTTTTTGTTCTGTTTTGTTTTCTCATTTGCCTGCGTGTGTCTTTGTTTTTCAATCTGCGTGCGGCACGAGATATGGCGTATCGACGGCCACCCCCCTTTTTATGCTATGGTGTCAGGCGGAAGATCGATTTACGGCACGTTGACAGGGCGACTTTTGGCGTTTGAGCGTTCTAAGCATCTACATAAACCACCATCACTTTCCCATAAAGCGAAATAGAGAAAGAAGAGCAAGCGGGAGAAGGACGAAGAAGAAGAAGAAGAACCTTGATGGAACCCTTTTGTGAAATGTCAATGAGGTAGAAGTGAGGGAATGTCTGCAAGTGTATGCATATATGCTATAGAGAGATACCTACACTACTATGCGCCCTTTAGAAACAACATACTTGAGAACCTGACTGAGTTTCATCATTACGGTAGTATCTGAAGGAATATTCATAGGCAAATGATGTCTATGTTCCCCTAGTTCTATATGGCTGCCATCATCCATCTGTCAGATCGGATACAACATGGATGGAGGATTTGCTCAATTCATATGGCCATACCGGGTCTCAATTTGAAAACAAGATTTCAAACAAAATCACCCCAATCTCAATGAACTTGCACAAAAACTTTGTCTTCTAGTACAGATACAGAACTGTAGAGCTCACTATTACTAGCACAGCTCCGGGAATCTCAACTATAGCAAACAGGAACGACAAATGAAGCACACAAACAAAATAAATGACAGAGAAGGAGCGAACACAGACACTAAAGAGATGAATGGTTGAAGTATAAAGGATCGAATTAGTTGTCAAAGGTGATGACGGAGATTGAAAATGGAGAGAAGAATGAAGAAACGACAAGATTCGCCGTTCCAAGAAACAATAAAAAGGTAGAAGAAGAGAAGAAGAGTCATCTTTTTGGGTGTCGCGTCATGTCCCATCCAACTCCCACACCGCCAGCTACCCTGTCTCGCTTCGCTCCTCCTTTGTGTGATTGCAACCTTTTACGCCACGCTATGAAATGAAGAAAACACTGAAACAAATTACTGTAGAAAGCACGGGAGTGGCATGCCATGCGAATTGTGAGCTGAGGCAAAAGAAGCAGGGATATTTTTGAAAATGAGAGGCTTCATAGCAAGCGAGAATCGACTCAAGAGGTTACAAGAGGGGTAATAGACACACAATCCGATTCCAAAGACCCTCCAGGTCCGATACCATATTATTGGCTTGGGACATGCCATCAGATACCGCCACTTCAGAATCGCCACCTGGGCTTGAGATCTTTTGGCTCAGGGGAGTTGTCGCTGTATTTGCGGGAGCTGAACCGGCTGAAGATGGGAAGGGGGCTCGTTCCACGGGCTGATTCTGTCCTGCCCCTTGGCGTGGGCAGCAAGCTGCTCCGGCGAGATGTAGCCATAGAGCTGCTGGGACGAGTGTTAAGGCTGTCCAGGGTCAGGTTTGAAGAAGTTGGCAGTACGTTGGAACGGCGAGCTGGCTGTTGCTTTGCGAGGTTGGTTTGAGAGTAAGGCCCGGGCGAAGTGAGGCGCTCACGGAACGAGAGCCGGGAGTGACCGTTCCTAGACCACGACCTGGGAAAAGCGTCGCTCATGGGGGATTCCGCCCCAGTGCGAGTCTGAGAGCTTCGAGGGGTGGGGAGCTTTGAGGTTGAGATGGGCGTGATGGAAGTCGTCGACCTCTGGGGTACAGGCGTTCGATGCGGGCTGCGGCCAAGCTCGGCGTCAAGGGCGTTGGACGACGAATTCCATCGAGGGCGTTGCCCCATGGTCGAGGCAGGGCGAAGGGTCGAGGACGAGGCAGAAGGGGGGTAGTAGGACTGCCTGTTTCCGGGCTTCTTGGAAAGCTTCGAGACGGGGGCAGGGAGCGATGAGTCCCGCCGGTTGGTCGAAGTCGACCGAACGCTGGAGGAGCTCGCATTGGGGGATCGAAGCGGGTTGCGGTGTTTTCGCGCGGGCGTGTGCGGGTCGAGGCCAAACGACGACATGACAACCGACGAGGGCGGAGAGCTGCCTGGGGTCTCCATGCCGCTGCCACTGGTCGACCTATCGTTGGAGAGCATGCTGGAGACGGAGTCGCGCAGTTGCTGGCTCTTTCGTTCCGCGTTGATCTCCTCGAGAACGAGGTCCATCTCTGCCATGTCGGCCTTGAGCGTCTCCCACCGCGTTTGCATCTCCGCGTGCAGACGCAAGATCTCGCCGTTGACGGTCAAGCGATCCTTGACACCCTTGTCGATGATGGCGAGAACTCGTTCGATGGCGGGACCATAGTGTGTCTTCTTGGCCTCGTAGCTTTCAATCTTCTTGGCAATAGCAGGCTGGTTCGTCAGATGCATACCGGCTTCGATGGCCTCTCTCAGCTTCATGAGAGACCGCTCGACGGACTCGTGCATCTTTTGAGCCTGCCGGCCAGCGCCACGGAAGACAATGACCCATCTGTCCTCCCCAAGCTCCTTGCGTAGAGACTCGGCGTCCTTCTCGAGCTTGTGGTAGCTCCCGTCTAAGCCCTCGCGGCGCATCTCCAGCTCTTCACACGCGGTGGGGAATGCACCCTTCGCCCTCGCTTCAAAGCTGGATAATCGCATGGGCAAAAAGTCGAGCGAAGCCCGCAGAGGCTGCATCCTGGCGAAGAGGGCGAGCAGACTGGAGTCGTCTTGAGACAAGGTCGATGCTCCTCCCGAGTTGGGGCTCATCGGCAGTGCCAGGCTGAAGCGGTTCGAGGGTTGCAGTCGCGCAGCCGAGAGAGGGTTGTCTTCGACAATAGTCTCCAGGTCTCCAATGTCGACATTATCGCCGCTGGCAGCGACAGCGAGGCTCTTATGGCGGCGCTCTTCCATTTCAAAGACGAGCCGGCCAAGCTCATCCAACTCGCCCTGTATATCGCCCAAAACGCTGTTCCACAGCTCCTCCCACTCCATGGCAATTTCGACCTGGTTGCGCACATTTTGCAGAGTATGCTTGATGCGACCCCATTCTTCGGCTATGGCCTCCATCTGGGCAACGGCTCGGTTGAGGTCATCAGTTGAGACTGTCGGGATATCAGGTCGGTTCTGCAGCTCGTCGATGGCGTTAACATAGGCGTTGATCAGATGCTCGAAGCGGCTGATGGCATTCTCGACCTCCTCGAGGCCTTCACGGCCTCCGGCAGCGGCCCACTCGACGTCGTCCTCGCTGTCCAGCCCGCTGACAACCTCCAAGGCCTTTGAGATCCAGCTCCGGATTTGCTCGGCAGCATTGATCAGGGCTTTGGTGGCCACCGGGGCTGTAGGGATGGCCGACACCTTGCTGGCGAGCGCTTCGGCATCGGGAATGCCAAGCATGTTGAGTTGAGCAAGCTGGTTAGCAAACGACGCCCGGGAAAGCGTGTAGATGGACCCGGGCCTGCCGTGGCCCTGGGTGAAGTAGGAGCTCATCTCTGGCTCAAAGTGATTGAAGGTGATGACTTCAGGCGGCGTGATCTCCACGGGTGGCGATTCCTTCGGGGGAGGAGTTGGTGGGGATGGAGAGTAGGAAGGGGAGTAAGACAGGGACTGCATAGGCGAGTTGGTGAGCGAGGCTTCGGGAGGAGAGGATGGCAAAGGCGGATACTCCTTGGGCGATGGCGGACGCGTAATCCGCTCCAGGTGTTCGCGTCGAGTATCCAGAGTGACCTTGGTGCCATTGCCGTTGATGTGGTCGGGCAGGCGGTATTTCTGCGTGTCCATGTCCATGTTCGGCGGTGATTGCGGCACTTCCATCTCTTGCACGTCGGGCAGTTGGTAGATATCCGCGGATCCGGGAGACATGGAGACGTCCGACTGGCTGGTTGATCTGTAGTGATTGGGAGGGGGGGCGCCGGCGCCTTTCCAGGGGCGGCCGCGCCGGGAGATGACGGCGCTCTTGGAATTCGCCTGGTGTTTCTCGTCGAGCTGGCGGAGTTGTTCTTCGTCAAGCCGACCGATGTCGACGGGCTGGGAGCTGACGGTAGCTCTCTTGCTTGCCGCACCCAGGCCCAGAGCCTTCAAGCGAGCAGCAAGACCTGGCGATGTCTTTCGGAAAGCAGCGACGAGGAGCTCATGCGACGGATCGGGTTCGAGGAGAGTGCTGCTGCGTTGTCTGCCAGTGGTCGGACTCAGAGCCGAGTCGGGAGAGCCGTGCGCGAGCGCGTCGTTGTAGGTGCTGCCGATTTTGCTGTTGTTGTTCCTGGTGGTGTTGCCTGCGGTGAAGGAGGTGGCGGTGGTGTTTACATGTACGTTTCTGGAACCCGTGCTGCGGCTCGTCCTCGGCGTCAGGTTTGCAGATCTTCTGACGTCGGCGGGAGTGGCCGCGACGGACGCTGCAGCAGTGGGAGTGGCTGCAGCCGAGGCCGACGCTGGCGCTGAGGTTGGAGCTGCTGCTGGAGCTGAGCTCGGCACCGAAGCTGGAGCTGTAACGGGAGCTGAAGCTGCGTTATAGTGAGGCGTGGCGGGCGACTGAGTGATTTCGTCAGTGAAGGATCCAAGGTTTACACGCTCACGGCCTGCATCGTGGTCGCTGGTTTCCCTCTCACGGTCGCGCTTTGGACTCTGGCCCACGGCGGAGTCCCTCGAGCTCTCGTTGGCTGGGGGCGAGTCGCGGTCTGGCTGCGAGGCCGGCTCGACGACGGCAGCGGAGTGGCTGGTGGTCATAGGCCGCAGGTGATGGCTGGGGCTTCACGTCGAGAGGCGCCCCAGAGAAGGTTGGAGAAGGTCGGTAGCGGGTGGCTTGCTGGAGGCGTTCAGCGCACTGCAGTGCAGCTGCGGGTGCTGCGCTAAGGTGCCCGGGCAGGTGGTGGGCCGCGATAGGTGTCGGGTCCCTTCAGTGGATGCCTTCAGTGGACGAGGGCCCCGAGGCCGTTGCTGGCGGTGCAGCGGCGCAGTTAAAATGTTGGGTGGAGAGGCGAGGGGATTGAAGCTATGTATTATGGAGGTTGCTGGTTGACAAGAAGCGATGCCACGAGTTTAGGATTTATGTTGATGTTTTCGTGTCGACGTGCAGCGGTTTGTCGCGGACAACAGCAGGGGCCGGCAGCAGATTGGATACCGGCGCCGCCACCACGAGATGGTCGAGTGCTGATACGCTGCTTTGTCGTCCCGTCGTCTCGCTGCCGGTTTGCGTCTTGGGGGCTGCTGCTCCCTCGCGGCGGTCCAATCACGACAGACACGCAGCGTCGAGACTCCCGCCGGTGCCGCTGCTTCTGTCTGGTCACTGGACAGACCAGATACTAGAACAAGCACGAGGGTGTGGGCGGATGCGATGCAGTAGGGTTCGCTAGATGCTGGAGGCCTGGTCTATTCGCTGGGCTGGGCGTCGGGTGGCTGGTGACTGGCCGAGAGAGGGGATCAATATGGGTTCTATGCGTAGGCGATGCGGTGCTGGTGGAGTGCGTCCCGGGCCCTGCAGCGCAACGAAGCTGCAGGAGTTTGCAGAAGAACGGACGGACAGCTTTCGACGGCAGCAGAACTTGGGTCGGGCTGGATATGCGTCTGCCTGGGAGGCGATCCGCAGAGGTGAGCGTGGCAGCAGGCGATAACTTGGGTATCCTCCGGGTCTGGTGGCTGACGGCGTATCGACTTCTGGTCGTACTGGTAATCTCCTGGGAGAGTGCTCGCGATGGGCCTCGGGCATCAGCTGGCTGAATCAAGTAAGGCCTGTGTGCCGGGGTCGTTGGAGTCGTCGGGTCTGGCTGAGAGTCTGGGCAAGGGGACGGAGCAGTATCCAGTGCAAAAGGCGCACAAAAAGCGACGAGGCAGCAGTGATGGAATCCGCGGTTGCAAGAGAGAGGCAGCGGCGGCGAACACGAAGACGAAGAGGTGGGAGATTGGACAAGACAAAACAATACAAGGCCAAGTTGCTGGAATGGCTCGCCGTGGTGAGTCAAAAAAGGGGGTTGAGGGAGATGGAGGCAGCGTCCAGTCTGGAACAAGTACAACTACCTAAGGTAGGCCAGGAGGGGGGGCAAGTGTGAAGAGCGAGCAAGAGGAAGAAGCGCAGAGACGTCACGTTAATTAACGGGAGCTGCTCGTTCCTGAGCTAAAGGAGGCACAGAATGGCTACAATATCTTACGGCCCAGGCACGCAGCATGTACGAAGTACAGAAACAGAACACCTCAATCAGTGCGCCTTGCTTCCACTGTGTTGTGAAGCCCTCGGCACTTTTGTGCTGGTGCTTGGGCTTAATGTTGTTTGGGTCGTGATCCGCCTACCGAGCCTGCACATTTGTCGATGAATGAAGGGCTAGACATGGGGCAGGGCGTCTATCAAAATTGGACATTTGGCAGAAAAAGCAAAGAAGAGAGGGAACCCAAGAGATGACGAGCGCGAGGGCTTGATAGACGGGCTGGATCCCGGCCAGAGGCTCGGACGCTCTCTGCAATACGCCTTGCGCGAGGACGGACCAGCAAATGGCACTGGGGCATCCACGTCGAAGGTACAGGCGCAAGCACCAACATGAACTGCTGAAGACGTCTTTTTCCCTGGCTTCAAGCAGACTGGAAGTAGCTCTACCAGCTTCCACTGTGGAACGTTGCATCTGAAACTGCGGTTCGCACCGAGGAGGCGCGCCTTGGCCGGCTGTCTGCGCCAATGCTCGATTACACGTGTCGAGTCGGATTGATTCGCAGCGTCTGGGATAGTAGATAGTCTATATCGTATACAGGTAGCGATAGAGCTGCCGCCTTTGGCATGTGTGAGAAGACGCAACTAGGTCCAGCGTGCCGGTTCGAGCCTCGCCAGACGCAGCCCTTACGCGCGGCTAACGAATGGCATTGGCCGAGACGAGGCATGTCATGGCATGGGACGTGACGTGAAGCAGAGGAGACGGAGGCGTGGGCACGGATGTGATGAGAACGAGTCGAGCGAGTCGCATTGCTGGTAATGGGTGAGGTGGCTTCAATGTGACGGATCAAGAAGCTCCAGGTTCGGGGCCGGTGGACGGATTGGGGAGGACCTGGAGGGGACTGGAGGGGGACCACGGCGCACTAATGCTGCCACTGCCGTCTGGTGCATGCTGTGCTCACCCTCACGCTCCCAGCAGTTTGCAGCAGGCTGCAGCAGCGGGAGAGCGCTAGACTTTAGAGCCATGCCGGGCTAATTAGCGCATCCCCACCGCTGACACGGGAGCTTCCACAGCGCTTCCACACCTCGAGGCTCAAACAAGGTGAAACGCGGCGACATTGAGGCCATCTCCACCGGCCGGCCCGCCTCCACCAGGGCAGTCCTGCAGCCATTTTCTGCATATTGGCAACCTGGCAACATTAGCTACCGTCTGATGCCTGTGCCTGTCATGCTCCGTCCGTGCTGAGCTCTGGAGAGCCTTTTCCTCTGTCATCAGGTTATGAGGGCGTAGCAAGGAGTGCAAGCACGCCCTATGAGAGGTGCTGCGGGTGATGGAGACTGGAAGAGGAGCTTGGGAGCTCTTTGTTCATTGGCACAGCTGCTGCTCCTTACCGAGCTCCAACGCAGTTGCTTCACGCTCTCGCTGGAGATGCAGAGTGGAGGTGTGGTAATTTCATGCCCAGCAGCGCTGCCTTTGGTCCAGAGGTAGAGTTGGAGGCCCGAGGACGACTCGAGTCCGCCGTCGTTAATTAAGGCGACGCAACGGCCCGCGCTATGAACATTCCATTCCATTCCATCATCGGGCCTCGATTCCCTCTACTGCTGCTCCTCCGACAATTGGTGCCCTCTAAGGTAGGTATGAAGTATTCTAGTGCACTCCCAGCTCCTGTCACACAGAGGATGCACTCCGTACCTGCATGGGAGGCTTCCAGCTTCGTCACAGGAGATGTGCATGCTTCAGCCCATGTCTTATGATGCAATTACAGCAAGCAACACGAAGCAGAATGCTACCTTACTCTGGATGATCAGATACCTTTACCTGACAAGTCTCAAACAACCTGCCGAGGTACCTAAGGTATGACATATACTCGTAATACTTGTACCTGTCGCTCTTCCTCCCGTCAGCACCGACGCTCCAACACCGCATTACCTCATCTGAAACCGACATTCAACGCCTCTGCCCCATCTATCCAGAACAACCTCACACCTCTGCTGCTTCCCAACTAATAGCTCATCCATCATCAGCCATACAGCTTCATGCTTCGCTCGCATCACTTGTATGGAAGACCTGTACTTACGAGTGCATGCTAATCGCGGCTCGGGCTTCTGTGGAGAGGAAATTGCGCGCCTCTGGTTGCCCTGGGATATGACACCCGCGGCCAGGACCCTTGGAAATCGCGAGAGAAATGATTCGTCACCTTGGCCCGGGGGTCGTGCGTGGGCCTTGGCCTGGTCGAATTTGCCCGACAGGCTGTCGAAAGCCTCTGCATGCGAGCTAGCAGGGCCTGGCAACTCTCATCATGGACCGTGGTCGAATCGAGCAGCCTGCGAGCACCAAAGGCGAATGGCCTCAGTCCCAAATATAGACCAGTTCTCCGTCCATTGTACGGAGTACATGCCTTCTTACTCGTGCGAGTGCGCATGTGCTCTCTGCCACCGATTTACCACTAGGTATCGATTCGTACTCACTTGCTCGTAATGATACAGGGAACCGAGAGGAGGACTGAGACTCGGACTCGGCGAGGCCCATTGCGGTTCAAGCCACTCTCTCTCGGGCGGAGATGGACGGAGCTCCTCTTGATGGCATAATGCGACCCTCCCACCTTACGGACGCACTACTGTAAATCAATGTACAAGTACGGAGTAAACAATCCCTTGCGTCTTGGCTATAGAGCATGCGTGAACTAATGCACGCCAAAGTACGAGTATCATCGCGGCCCAGCAGGAAAAGGAAAGAAAAAAAGGTCGGGTTCGTTTCAAGTCGGCTACCCCCCCGGACAACACCAAAGCACGAAGCGCAATTTCCCATCTCCACGCCTCCCACCAACTATGTTTGGCGACCCTCAGCCAGCCGGAACCCCCTGAGCCTGAGCCCGTACCCTCTTCTGTTCTGTTGGATTCTTGGATCGTCAGCACCAACAAGCCCGACCAGCCCTACCGCGGCCGTGACTCTTTGCTTTGCCTCTTGTCTTGCGTCTCTCGTTCTTCTTTCTTTCCGTACGTGTGCTACTTCTTTTGTCAGTCAATCCAGCGGACACTGCAGGTATCCACCACGCCATTCCCTGACTGTTCTGTTCTGTTTGTTTGTTTGATTCGCGGTGCCCGGCAGCTAGACACTGTTGCTGCCTCTCTCTCTGTCAACCTGTTATATCCTTCGTTCGCTCGTGTGTCCGTCTGTCTGTTGTGCACGCGACTTGACCCAGCCGAACCGCAGGCCCTGGCATCAAAGGGAACCGACTCTCTGAGCAAACCCAACAACAGCCGCAACGGAGACAAGATCCGCTTCCCCTCTCCAGAGACGTCACACGAGGGACAGCGGCCAGTCCGGAGCTTTAGCTTGGATCGATCCTCGACAAGACGCTGCGTCTCCTCCGTGCTTCTTCTCCGTCAACGCTGCCTCGTCCTGCCTCGTCCTGCCTCGTCCATAACACAATGTCTGCCGAAATCGAGAACCGCCCGCACTCGCCCGATGCTGCCCCGTCCAAGGCCATTGGCGCAAAGGCCGAGCCCGCTCGCTGCCTCTCGGCCGCTTCCACCATCTCCCAGGGCTCGAGCACCGACGCCGCTTCACGGGACTCGCTGGGCAGCGAGCTGTCGTCTCGCATGTCATCTCGCATGTCCACCATGTCGTACCGGTCCGACGTCTCTGGGAGGTCCTCATCCAGGACCCGGCGCCGAGGCTACATGCGTCCCCAGGGCACCGACTTCGCGGCCAGCGCCAAGTCCCGCGAGAGCGTCATGAGCTTGGGCAGCATTGCGCATCTTCAGTATTACTTTGCCCGGACTGGCCTTCTCGATGGCAAAGGCGGACAGCTGGCTCGCAAGAAGCAGCCTCGTGCGACGCTGGACCTGGCAGCCCTCGAGGGCACGTCGCCCATGGTCGTCCCGACACCCACGACCGCGGGCTTCGACATGGACCCCTCTTTCGTCTCCATGGGCAGCAGCCCGGATTCGGGCCAGGGATACATCACAGGCTCCCCCACGGGCATCGACGACATGGACGACTTCTACGACGGCTTCCTTGAGGAGGACCCGGACATGCTGCCGCCCACGGCCAGCACCTACAACCACCGAGAAAAGGTCATCCCCAAGCCGCCCACGGTAGCGGAGCTGAAGACGGAGCTGGAGGGCGCGCTGCGCGATGCCCTCAAGGTGCTCAAGGAGGCAAAGGAGCGCAAGGAGGGGTCGTACAAGGCACCCAGCGATGCGCCTCATTACCCCAACATGCCCGAGGAAAACACGCAGAGCTGGTACGAGCTGCAGGGCATGAACATCCTCGACGTCGCGACGCTGGCCATCCGCGCCGCCAAGAACTACTACACGGCCCACGAGCTGCCCGACCGGCTCGACGCCATCAAGTCAGAGAAGCAGATCCGGACGGACCTCTTGGGCGTGATGGAGGTGCTGAAGCAGATGGCGACGAGGAACTTCAAGGGCGGCGTGAGGGACGAGGAGATTGGGACCATGACGTCGTGGATCGACAGCGTCTTTGACATCCTCAAGAAGGAGGCCGAGATTGAGGCGACGGAGCAGGCCGAGCGCCAGGGCTGGGCGTGGATGAGGGGCGACTGGACAGGCAAAGAGTTGGAGCGCGAGCGACAGTTTCTCATGTCCATGGCACCCGACGACGAGCCGCTGCCCGAGTGGACGCCCGCGTCCGGCGCCGCCGAGCTGCCGACGCCCTTCCTGGAGGCCATGCAGAACGGCCTGAGGCTGGTAAGGCTGCACAACGCGGCGGTCAAGAAGTCTAGGAGGCGATTCGGAGCGATCCCGACCTTCCACGTCAACACGCAGAAGCCGTACCGCAGCGCCGACAACCTGCGGTACTGGGCCAAGGCTGCCGAGCTGCGCTTCGAGTGCATGATTTCCATCGACCCCCTGGGCATCGTCTACAACAACGGGCCCCAAGTCTGGCTGGACTTTGAAGCGGCCATCCTCAAGTGGTGTGCCCATGTGAGGGAGGAGATAACAAACGAGTTGGTCTAAGACCCTTAGTACTTGCTTTTGTCTACTTTTCTCCCTTTCTCACCCACCACCCCTTGATTTCTCATTCTCTTCTTACCTCTTCATTATCTTGTTTTAATACCTGTTTTCAATACGTGCCTCTGCTCATACGCATATTATTACTACAGCAGAAAGAAGGCATTTTCGCTCGCTGACGAATTCACGCTGCGATAATCCGACATTGACTGGAGTCTTCTTTCTTCCTTTTTCTTCTAATACCTTTTCTGGACCAACACGGCAGTATCTTCGCCCGGATTCGATGTCTTCATAGCTCACTTTTCTTTCACCCCTTGGCCTTGCGTTTTCGTTTCTTTCTTTTTGGATCTACATTGATTCTTTCAGGACATACACATTTACACCCACGCAATATCGAGGCAGAGGAAGGACCGGATTTCTTCTCTCTTACTGAGACAAAGATTGACGCTGCATCACACACAAGGGATAACAACCTTTCTCCTTCGTTTTTTCATCCTAATTCCCCATCATTGTTTCTCCCCCCTTCCCCAAATCCATTTCGCGCTGTCGTTCTTTCACAGCATCGGCGAAGCGTCATTGTCGTTAGTATTTCAATCACATTTGTCCTGTTTTACTTAGCCCAGCACATGCTTTGCTTACCCCTTTCCCTTTTCCTGCGTGTCCTTAGTCACCAAGCCCCCCTTTTCATTTCCCCCCCTTTCAAATCGGAGAAGAAACAGCAGCAGCAGCAGCAGCAACTTCAACAACAAACCACAACAACAACAAACTACAACAAGTACAAACACAGACTGGTGTACATCAGGATGGATGGATGGAAATTGACCAAGTGCGACGCGCCCCAAAAGAAACAAACTATATGTCAACATATATACATATATACCCCCCCCCTTAAGTTGGCGTGAGCGCAGGCGCAGGCGCAGTTGGTTGGGAGTTTTTCGATATAGCCGGTAGGGGTGCGCAGAGGGGTTTAGATAGAAGAGTAACGCGGAAGAGAGGAGAAGAAGAATGAAACGAATTGGCTATCGCATGCTTTGTGTCTTGCTGCTGTGCGTGTGTTCATCGGTGGAGTAGAGTTGTGTTGTAGAGACTTTTCACAGGCTCGCCCCCTTTATGAGACCATCTTCTCGCAAGCCCACTGAACTCACCTTTTCTCAACTCAGCAACCACCTCAGTCCCTCCTCCGCATCCCTCCTCTGCCTCGCACTAACCTCGAGATCCGGAAACAGCGCCCAAAACGCATGCGGCATCCCGGGATAGACATGCCGCCCCGTCTCGACGCCCTCGTCCCGAAACACCTGCTCCGGCAGCAGTCCGCAGTCGCGCACGGGGTCCAGCCCGCAGATTTGAAAGTACGTCTTGGGGAGGCTGGCCCTGACTGAGGAGGGGAAGGCGAGGGGGAAGGCGAGCGGGCTGTGGGGATCGACTTGATGGTTCTCTATAGTATTATGTAGGAAGAAATCGTTATCAATCTGAGCCTCCCCCCAATCTGTCAATTGAGGAGGGTAAAGAGAAATAACAATAACTCACTCCAGATGAACTCCATGGATGCTTTGGACAGCACCGGCGCTTCGGCACACTGCTCCAGACTGATGAACCGATCTCTACACTTGTCCGGCACCGTCTCATTGTTCACTGCCCCAGGAATCGCCGCGTATACGCCGGTGAGAGGAGGACTCTGTTGTTGTCCGTCGTGGAGGTACATGTGAGCGACGACCAGCGCCATATCAGCCCCGGAGCTCTCGCCCCCAACGAGGAACCCCTTTGCGGGATCTATGCCCAAGGACTGTACATTTTGCGCCATCTGGGGGGGGGGGGGGGGGAACAGAACAAAAAGTCAGCAGAAGATTCATACTTCGTCAGTACCAATGCCGAAAGGAAAAAAGAAAAGAAAAGAAAAGGTGTCATTGTGTTATAAAGAAAGGGGGGCTGTGGGATTGTTTAGTTCTCACCCATCTAGTAGCATCAAATGCATCCTCCACCGCAGCAGGGAACACATGCTCAGGCGCAAGTCTATAATCGACATTCACCGCCACGCCGCCCAGCTGTGTGACAAACAGCGCGCAGAGCCACGTCTCCGTGTCCAGATCCCCGACGGCATACCCTCCGCCGTGGAAGACGACGAGGCCCGGTCGGCCGCCGCCGCCCGCTGTTGGTGATGATGATGATGATGAGTCTTGTTCTTCTTCTGCTGCTGCTCGGGGCTTGTAGACGCGGACGGCAACGGTGCGGCCGTCTCGCACCGGGATGCGAATGTCCTCCTGGAGGTAGGGCAGCGTGGCGGGATCGGGTTGGGGGGCTTTGGCGGCTTGTATCATGGCGCGGACTTGGGGGATGTTGGTGGTTGAGTCCCACGATGCGAGGAGGGGGGATCCTGAGTTGAGGATCTGGTTGATATGTATCATCAAGAGTCAGATTTTTTTCTTCTTTTTCGTACGACATACACATTGTAGAAGAAACAACTTGAAGCAAGAAGACGTGCTCACCGGTGCAAACTCAGGATTCACCTCTGCAAGCGCGCGGATTTCTTCAATGGAAAGCATCTTGCCCAACTGTCTAGACAGATGTCGTTCTTACACGAAAGCAGCTGTCACAAGTTGCCCCCAGACACATTTCAAGCTCGTATATTTACTTGGTCAAGAAGGCATGAATTGCTTCTCAGAAATACAGTACGAATGCTAACTTCGGCGAGGGTGAGCACTTCTCGTATTTTTTTTTCAAGCCCGTCAAGGTCGGCCATTATCCCCATGTAGAAGGAGCCCGGGCTGGGCCATCTCGGAGGTCGGAAGCGGTTCATCGATGCAGGGTTTCCGTGCCGGGGCGGATCGCGGAATCTCCCGGCTGATGCAAATAGTACTTCATTCCTATTAGTGACAAGCAGATACATGGAATCGGTCCCCCAAGACAATGACTACAGATGGTCCAAGGAACAATTCAAACATGTTTCTTCCACGGGCCTCTCAACTCCAACATCTCAGGGTAAGGTACATAAACTGTAGATGTTGTAAAGACGCAGATACATGGAAAAAAGTCCCTTGATGACGTCAGCGAACCATGTCCCCCAAATCGCGAACATCCCGCGCCTGCACGTGAGACTCTCCCCCTCCGATTGGCCCATTCCGCTGCTTAGAAATGCGCCGGCGATTCTGGCGTGACCAAACCCGATATCATCGCCATTCCGAACCGGCCATCAAATTCGAGGAAAGAAAACATAGAAGACTTCAAACCGATTGGGAGGAAGAAGCATTGATTCAGAAGTTTCCCGACAAATCGTAACGACACGACACACACGAGCAGAGAATTGCTACTCATTCTACACATCACACCGATCCACCTGTTTCCCGGTCAAGATAATTCACATACCAACCATCATGGACGCCAAGCCTGCGACTTTCTGTATGCCCATTGTTCCCATCCCCCCTTGCGCGCCTCTCTGTCCGAAATAACCAGCTGACTCGTCGAATCAACAGCATTGGCCTCTGCGCCCGCTACCTCTCCCACAGCCTCTTCCACAACTGCCTCCAAGCCCAAGGTCCGTCTTTCCGACTATCCCGTCGAGAAACAAAACGCCTCCAATTGCAAGAGATCATCATGATGTTGCTAACTCTGATGCCCCCCAGCCGTGCTGCGTATGCAAAGAGGAAAAGTCGAGGCGCGACGAATGCATGCTCTTCTCCACGGCCAAGGATCCCGCTGCCGACTGCAGGTCACTCGTCGACCAATACAAGAGCTGCATGCAGGGCTTCGGATTCACCGTATAACAAAAACGACAACAGCTTGAACTCCCGTCGTTTCTGTCCTGGTATCAGGACTTGTGTACAATATCCCACATATAGATTCCTCTCTCAAAAAAGTAACGGCGTTTATCTTTGCTTCTACCATTCAGCTCTCCCGTTTTCCGGCAATCCTCTCCAGGGCGATGGCGGCATCCTTCTCTCTGCCCTCGTATCCTGCCATCAGCATAGCCTCCAACTCTTCAACTGTTGCGTGCGCCTTCGCACTGATGCTTCCCATCTTGTCTTCGATTGCACCCTTTCGATCTTCAAGTTCAATCAATCTCGTAATACAATCCAGCCGCCGCTTCTGCCTGTGCATGAAAGCAAATCAGCCCAGGTTCACAATTCAAGAATCGGCGGCTTCCATACCGCTGTTGTTGCAAGTCGCGCTGCCAAGAAGCGGCCTTCTCCCGAAGTTCCGTCAGAGCCGCATTGCTTTCGGCCATTACTGCTCCGATATTGTCTTCGCGTTCTTTCTTGAGCTACTTTGTACTCAGTCTCTACGTCCTCCATGGATCGTCGTGGATGAGAAGGGGTGACTGGACGAACCTTGCGAATTATCTTGTCTGCTTCCAGCATAGTATCGCCTGGGTCTGGAGACTCGCTGGAGCGAGATCGAGTGATCCTTCCAGGCATTGTTGTGACTGATACGGCAGGTTATCCCTTGATCTGTATAGAAGTTGTGAGGATGAGAGCACCAGTCGTTGCCGGGAACAATGGAGGAAGAGTTGCAAAGACTTTGTCGATTAGGACATCAGACATGCATTTACGAAGGTGAGGGGCAGAGAACGCAATATGCTGGAACAAAAATATGAGGGAAAGAGCTTGGGACTCTTCGAAAAGCTGGGCGCATCTGACCTCATCGAGAAAGGTAGGCGCGATGCCAACCCCTTCTAAGATTATGAGGTAGGTACCTAGGTATCAATGACTACTCTTGGTTCGCTTTTGGCTTCACAAATTGATTTAAAAGGAGCATTTGATTCTCCAAGCCGGAGGCGGAAAAGCGGAACACGCAAAAGGCAAGATAGGCCAATATATGCTTCTTTACATTTGATAATTACAGCACACAGCAATCCCACTACCCGGCAGCAGCCGTCCTCTACCTTGACAAGGCAATGTCGTCTATCCTCAAAATCATCTTGACAGTCTCGGCCGCCAGCTCAATGGCGCTGGTGCTGACCAACAGGGGCTGCAAGACATTTTCCTTGGAAATGTTGGTGTTGACTCCTCCCGACTTGATGCTGACTCCGGCGTTCTTCTCCCCCATCTCGTGGCGGTGTCTCAAGTCGGTGACAACCTTGATGCTGTTCAAACCGGCGTTCTCGGCAAGCGTCGTGGGAATCACCTCCATGGCGTCGGCAAAGGCCTTCCAGCAGATGGCCTCGGTGCCCGTCAGGCTGCGCGCTTGCTTGGACAGCTGAGCCGCAATCTCGATTTCAGGAGCGCCACCACCAGCAATCAGGGCCTTCTTCTTGACGAGACATCGGAGAACGCAGAGAGCGTCGTGAAGACTTCGCTCGGCTTCCTCCAGGATAAGAGAGTTGGCACCGCGCACGACCACGGACACGGTCTTGCCCGTGGCCTTGGCTCCGGTGACCTTGACCATGCGTGAGCCCGATGACTGCACCTCCTCCACCAGGTCCGCCGAGCCCAGCTTATCCTCGGTGAACGAGTCGATATCCGCAATGGGCTTGCAGCCAGTGGACTTGCAGATGAACTCGACCTCGTCTCGCTCAATGTCTTTGATGGCCATGATGCCGAGCTTGGCCAGGAAGTGTAGGGAGAGGTCGTTGACGGCATCGCGAAGGATGGACTTTTGAATCAAGAGCACGTTGCACTTAGCCTTTTTGATCTTCTTGGCCATGTTCAAAAGATATAGTCGCTCCTCCTTGACAATCTTGTCCATCTGGCGGTAGTCATTGACTTGAATCGTGTTTTCCATCTGTTTTGGCAGTTAGCACAACCAGACCTACTCGAGGCATGAGGCCATGGCATCCAAAACTTACATCAGGCTTGGGAGGACTGAGCTGGAACTGGATAAGACCAATGCGGGCCTTCTCCATTCTAAAGGGACCACCGGCGTTCTTCAGAACAGGCTGTGTGAGGACCAGACCATCCACCAGCTCACTGTCCTCGATTGTTCCTCCCACCCTCTTGATGATGCGAATGTTCTTGAGATCAACGTTCTCCGCAGTCTTGACATCGATCGTCTTGGTAATGGCATTGACAGCCATGGGGCCGAGGAGGTTCGAGTACTGAGACACAATCTTGGATGACAGAGATGTGTTGGCGGCTTGGAGAAGGGAGGCATTGTCGGTCAGGGAGATGGGCTGGGACATGTCGTGCAGGACTTGGACGGCGGCGGCGGACGCCCTCTGGAAAGACTCTGAGATGACGGAGGGGTGGATGCCCTTGGACAGCAGTCGGTCAGCAGCGCCGAGGAGGCTGCCGCAGATGACAACGACGGAGGTCGTGCCGTCACCAGCTTCAACATCCTGAGCTCCTGACAGGTTGACCAACATCTTTGCTGTCGGGTGCATGACAGACATGCTCTTGAGCATCGTGTTTCCATCGTTGGTGATGATGGTCTCCCCCTTTCCGCTGCGGATCATCTTGTCCATTCCTCGAGGGCCGAGAGACGTCCGGATGGCATCGGCAACGGCTGCATTTCCAATTAGCAACTTGACTACCCGTAGCCCGAACCATCGAACAAACCTCTGGCAGCGACAATGTTGGACGAGCGCACCGCCATGGGCTTCTCCTTGTCCTGCGTCCATGTTAGCGGGGCAGCTCAGGAGCTCCGGACAGCAACGGCAGCTTTTCCCACCTTGAAGGCGACATTCTTGGACTCGCCGCCCGAAACGGCCGGTGCAGACATGCTGAGACTGTTTGGTTCTGGTTCGTGAAATGCAGACGCAAGCTCCGGAAAGGCTCGATCACGGCGAGCTTTGGGCAGAGAAGCAACTGGAAGTTCGCGGGTTCCTGGAGCCTGGTTGACATCCCACCTTCCAGTGCCTGCCCTACTCCGCCGTCTTGGTAACGCGGAAATTTTGGAGTCGGCGCGACAGATAATCCACGCTCCGGCGGTGCTTTCCCTTGCTTCCCCCCCTGCCCGCCTGCTGCTTTGGCCCGAAGCAGCCTAGCGCCAGCAGGGTCCGTGTGTGAGGTGAGCTCAAGGCAACTCAGATTACGGAATGCTTCGATAGCCTTCATCTCATCACCATCATAAACACCATCATACAACGCTCCGGACGCGCATCACCCACGGCGAGCCGATTCCCACCATACCGGCACAGCGATTATCCTGGATTAGCCTCTAATCTTTGGCATATCTCGTCTATTACACCTTCGAAACTCTCACAGCGTCTCGGACAGCGTCCGGTTTGCACATCCCACCATGGTAAGGCATCTCGCCTCCAGCTCGGACAGTACTTGGCCCATTACTCATTACTGACTGTCGAAGCCTTCTGCAACCGGCCAAAACTGGGAAAAGTACTCCAAGCGATACGCCGACGATGAGATAGAAGAGAAGAAGATCACACCCCTCACCGATGAGTACGGACGGCCCTCGTGTTAACAACGCTGCTTTGGCGCTGGGAGAGAGTGCTAACCCAGAGCTAGGGATATCCAAGTCCTCAAGACATATGGCGCTGCGCCGTATGCATCGGCCATCTCCAAGCTCGAAAAACAGATCAAGGAGAAGCAACAGAGCGTAGACGAGAAGATTGGCATCAAGGTACGAGATGCCGCTACCGTCGTGCACCTACACGTGTCTAATCATATCATGCTGTACACAGGAGTCGGATACCGGTCTCGCACCACCGCATCTATGGGACGTCGCGGCCGATCGACAACGGATGTCTGAAGAGCAGCCTTTCCAGGTGGCACGCTGCACAAAGATCATCGCCGACGAGAAGGGAGACGAGTCGAAGAGCAAGTATGTCATCAACGTCAAGCAAATCGCAAAGTTCGTCGTCCAGCTTGGAGACCGGGTCAGCCCCACGGATATTGAGGAGGGTATGCGAGTTGGTGTGGACCGAAACAAGTATCAGATCATGCTGCCGCTGCCGCCCAAGATCGATGCCAGCGTCACCATGATGACTGTTGAGGAGAAGCCAGATGTCACATACGGAGATGTTGGCGGCTGCAAAGAACAGGTCGAGAAGCTGCGAGAAGTTGTCGAGATGCCCCTGCTTTCACCAGAGAGGTTCTCAAACCTCGGTATCGACCCCCCGAAGGGCGCATTGCTCTACGGCCCTCCCGGAACCGGAAAGACGCTGTGCGCCAGAGCTGTCGCCAACCGAACAGACGCCACTTTCATTCGAGTCATTGGCAGTGAACTTGTACAAAAGTACGTCGGAGAGGGCGCCAGAATGGTCCGAGAGCTGTTCGAGATGGCGCGGACAAAGAAGGCTTGCATCATCTTCTTTGACGAAATCGATGCTGTCGGCGGTGCGCGATTCGATGACGGTGCTGGCGGTGACAATGAAGTCCAGCGAACCATGCTGGAGCTTATCACGCAGCTGGACGGCTTCAACGCCCGAGGTAACATCAAGGTCATGTTTGCCACCAACAGGCCGTCTACGCTGGACCCTGCCCTGATGCGACCGGGACGTATCGACCGCAAGATTGAGTTTTCGCTGCCCGACCTCGAGGGCCGTGCCAACATCCTCCGCATCCACGCCAAGAGCATGTCCGTCGAGCGCGACATTCGATGGGAGCTCATCTCCCGTCTTTGCCCCAACGCCACCGGCGCCGAGCTGAGGAGCGTGTGCACCGAGGCCGGCATGTTTGCCATCCGAGCGCGGAGAAAGGTGGCTTCGGAGAAGGATTTCTTGGACGCGGTGGACAAGGTCATCAAGGGCAACCTCAAGTTCAACTCAACAGCAACGTACATGCAATACAACTAGACAGCTTTCTTTTTCTCCCTCTCAATGTTACTGGAGTAATTATCCTAAGGGCGAATTGCGGGCATGTCGATGCGTCCTTGAGGTCTCGTCCACAAGGAGAATAGAAACGGCGTCTATGAACAGTTGCCATGTTGACCGTAAATTACAAAATCATATATGCAGTCTCTGTGATATATCAAGTTATGCATTTGAATAGACACCTCTGGCGACTGGCGCAGACACAATGTTATCCAAGACCCTGACCAGGGCCAAAACAGATGATGAAGCAAACAAAGGTGATTATGTTGCAGAGTCGTATGTACCGAAAAATGATGTTAAACATATATATAAACCCATGGGATATCCTCCTATCTTGTATTCTATATATAAGAGGTGCGCCTGATAGCAATGTAGCTCAGTGATGCCTTTTCCGAATCCCAAATTGCGACTCCGAGTTGAAGAAGAAGAAGAAAAAGCCCGACAGTTTAGCGCTATAATACTTGATGTGAAAGAATCGTCATTCATCGTGAAGGGGGGGTATACACAGAGGTATCCGCCCCCTCTTGTACCATCCTGGTTCTGTCCTCTTTCTTAGGACAAAATGTAGTAATGTGGTGAGTTTCGTCGTTGCCCGTGGTGGTTGTTAAGGGGTGTTGATACACGGATCGGCCAAGCATCCCAGGCAAATGACTTCGCCCTCGGCACCTTTTTCGACGCAGCACCGACTGCAAATCATGCTGTGGTGTGTATATATCTCTCTCCTCCGTTCACAGTCATCGTCCCCAATGTCGACATCGATATCATCAATATCATCGTCGGTGTGCGGTATTGAAGGTGCCGACGCGTCCACGTCGTGCATGTGAAAAGACCGTGAAAGTGCCTGCTCCTCCTCCTCCTCCTCCTCTTCCTCACCCCCCTTGTCCACTTCCCCCCTCACAGCTGACTTGTTGGTACTACTATATGGAGTGCTCATCCTTCCCTGGCATTCGCGCATGCATATGAAGCAGGTCTGTTCGCGACACGCCTGGCACCTGGCGAAGGAATCGAGATCCGACTTCTTGGTTGGCCGTCGATGGCAGACGTGGCACGGTAGGAGACTGATGACTTTGTTGTTTGTAGGATGAGGAGATATTGAGGGCTGCTCGCGGCGGTGATGTGAGGAGGAGTGGACGGCGTTGCTATCGCTGTCTTGGTGAATTGGCCTGAACCGTTTCGTAGGGTGTAGTGTTTTGCGCGTTGTTGGTGTCGTCGAGATGGACGACGCATCGAAGGACTGCTGCTGCCCTGGAGCAGCAGCTCCTTCGCGTGGGCTCAGGACGGTTCGTGGGGATTTGTTGTTGTAGGTTTCGTCGTCGTCGTCGTCCCATTTGCGCTTTGTGGCGAGAGGGATGTCGTTGTCGACGTAGGGCATTGTTGGGGAGGTTTTTCTTTGCCCGGTTTGAGAAGGGGGGCTCTCGCTCTGATGCGCGATTGAAAGAGGCTCCGAAGACGAAAGAAAAAGCTCGCTTCGATCGAATTTCGCTGGAACGGACGTTGAGTATCGGGCGGATTGGGAGGCTGTATTACGCGAATCACCGGGTTCGCAAAATGATGGAAAGACTCGCCAAGCAAAAGCGGCAAAGAAGCAGCAGAGAAGAAAAAAAAAGACGAGACTGAAGAATGAGTGCCCAGTCTTTTCGCCTCTCCCTCAAAAAAGAGAAAGATCCGAAGAGGAGAGAAAAAGGAAGAACGAATGTCTGGAAAGGTAAAAGCAAGATTTTTCTCTCGGACTCAATGTTTTGTTGAGAAGGGAGGAAAGGATGGAAGTTGGCCGTCGAGTTCGGCTTAATCACCGGGTGAATTGTGGTTGAGCCGCGTTGTGACGAGCTGGGGCGATTCTATTGGAGGTTTGGCTCTGCCGTGCGCTTTTGCAGGTGCCGGGGTGGGTTCATCTTGTCTTGGGCGAACTGTCTGACTGCAGGCGGTCTAATAAGCTGTGTTATCATGATACTACTTAGTAAGGAGCTATAAGATATTACTCATTGAAGGGATCTATTTAGCCATTCATACAGGAGCAGGGAACCACATGTAGTTCCTACAATGTATTGATTCAGTCTCGTCCTAGATATCAGCCCTTTGCTGTGCGTTCAGTACTGGCTCTCTGGCTCACAAACAACCAGAGGTTATACACAGTTCCCGTCCATACAGCCTTGGAGCATACATATCCAGTCCGGATTCTCCAACAGCCGTATCAAGCTCACACTTTCAAGAGACAAGCTGCATGAAAAAAAGGGCATCTGCATTTTCTCTTCTCAAGTTCTAACTCAGCCATGCACCACTTCGTGTCTGAAACAACCAACCCATTTTACCCGCCTCCACCGACAAAAGAGCTTTTTTGTTTTGTTTTCTTTCTAAACGAGGAGACTAGTAGTATACACAATACACACAGGGAATTTTTTTTATTCACGTCCCTCATCGGCGAGTCTTGGTCTCCGCAGGGGGGTCGTAGACGAGCTTTCGGGACTTGAGCCAAGCCCACTTGTATCGCTTGACGTAGACGCTGATGGCCCACAGAGCAGTCGTGGCAACCAGGACCTTCATACCCATCTTCTTGCGGTCGTCCATCTCGGGCTCGGCGGCCCAGTTGAGGAACTCGACAACGTCCTTGGCCATCTGCGAGGTGCTGGCGGGCGTGCCGTCCTCGTACTCGACGAGGCCGTCGTACAGGACACGAGCCATACCGATGCCGGTGCCGGGGAAGTAAGGGTTGAAGTTCATGCCGGGAGCAAGCTTGACACCCGCCGGGGGCTCCTCGGGGTAGCCGGTCAGCAGGCTGAAGATGTAGTCGCAGCCACCGTGGCGGGCCTTGACGATCAAGCTCAGATCCGGGGGGAGGGCGCCGTTGTTGGCAAAGCGAGCGGCCTCGTCGTTCTTGTAGGGGGGAGGAATGTAGTCGGCCAGCTTTCCGGGGCGCATGGGAATCTCGCCCTGCTCATCGGGCTCGTCGGGGTACTCGTTCTCCTCGGCCAGGGCCTTGGCCTCATCGACAGTCAGGATGGTGCCGACAAGGGCTCGGTAGGGAACTCGGCTGAGGGAGTGGCAGCTGGCGCAGACCTCGCGGTAGACCTGGAAGCCACGTCGAAGACTAATATACGTAGAAGCCGGAGTGTAAGCAGTCGAGCTCTTCCAACTGGGGAGAAACAGGATGTCATCTTACGCCTGGTGATCAAAAGACTTGAAGAACTGCTGGTGAACCCAAGGGTACTGCGTAGGGTGAAGACTGCCGCCAGATCGGTTAGCAATTGGCCGTCTATGAGGTAGCCAGCTGAGGAAGCAATTTTATGCCGCATCAGGCACAGATGGCCAGGATGCGGCCAAAGTGCTTCTTGTCTCCGCGGCGGGAAAAAAAGAAAAAGAGAACATACCCCTCCTCAGCAGGGGACGAAGCGAAAGCCACGGGTCCGTAGAGATGGTAGTACCAGGCCATGGAGCCGGCGGCGAGGGTAGTGGAAGCAATAGCGGCGAGGTTGAGGCGCGCGGGAGAAGCTTCGGCAGCACCCGAGCTGGTCGAGGCAGCACGCTGTAAGGAGACGAGAGAAGAAACATGTCAGCTCCAGGAACTCGAATAGAATTGTACACTGGCACGTCCGTGATGCGTCTCGGGGGAGGCCAATGCCTGCAGCCTCGCTGCGAGCTTCAGTCCTCGGCAATGCCTTTTTTCCCTCCCCCGAGCTCGTGGCCTGTTTGGTGCTGCACCCACCTTGGAGACGTTGACGGCGGCGTTTCGGAGCCCATTGAGGGCGCGCGCCGGGCGCAGAGTCGACCTTGCCAGCATGATTGGCAAAGCTGTACCGAAGCCGCAGGGGGAGCCGCAATCACAGAATGAGGGCGATGGAGTCGATCTCGGGATCCAAAAGGGCTCAGCGGGAGAAGGTGATAACTTCGAGAAAATCCATCGTTCCGAAATGGGCCGACGCTGATTGGCTCGGGTCACGTGCTCGTGGGATGTTCTGGTGCTTGCCAGGAAAGGTGGGGCCTCGATGATGCTTGTATTGTATCCTGACCAGTCAGGCAGTACAACTACTATAGGTACTGGAATGGTTGACGTAGCAGCGAGTATTACAGCGGCCTCTCCAGCAGCACCAGCACCCAAAACCCGCTGAAACCTCCCGCTGCAGCCGGCCGTCCTCAGGCCTCGCCAGCACCTATTATAGCGCCTAGGTATCAGTCAGCACAGCGTCGTGCCAGTCTCCAATGTACTCGTCCAGCTCCCCTCAGCCTCGTCCTCTGCAGGTTGCCAGGCAAACCAACCAAATGCCCGCCTCATGCCCCGCCCCCACCATTCAAAACAAACCCGTCAATCATTTTCACTCCTCGCAGCGCCTCACCAAAAAACCATCCACGCAGGGCTCGCAGCCTCCCCGATTTCTCGCTTCTCTTTGTCTTCTCCGTCTTCTCGCGCGCTTTTCCAGCACTTCCTTATAGCTACTTAGAACATCATCATACTATCTTTCGCTCTCAACTCGAAAAGGCAACCTCTTCCCGCCTGCCAAAATGGCCGATTCCAATTCCAAGGTCTTCTCCCTCGAGGGCAAGGGGCTCAAGCTCGACACCGCCGAGGACATCGAGCCTCACATCGCCCCGCTGATCGCTATGGACAACGTCGAGGAGGTTCGCTTCTTGGGCAACACGCTCGGCGTCGGTGCTTGCGAGCGCCTTGGTGAAGTGCTGGCCACCAAGAAGACTCTCAAGGTAAGTTGGATGAAATGCAGTCTCCCGTGAGCGGCGGCGCTGGTGGAACAAAAGTCCTCGCATATCGCATAGGTGGCTGACAAGGAAAAAACAAAACCTCTCTCCCAGTCCGCAAATTTTGCCGATCTCTTCACCGGCCGATTGCTCAACGAGATCCCCGCCGGCATCTCCCACATCCTCACCGCCATCCTGAACCACCCCCACCTCACCACCATCAACCTCAACGACAACGCCTTTGGCCTCAACACCCAGGCCCCGCTCGTGGCCTTCCTGTCCTCCCACGTGCCCCTGCAGCACCTCTACCTTAACAACAACGGCCTCGGCCCTCACGCCGGCATCCTGGTCGCCGATGCGCTCTCAGAACTCCACGCCAAGAAGGAGGCCGCTCGCAAGGAGGGCAAGGAGGTGCCCGACCTCGAGACCGTCATCTGCGGCCGGAATCGACTCGAGAACGGCAGCATGGCCGCCTGGGCCAGGGCCTACAGCCTCCACAAGAACATCAAGGAGATCAAGATGGTGCAGAACGGAATCCGACAGGAGGGCATCTCCCGCCTGCTCAGCGAAGGCCTCAACCACGCCAGCCAGCTGCGCGTCCTCGACCTGCAGGACAACACCTTCACCATCATGGGCGCCCGAGCCCTCGCCAAGGTCGTGCCGACGTGGGCGGATCTGCAGGAGCTGGGCGTCGGCGACTCTCTGCTGAGCGCAAAGGGCAGCCTGCTGCTGGCCGCGGCTCTGGCGCTGGAGAAGAACAAGAAGCTCGAGACTCTGCGCCTGCAGTACAATGACATCAAGGCTGAGGGTGTCCGAGCCCTTGCCAACGCCGCCAAGATCGCCCTGCCCGCGCTGAAACGCATCGAGCTCAACGGCAACAGGTTCACCGAGGACGACGACGCCATCCTCAAGCTGCAGGAACTCCTCGAGGAGCGAAAGGAGCAGTTTGCTGGCGATGTCATCATTGAGGACGAGTGGGGCGTTGACAGCCTCAGCGACCTCGAGGAGGAAGAGAGTGAGGAGGAAGAAGAGGAAGAGAGCGAGGAGGAGGAGGAGAAGGAGGAGGAGGAACACGAAGTCAAGGAAAAGGCCGACAAGCTCATCAAGGAGGCCGAGGAGGCCCAGGAGCAGCCCGTGCCCCAGCGTAAGGATAAAGAGGTGGACGAGCTGGCGAAGCAGTTGGAAACCACTCAGCTCTGATGCTATTTCCCCCCTCGTTTTTTTCTTGCTCTTGGGTCCTTTTCGTTTTCTTTGACGTTCACGAATTGACTTATTAGACATCCACATACACAACCCCCTTACACTCATGCATCCCTTGTCACCGAATGAAAACAAGAAAAACAAATTCGATACCCCCCGTTAGAAGTTGGTAGCTCTCATGTCTTTATGTCTTGTGTATCATACATATGTAAAGTAGTTGCCAAAAATTGATTGATTGCCTTGAAATGCACTCTAAACATTCATCGTAAAGCGTGTGATACTACGCGCCCTCCTTATAAAATTGTATGCAAGTCGGCACAGAAAAAGAAGCAGTTGTATCAAATAGTCACAAATTACGTGGGAAGTTGTCACGATAAGAAAATAGTATATTGACAAAGTCTGTAGATGCCTTCACTCTACGTGGGACAACCAAAGTGGCCATGGACCTGGCATTTACATGCGGATAGTACCTGGAAATAGGGGTAGAAGGGAGGAAAAGGGATACATACCTCTCAATCCACACCACATCATTCACCATAACCCTCTGTAGAAGAAAGCCGTTAGCTATCACTGAGACGATCACGGAAAGGGGGGGTATGGGGGCAAGGGGGTCTGAGGGAGAGGTGAAAACAAAAGAGAAGAGTTTAGAGGGGAGAAAGACAGAGAAGAGTTTGAAAAGAACAACATGAGCTGACAAGATGAATCCCAATACCAGCCGCCCTCTCAAAACAATCCCTCGCCTGAGTTCCCTTGCAAAGAACGACATCTGGAACCTTAACTCAACCATCCATGACTGACAAGAGAAAACCCCCTCCAAGAGCTAGTCTGCGCTACAATACCCAGCCGCGCGTGTGGCCACCGGCGGGCCATGACGACGCGTTGTCATGTTGCATTGGCTATAATTACATATCCATAACGTCCACCGCCTGACTTCGGTGCTGTTCAAACGCGCCGTATTGCTCAGCCAACGCCATCTGCAGTTGGTGTCGGGCATAGTCTGCGCCAAGGTAGACGGGGTCTGTGGCGGGTGTGTAGCTTGGACCGCCAATAGAGGTGCCAAAGGTGCTATATGCATCCTTTGGGCGAGAGTTGGCCTCCTCGCGCTCTCGCTCTCGTCGCATAATCTCCTCATATCCAGACATCATGTAGGGCTCGCTTTCCTGGCTTGCTTGATGAACCCACGTGCCGTTTGATGTCTGCACCGTCGTGCCATCTAGGCTCATGGCATGGTTGTGCTGCTGTTGCTCGTAACGGAGTTGAGCCAGATGCTCCTCCTGCTCCATCGTGGTGCTGTTCCAGGCAAGAGCTGAGGCATTTCCACCGCTATTCGGAGGGCAGATGCTCCATAGCTCGACCAGGCGTCTCTTCTGACCAGCATCCGCTATGCGGAAAAGTTGTAGTTGCGAGGGCGTCAGTGCAGCAGGGTCAACGCCGTGTGTTCGCAGTATCGTCTCTGATGAGACGACTTCGCTTTGCGGGGGTTCTGACGACCGCCTGTGAGCGTCCTGAGCCTGTAGTTGCGGCTTGGCAATGTGCGCAGAGTGGTTGTAGTGCTGTGATATAGAGTAGATGATCGGCTGGTTGGCCTGCTCAGTGATGGCCATTTCCTGGGGCATCTCCTTAGGAACCGCCTCCGGATTGAACGTCATGTTCCGTGAGAAGAGCGCCGCAAGCTCGTCGTGGATTTGCATGTTGGTCTGCAGTGACACCATTGTGCTGCAAGATCAGATGGATGAGTTAGCGCTGTGGTTGGAAGAGGGAAGGTGTATGCATGTATTCCGGTATAAGGTATGAAAGGGTGACGGTTCAGCAGAGCGAGACTTGCGAGGAGATATTGGTGGCTATCTCGACGATGCTTGAATGAAGAACGCAGCAGTACAAAGAAAGCAACTTGGGGATACCTGATGGTGTTCCAGTTAAGGTTATCTACCAAACGAGATACTGCGGTGATATATTGCCCGGATACACTTGGTTTCAAGGCGTGTGAATCGTTCCGATTGGGGAGCGACGGCCCGGTTGGGTATCAAGCAGGCAAGAGAGGGGATATCTTCCGAGTGAAGGGCGCCCGAGCTGTGACAGCAAGCAGGAGGCTGTGAGAAGGAGAAGGTTGGCTTGTTCTATTGCACTACACTAAGGATAAAGTCGAGGCGAGGTGAGAAGACGAGAGGAAAGCAAGAGCAAAAGCAAAGCGAAAGGTCAAGAGAAAGTGAGGAAGCAACGAAGAAGGAATCTCTAGACTCCTTTTTATTATATTCCTCTCTGAGCGGCTGCAGGTTCAGGTTCGTTCGTGCCTAGAAGCGGATACTGCAGCGTGCTAAGGATATTGGGCTGCAGGGACGCCAGACGGACGAGGGGGTCAACCGACAGCTCAGCACAACACGGGTGCGTCTAGCGGCAACTATCGGCGGAATGCCAGCTAGTTACAGCGGTGATCGTTTCGAATTGGAGAAGTGGAGGCCAGTCGAGCCGGTGCAGGTGGAAGCAGAAGCGAGAAGCACGACAGGCTGGAACCGGCGGGGTAGAAGCAAGAGAAGACGCAGGAGACGGGAGATGCGAGATGCAGAGGAAATAGCCGCGGAGAGTGAGAGAGCAAGAACTGCAGGGTCAAAGAAGAGGGAAAAGAGGGAAGCAAAAAGGAAGCCGAATCAGTTGGGCAGCAGCTCGAGATGGTGTTTTATAAGGGAGGGCATCAAGCCGGCGGCGTGAGTCGAGAAATGTGTCACTGACAGATGATGCGTGGGGAAGCGCCTGTCGTGCTCAGCGGGAAGGAGAGACACAGGAGAGGGGCGGCTGGTCATGAGGAAGGTCCAGACGGGCCCGTTGAGTGGCTGTGACGCAACTGGACTGAGGCATCCAGGTACCAGAGCGGCAGGTGGATGGACTTGTAAGGGGGGACGGGATGCCCAACAGTTGTGCGGAGGAGGCGAGTATCGGGTACCGAGCTGGGCGGTAGCGACCTCACGGCAGCGTGCTCGAGGACGGGCATCTGATGCGCTGGTGATGGCAATATAACGAGTTGGGAATCAGACTAGAAGAGTCGGTGGCTTGCCTTTTCCCGTGCTAGCAGTCATCAATACGACGGGAGCAATTTAGCAGACCGAGACTAAGATATGGCCAGGTATGAAGCAGTTGCCTCTACCAGTCATGCTACCTTATATGAACGAGGCCGTTAAAATGACCACGGACTTGCGTGGCAAAAATCGGAGCAAAACGCCCCTATTTATTGCACATCACAGTGATGAACCATATCTGCATATGTCACAGCAAAGGTGCCAGCACTTTTTAATAGGGACTTGTTGAGAAGAGGTTGCATCCTTCACTACTGTAAGACCCGGCCCATGGCCATCCCGCGCTCTGCGAAGTCGCAATGCGATATGTGACAGGCGACCACTTTGACGTCGACCAGCACCGACACCCAACATATTGATGGGCATTTTCGCTGCTGAACCGCAGTCGTCTATCTTCAACTCCAACCAGTCGAGCACACTTCAGAAGACCTGGCAGCCAGCAACGGCAGCAACAGCATCAACACCACCGAGTCATCCTTCAATCAATGCTATTGTACTCCGTACTCCCCCATGGTAGCGTGGTAGCGTCATTCACCCTCATCCACATCCCACCCTCCACAACTTTCAATATGCAGGGATCGTCCCGGCCTGACGGATGGAGCAAGCTGTGGCGGTGCTAGCTGCGGGATGCACGCAAGCCACTCCCGTCTTCGCCACAGATTCACCCTTAGCTAAGCACTGTGGCTCAACTACCTCGAATTGTGGCTCGACGGCCTTGAGCTGTGGCTCGGCTGTTCTTTGCGCCTCAGGCACCGCTGCGTCCAGCCTTGTGCGGGCGGCTCGAGTGCAACTACGCAGCTCTCAGGCTGCCTGGCTGGAGCTCCAAGCCAGAACGAATCTCAACCTCAGCCCCTCCAACGCCGATTGAACCTCCCACGATCATCCGCCATTCCTCTGTGATTCCCCTTCTCCTTTCCAACGCAGCAAATTACACATCACAGAGCCAATCATGGTAAAGTCTTCCACTCACCAAGCATTGCTGCAAAGAGCCAGTGCAACTTACAGCAAAGCTACCCTTTTTGGTTTATATACATTCTGGGCTGGTAGAAGCTAACATCGGGGGCCATCTGGCCTATGCATCCCAATAGACGTCGATCGGCACGGGCTACGATCTCCTCAACTCCATCTTCTCGCCTGACGGCCGCAACTTCCAGGTCGAATATGCCGTCAAGGCGGTAGAGAACGGCGGCACCTCGATCGGCATCCGGTGCAAGGACGGCGTCGTCCTGGCCGTCGAGAAGATTGTCGCATCCAAGCTGCAGAAGCCCAATGCCAACAAGAGAATCGGCAGTGTGGACAGCCATATCGGAGCAGTATGTTGCAGCTATGCCACTAAGATGCTCTAAAGATTGCTCACCGTTGTTCCAGGTATACTCAGGCATGATCCCCGACGGCCGCCACTTCGTCGACCGTGCTCGAGACGAGGCCCAGAGCTGGCGCCAGAACTTCAAGACCCCGATCCCCACAGCCGACCTCGCCTCCCGCATGGGCGGCTACCTCCAGGCATACACCATGTACGGCTCCGTGCGCCCGTTCGGCATCACGGCCATCATCGGCGGCGTCGACACCTCAGAAGAGACCCCCGTAGACGGCGAGGTCGGCTCAGGACCCTCTGTGGGCGCCGGCGGCAAGGTTCCCGGCAAGCACGGCGGCCCCTTCCTCTACATGATCGAGCCCAGCGGCCTGTACTGGGGCTACTACGGCGCGGCGACGGGCAAGGGCAGGCAGGCGGCCAAGGCGGAGCTGGAGAAGCTGGATCTACCGGCGGGCAACATCACGCTGCACGAGGCCGTGAAGCAAGCCGCAAGGATCATCTACATTGCCCACAAGGACAACAAGGACAAGGAGTTTGAGCTGGAGATGACCTGGATCAGCACAGCCGACGGCCCGACCAAGGGACGGCATGTCGAGGTGCCAAAGGAGCTGAGGGAGGAGGCCGAGAGGTTAGCGCGGGCCGAGGACGAGTCTGACGACGAGGAGGAGGAAGAAAAGAAGGATGAGGACAAGATGGAAGACTAAATAAAGGAGTTTGGTACCTTTGAAATCTATATCTTTAGGGTGTCCGGGGGCAAAACACATGTATTCTTCACGACGAGAAAGCTCATAGAGAAATGCTTTTTCCTCTGGATGAAACTGTCCGTTGACACGCAAGAATGCTTCATCTCCCTCAATGCTATATCCTCTATTTTGCATTTGTGTTTTGATACGATGCTCTATTCCATTAAATACTCTTGCCTGAAAATGTCTATAACCTACACGGGTATCACAATTAACGCCCCTGAGAAGCGTGGTTCTGGCACCAGTTGTTCCAGTCCGCAAAGAACGAGCTCTGCAGCTTGGCCTGGCCCAGCACCCAGTCCGACTGCGTCTTGGCGTACACGGCCGCCACCCTCTTGACCAGGTCCTTGTCCGAGGCGAACATGGCCGACGCGACGATGAGGCTGGCGGCGCTGGCGGCCTTTGCGAACGCGTGCGCGTTGTCCTTGCCCGCCTCTTCGTGGACCTCGACGAGCACGGAGAGCAGCTGGTCCGCGTCGTAAGCCGGCAGTGATGATGATGATGCGGCGGCCGTTTCCGTAGTAGCATTATTGTTGTTGTTATTGTTGTTGTTGGCGGCGGCGGCGGCATCTTTGTTGTCCTTGATGGCGCTCCTCGCCTTCTTCATGCCGCGCTGGTAGTTAAGGATGATCTCGCAGGCGCGGCTGGCGAGCGTCTTGGTCGTCGTCGTGCGCACGAGGCGCAGCAGCGGGAGGAGCAGGGAAGCCGAGCGGGCTGAGGACCTCGTTGCGGACGAAGATGTCGAGCAGGTCGAGGATGCGGTGCTTGAAGTTGACGACGGACTGCTTGGCGTCCTTCTTCTGCTTCTTGCTGTCGGGCCGGGCCTTGGCGCGCTGCTTGAAGACCTCGGCGAGCTTGTCCTCGAGGGCGAACATTTGCGAGTCGGACATGTCGCCCTCGTCGGCCGAGGACTCGGCCTCGGCGTCCTTGTCGAGCCGGTGGCTCTTGAGGATCTGGCCCAGGGTGAGGTCGTCGAGGTCTATGCGGCCTGGGTTTTCTCGTTTCTTGGTCTTCTTTTCTTTGCCCTCTTCTTCACCTTCGTCGTCTTCCTCGTTCTCTTCGTCGTCGTCGTCTTCTTTCTCATCCTCTGCATCGTCATCATCGCCATCTTCTCCGTCAGCGTCTTCGAGGTCGACAAACTCGACATCAGAGTCAATCTCAAGATTTGAAATCTCCTCCACATCGTCGTCATCCTCGTCATCTGAGGAGTCGCCGTCAATGTCCATGTCATCGTCCTCCGTGTTGAAGAGCTCCTTCTGACCCTTGGCGCTCTCATTTGCCGCCAGGGGGCCAGTCAGCAGCTCCAAGCCGCCGGCCGAGATCTGTGAGGTGAAGGCTTCAAACACCTGCTGAGATACTTGCCGCATCAATGAAGAAGGGCGAGCCACCATGGACAGCAATATCTCGACCAGGAATTCTGAACTTCCGGTGTCGTCGTCGCCGAGCTTGCCCTCCTGGAGCCTGTCGTGGAACTGCGCCAGATCGTCGAGTACTTCCATGGCGTCTGGGTCTTGGTTGTATAACTGGAAGATGGAGATGGCGTGGAGCATCGCCAATCCCTGCGTCAAGGTCCTGTCATTGTCCGTCTTCGTCTTCTGCTTCAGCAGCTTCTGCATTCTTGACAGCGCCCCTTCAATCGCCTCTTTGATCTCCCCGGACATGGTCACCGCGTTGGAGTCAATGGAGGCAACCGCCTGACAGAACGTGACGAAATCAGAAGTTTGTCGGGTCAGTTTGGCCAGCGCAGATTCCAAGCGGGATCGCGCCAGCTCTTGAATCTGCTCCGTCAGGGCTTCTCTGGGGATGTCGTCTGGCTGAGAATAGGCAAGTCGCGATAGCTGCTGCAGCGTCGCACTCAGAGAGGTGCCCTTCAACTTGTCGGACTGAGACCCCTTTGTGAAGGATGCACATGCAGCGAGAACCTTGGAGAGGTAATCAATGTGTACTCTTAGAATGGTTTGAGCCTCGCTGACTTCTTGTTGCGAAAGACTGGCGATGGGAGCCTGGATAATCTTCAACGTCGCCTTGTCATTCCCCGAGTTGAAGTTTTGTAGCAGCTTGTCAACTGTTTTCGTGCTGGTTCGCTGATCAAAGTTGTAGACGCCGTTCCTGCTCAAGAGGCTTTCGAGTACAGGAACGAGGGCCATGGGGTGGGAAGAGACCGCGCCCTCAATGGCCTTTAGCGCCTTGACGGCTGCTCGATGTAGGTACCGATCTTCCTTTGCGGCTTGGTTCATGAGGGACGTCATGAGGTTCTTGCTGAACAGGATTTGTAATAACGGGTGGTGCTCGATGCAGCCTTCAAGGAACTTTTGGAAGACGATGAAGCCCTTGAACTTCTGGCCGTCAGTGGCCTGCTTGGAGAATAAACCATCTGCATCTCCTAGTTAGCTTTTGACTAGTATAAACGGTGTTGGGGATAATAATAACTCACCGTCGACAACTCGGCCCCAGAAGTGAGCAAACTCTTCAACGTCTGATTCTCCAGTCTGTAGATAGTGGTTGAGGATGAGGTCCCACACGAAATGCAATTGAGCCGTCCAAGTTGCCTGCTGGTTGTTCCTTGAATTGCTGGAAGAGTCCTTGCTAGTCTCATTGAAGCTTTCCTTCAAGATGGCAGCCAAATCGCCGAGAGTCTTTCTGGAGAGAGGATGCTGCCAGGGCTTGACTTGGAGGTCGGGGAAACGGCTCAGAGCAACCAGCCACACGGCAACTCCTTCGGCGGTCTTGGCCACCCCGGCATTGGAAAGCCTCTCAAGTGTGGCTTTGGCCTGCGCCCTGTCCATCTGCTGCAATGCCTGGACGAGAACCCATCCGCACTGCGACTTGAGCCAGACCTTCTTGTTGCTCAACTTCAACAGCTCCTCCAGTATTGTGTTCCATCTCGAGGGGTCCGAAAACAGAGTGCGGCTCTTAACAAAGCACTCAAGGCCGAACAGCTGGCCCAAAAAGATGTCTCGTTCTTCCTGGCCGGGGATGTTGCCGACAATCTTGGCCTTGTCTAACAGGAAACCCAGCACCTTGTCAAAGGTCAATCCGCTGTATTTCTCCGCCAGACTCAGCGCTTTCTCTCCGAACAGCTGACTCAAAATCTCCGTAATGACCAGACTGAAGCCGATGCGCGAAGCATTGCGGCCGCTGGAGAGTCCTCGGAACAGTCGTCGGTCGAGATGCCTCTGCAGCACCGGTTCGGCAACGCCCTCGCCGCCAAGGAGCCCGGATATGATGCAATCAGCAGCCTCTATTCTGTCGTTTTCATCCTCGCTGCCGAGGAGCTCGTATAGGAGGCCCTCGCGTTTCCGGTCTTCGAGAGTTGGCGATTCGACAAATGGAGTCTTGTCCAGGGTTGGCTTCGCGGCTGCGGTTGCGGCGACGGGAACGGGAGCGGAGGCGGCGTTCTTTGCCTTTTTCTGTGAGTTTGAGGGGGCAATTGAGGCGTCCTTGCCTCCACGCTTCCTTTTGCTGCCCATATTGAGGTTGATTTCGAAGACAATGGGAAAGTGAAATGGCAATGATGTCGTGCTGTACTATGCGGCCGCTGCAGTGCCATAATCTTTCGAAATCAATTAGAAAATTCCACGATAAAAAGATTCTGCCATGACACACCGCTCGGCTGCCCCACCATTCTGGCCCCACACTTAGCCGTCATGGAACATTCACATGTTTCTATTCCGGGCCAGTTGCTGAAATGCTCTACAAAGTACGAGTACAAGAATGATGAAGAATACCGAGTACGATCATCAGACTTTCAAGTTGTGGCAACAGAATTCGCGAGACGGAAGCTGAATCTGCGAGAGAGAGAACTTGGTCAGACTCTCACAAATGCTGCCGAAGGCTTACGTATTGACTCCAGTTCTGCTGCCGCTTGTATGTATATCCGACGCACCGGGACGAAACAGAGTTCTATGCGTCACCACGACGGCGCTGGTCAATACCTAAAAATCCATGATACTGTACAGTTTGAGACGTAATAATAGATATGATGAGGCTCACTACAGACACAGTACTATGTATCTCTAACACAACTACTATCATGAAGCAACAATCAACCAACTTCAATGATTAGCTTGAGATTTCTTTGACGGAAAGCCATCACACGTGACTTCGCGGCTGGCCAGCTTTGGTTGCCGGGCAGTTTGCGGGGTAAAGCAAATTAGACGCGCCTGGTTTGTTTACTTGGGCACGCGAAGCGACGTCTCATGTTTTTTTATCCCGCGCCTCCATTTCTGCATGTGCCTTGGCAGAGTGGACAGCTCCTTTGGCTCTCCCCTCTTCACGATGGAGCATCGGGTCAATGCGCTGTCTGAAACAGCATTTTTCCGCATGAAATACGGAGGAGACAGCTGGTATCTATCACGTCGCATCCACTGCGATGCCATCGGGTTCTTTCACTCGTACGACGCAAACGACTGGGCGAGAAGCTCGCGCAAGGTTTGAATGGCTCTGTTCGTCCCTTGCAAGGCGGAGGCGCGGCTGTTCGGGCTTTGCCGCTTCGGGAAACATCGAGGGATTCATGAGAGCATCGCATTCAATTGAAATTGTTCTGGGTGATGGCAAAGCCAAGCTGTCTGTCCTTTTCCCTTATGTTGGCATTTGAGCTGGTGGGAGCTTCCTGTGGCACCCAACATCCGGGATGCTCGTCATCCCCTCACCAGCCCTGTCAAGAGCTGTGAACAGAGTTAAGAAGAGATAAACACGGCCTTTCGGTACCGTCGGCAGTGGACCGGTTGCCGTGCATTCTTTTTTCTTACGGGCTGCATATGCAGGCGCCCACCGTTGCTACGGCATGTCAGTCCAACAGACAAGGAGCGAAGGATGGGAAAACGGGACGATGTGGGAAAGCAGAGGCGCCCCATTGGCGGTTGCACGCACAGCACGTTAGGCATGAAAACTGCAGAGTGGTCGTGTGCATCTGCTCATCCGCGAATCAGTTGCAAGGGCTTTCCCGTGATGAAGCCGTTACCTAAGACAACGAGCTGCCGCGCTAGAATATTAGCGAAGAGACAAGCCCTGTCTGTCTTGTCAAGCTTGTGGACTAGTAACGGGCACTTTTCACATGAGCTTGGATTTCGTGTGCCTGTTCATCATGACCGGAGCCGGCGGACTGATTGGCCTCAGCATATTATCCAGGTATGACGTCTCAGAAGCGCGGTTTAATATCGCGATGGTCCTCAGTGACGGAATCCTGCGAAATCGACCGATCCGACAGGACTGGAATGGCTCGTAACTGACGCTTGAGGCTTCAAGCTTTTGCCGTCATCTCGATGTTGATCCTAACCTGGAGGGCATAAAGTCCGTGGTCCGATTTGCAGAAGCGTGAAATACCCTGGCCATGCTCGTCAGTGTCGACAGGGTGCCTCTATTCGCTGACGATGGTGCTCAAGCGGAGTCGGGGCTCGAAGTGGGATTAGCATTGCATCGTGCATGCAAGTGATGCATCGTGTGTTTTGTTTCTGAAATGCTTCGCCCTCTCTTAATACTCCGTACTACTACTCCGTATGAGGTCTTATAGAAGATGAGAAAAGAAAGAGACAGCACAGACGATGTTTCTTCGAGTCATCTGAGCACTTGTTCGGTGAGTCTTGAGAATGGCTCGAGGTCCTATTACCCAGGTATTGACGCGTTTGCGTGTATCTGCGCGAGGCCAAGAGGGCGATTGCAGCTCCTCAAACGGTGAATCGCTAGCTCACGTTAGCACCAAGCGTTCCGTTTCTCGTATAAATTAGCATGCATGTCTTTCGCCAGAGTGGGCGAGCATGGAAGGCAGGGATTGATCATCGCCAGAGGGCACCAAAGGGTCCGCCAGTCGAGGGCCATCGCCAGGGAAACTGAACACCCGCTGCAAATTGTTTGATTCACTGAGGGCGAGACAGGATCAACGGTCCAACCGCAACTGGATAAGCGCAAGGAGGGCGACGACCGGACCAATGTCTCTCTCCTTTTCATTTTGGGTACAGGTACGAAGGATGTTTGTGCGAGGAGCAAACGAGGTGAAAGAAATGGCCGGATTGGTGCAGTCGGGCTGTGGCGTGCGAGCCAGTCAGCGTCGCTTCCGAACCCGCAGTTGTTTGGGTCAAAGAGCCCAATTGATGAAGTGTTGATTGCAAAAGGCCAATTAAGCGTTCAAATGCCGTGCAGTTGCTATTATTGACAGCTTTTTGACGCTCAAAGGAAAGGTGCAAGCTCGTTGATAGTATCAAAGCTCCAAAGCGACGAGGTCGGCGCTGCTTGTCATGAGCCGGTATGTAAGTAATTTGAACAGGACGACACTGGACAAAGCTCACGCGTTTGCACCCGGATGTCCATGCCATAACTTGTATGTACTTTCGGCTTCACAGGCTGATGAACGAGTCTTGATGTTCAATGTCATACAGCTCGTGTGCCTACTGTACGTCTGTTCCTTGGGCAAGGCAGCCTGGACGAGATGCGGAGCAGAGAGGCCTGCATCGACACGCGTCTCCCGCAGCTAGCCAAGAGCTGGAACAAAAGCAGGGCACGCGCCTCGTCTTGCAAGACAAGAAGTGAGATTCATATCTCGAGCTGCCCTTTCTGGGTCCTCAAGGACTCAAAGCTCCCTCTGAAAGCAATGTGAATTGTTTCTTAGTGGCCGGTTTGGGCATCATGAAGAAAGCCAGCATTCAAGCTCAGGTCCTCTGCCCTGCCTGTCTCGATCCTCATGGCAACGATGACCTCTTCCATCCCTAGCTGACTCGCTAGTATACTGGCAACTGGTTCAGAAGCCCTGCAGGCTGTAAAATGACCTGGAATCCATCCATACAAACGGAGCATCACGGTCTTCCCACTTTTCACCGCCGCTTGGCCCAGCCGCAGGTACCGGTACATCGCAGGGTGAGCCTCTGAAGCTCCGGCCAAGCTGCGATAGTGTCGAATTTATGTAGAAACACGAGAGCCAGCACCAGGAAGATGCCCGGCCCAGCTGCTCTCAGCAAGAACTCGTAAATGGGCACGAAGACGGCCGAAAGTAGCGGGTACGCGCGATAGTACTTGCCAGCTCCCGGCTGCTAAGCGCCCACCGAGCACAAAATGCCCCCACCGCTCACTCAGCAACCGCTGATGGCCAAGGGCGCTGGATCAACGAATTGTACCAGGAAACGCGCTCAGTACGAGGTTTAGGTACAAATACGAGTACTCGTACATGTAGCTCGGGGCTAACTGCACCGGCATGGTCCATTGAGAGGGCAGCTGAGCAGCGGTGCTGACGCTCGGAGTGGCCCGCTGCAGGTCTCTGTGTGGTGCTGTAGTGCCCTGTGGCCGCTGTACTCGCTGCGGGTAGCAGGTACCTCCGCGCCGCCAGAGGCACAGACGGTATCGGTACATCGACGAGTACCTGCCCTGACCTTGCCTGACCCGGCCGCCTCTGTTCAGGCTCTTTTCCCTCTCCAGCAGCGCCCATCGTCCTAAAACCCCCCCAATCACCCCTAACAACGTCCAACTCCATCCCAAGCCCGGTTGCTGGCCCTGGCCCCCGTTGGTGCTACGACCATTGAAAAGGCGCTGTCTCCTCATCTGTTCCTCGCTCCTCTCATCCTCACCCTCCCGTCACGACTCCCAAGGCCCCGACAGCCAGACAAAACAGGCTCCCTGCTCGCCAATCGCGCTGCGTCTTGTGCGGACAAGCGAAAGGACGGCCTCGCTAGAGCTGGAGCTCCAAAAAGCACTGCTACAGCTGCTCCGGGTCTTGCAGGGCTTGGGCGACACCCAGTAACCACTTGGGTACTGGCACGGGAAGACACGACAATTGCACGTCCACGTCCACCTTTGTGCCTTCGAGACGGAGAACGAGGCCAGGCCCGGATCGAGCAGACGCCTTTGACGACACGACGTTACGATCAACTCCATGCCCAATCTTACAAGCATCTGGTAATAGTACGACTGTAACGACGACAAAGAAACCTGAAAAGCCTTGCCGCCCCACCGCAAGCCTCGATTCATGCCTTGTATTAGAACTAGCAGCAAGCTGGACGTGAGCAAACAAAGAAAGGCGAAGAGAACCCCAATTGCCAACACGTCCACTTGCATACGCTGTCCCTGAACAAAAAGGCGCGACACAAAGAACGGGAGGGGAGCTCGGGCTTGTGCTTGTGCGGCGACAGCGAGGAGCCATTTCCTGGGCCGAGCTAGAACGTCGAGGCTTCTAACTGCCCTTCCTTAGTCCTCTACTCTTTCCAATCCCTCGACGCTCCGTATATCAAGTAGCAGCACTGCTGTCCGGAGCTGTCGACTGCCTCGGAGAGAGCGAGGCATCGGCGACACGTCTTTAAACATGGAAGCATCGTCGCCTCTGGCGGCTCTGCACCGCCCAATGCCTGCTCCTTCATGGGGAGGCAGAGACATCTTCCGTTCTCAGTTCAAGAACAAGTCTGCCTCGGGATCTCTCAGCCTGCGCGAGCAGCTGCATAAGGGCACAGGAGACCTCTTCGACATCAAGGGCGTCCGGGGATCGTCTCCTGCTGCGAGCCTGGCGGCTGATCTGTCCCAGAACTTGGAGATCGATAATGAGGCCAGGTTTGTCGTCCGCCCTGGACCACAATGCGTCTAAGACCATGATGCTAACAAGCGCCCAGTCCCAAGCTCCTGACGCCTCGACGAGCGCTTTTCACGGCAAAGGTTGTCGGCGACGTGAGCGGCCAAGGTATGGGGATTCTCGCGAGCTTCAGTAGCCGGACACGATGATGGTACTATGGCTGACACACCGCAGACTTTGTGGCAACTACTCCTCTGCCACCATCCTCGCCTATCCGGGCTCCCGGGACCATAGAGTCGTCCCCTCTCCCCCACAAGGTGACTTTCAGCAATGTCGTGGAGATTGCATCGCCCACACCTACTTCTTCGGTTTTCAACGACTCCCCCATGCTTGACTCTCCGGCCCCGATTTCGCGTCAACCGTCCCAGGAACCTCTGAGGCGCGCACGCCAAGCATCCTTGGAGCCGCTGAAGCCCATCGCTGCCGAGCCGGTGCAAACGCTTGTTAGACGCGGCCGAGGACTCGCCGACAGCGTGGCTAGCCGTAGGATAGCAGGCCCAAGGCGGACGACTTCTGGTCGGTTGAAGACGCTTTCCAGTGGTGGTCTATCTGGCTCTCAGACTTCGTCACTTCAGTTTGGAGCTGTTACCGCAACCCTTTCGCTCGACGAGTGTTTCGACTCCGCTTCTCCTCCACAAGATCGCAGCAGCAGCAGGCCTTCGTTGTCCAACAGCCCCTGCCCGCCCATTCCCATCGGTCTTCGTGCAAGGTCTCAATTCGCAAGTGTCGTCGCAGGGAACAACCGCAATGGCTCGCCAGGCGGCTTTCATTCTAGGAGACAGTCGAACCCGTTTTTGAGAACCCGAAAGCAATTCCGTCGCTCTTTGAGCATGTTTGAAAGCCCTTCGGACGTCATGAAGCCGAAGCCAGAGGCAGCCCTTGCCGCTTCCCCCATTCTCAAATCCTCCGTGGCTGACATTGAAGAGGCTCACGAGCCCATCATCCCTCATTTCCTCACCGATGATCCTACGGACACCATCCCTCGAATAACGAAAGAGACCATGCTGGCCATTTTGGATGGCAAGTACAGCGATAAGTTTGCTCAACGCATGGTCATCGACTGTCGTTTCGAGTACGAGTATGAAGGCGGCCACATTGATAGCGCTGTCAACCACAACAACAAGGAACTGTTGGCTAACCAGCTCTTCGAAACCCCAATGGACGGCTTGACTCTACTAATCTTTCACTGTGAATACTCGGCCCACAGAGCCCCCCTCATGGCGCGTCACATTCGCTCCCATGACCGCACCATCAACGCAGAGCACTACCCTCGCCTGACCTATCCGGAGATTTACATTCTGGACGGTGGCTACAGCGGCTTCTTTGCTGAGCACCGCTCGAGGTGCTTTCCTCCCGAGTACGTCGAAATGTCAGACGAAAAGCATCAGCGTACCTGTGAGAGAGAGATGGGTCGCCTAAAGGCCCGGAAGCCTTTTGGGCGTGCGCAGACGTTTGCCTTTGGCCAGCGGAGCACGAGCCTTCATGATTCTCCCACAGGACCATCTCGTCCTCACTCGCGGAACCGCAATGCTTCGCCCCCTCCTGCTGCTTCGTCCCCTGCTGCTTCCACCACCGACTCGCCCTGTGTTGGTGACCGAGCACAGAGTCGCCGCATGGCTTCCTACTAGTACTAGCCCATACCATACGACGCTTATGGTGTCCAATATGTGGTTTGTCCGGAGCTGCCGCTGGGGATTCTATGATTTCTTGACGAAAAGTTACGTCTTGCTTCTGGCGATGCATTGCACATGGACGTTGAAGATATCGAGAAGTCCAAGACCGGAATCACGCCTGGAGCTATTCTGAAGTCCCAGGTAGCATTGCTTATTTCCTCACGGTTGTCTTGGCTGCTGATGGACCGCAGCCTATTCTTTCCCTCCCTTTTCTTCCTCTTTTGACATTAATCTCTCCTTGTCCTCTCAATCCGACGTCAAGGTCTCATCGGACGGTCTTTTTCACCGTCGGACTCTACCTTGGGAGCCTTTTATGCGCCTTTCCGATCTCTCAGTCGTTGGATGTACCCGCTCGTATTGTCAGAACTTTTGCAGCATTGCCACTCTTCGACCTTGCGATCTCTATCGATGGAGGACTCACATCGGGTGTCGAGCACCCTATTGCGGGACACTACCTGCTCGTGTTATCTCCATGCCTTTTCCCCCATTGTCAGGAATGAATACCCCTCAACGCGCAAGATGCGCGTTGATGACCCCCCTTTGATCTTTGCATGTTCATACTTTTACTATAGGAGGGTGATCATCCCTCTGCTCATTGTAATGAGCCATGGAGCGCGGCAACTCGGGGCGGCGCTTGTGTTTCATTGTTGTAAGACTAGCTAGACAGTGAGAGATGTTTGTCTCGGCAGTTTAGGCTGTACATTATGCCGTGAAAGGACATGGACATAGATGCTTCAGCTAGCTTATACACGCCTTTGAAATATTGATGTCTTTCTCTCCCGAAGAAGTGTGCCAAAGTCTTGATTGTTCATATGGGTCGTTGAGACTTGTCAACGCCGTGGCCGATACTTTCGACTTGCATACATGTGGAGTGTTTGAACTTGTCCTGTCTCGTGAGCGATAAGCTCTTTGGTAAGCTGTGGGGGAACAAATGTAGCTGTCTTCATACCTACCTAGTCATGGGTCATTGAATATCTAACTAAAGGTAGGAGGGTCCGCCTAGGTATCCTTCTGAAGTGATAGCGTGATGAAATAGTTGAGGCATGTGGTGGTTTCACTCAACATTTTGCGGAGAAGAGCATCTAGCTCACTTGCAACTGTAAGAGCAGTGCGCCATTGATACTGTTCGTTACTTGAAAATTGCGGGTATAGGCTCGTCATTCCTCTACCGTTGAGAAAAGTTTTATCATTTTGAATTTTACTCATGCTATTGGGGTTTTAACCTATACATTTTCCCCGTGTAAGTTGCGTGTGAAAGTTGCACGCAATGCTGCGGGTCTTGTGAACCCGAAAACGCAGAAGACGATATATATGGGTACCCAGAAGTAGGAGAATCAAACGCCAAACCTTTACTGATGCTGCCGTCGAAGAATAATGCTCGTAATCACAGAGTAAAATCCCATTCCTTAAAGGCCTCCCGGAAGGCCTCCACGTCCCTCGTCTCCTCCTCCACAGACTGCGCGCAGTCCTGCCAGCTAACCCTGCTCTCGAGCCCCAGGAGCTTCGCCAGCACCCTCCTGCCAAACTGCAGGTCGAAGCGCGCGTCTCGCGCGAGCGGCATAACGAGGGACTTTCCCTTAATCTTGTCCTCGCCGTTGTCCGCCCACAGCCAGACGCGGAAGAAGTCGCCCGCGGTCGCCAGGTCCTGCAGCGGCATGTCCGCGGCGCTGAAGGCCGGGTACTGGAGATTCTCCGCCTCTACGCGGAAGGCTGCCTCCGCGAGGCCCTTTTGGATCAGGTCGGCGGGGACGGCGACGAGCTGCCAGATGAGGTGGACGTTGCGGTCGCGGCTGATTTCCCAGGTGACGGCGCCGAGCTTGTGCGAGCTCTTGGCGGCGATCATGGCCTGCAGGGACTCCTTGAAGCGTGACATCTCGTTGTACGCCTTGACCGCCTCGCTGGCGGGGTCCGCGGTGCTGCCCATGCTGGCTATCGTCGGGGCGTGCGGCAGCGGGATGATGATGAAGTGGCCGGGGAAGTTGAGCCCCTGGTCCGCAAACGTCGTGGGCGTCGGCAGGGGCCCCTTTGCGGTCGTGACGTACGCCTCGTCGCCGATGCTGCAGCACATGTGCGCGGAGATGTTGGGGTTCGAGAGGCAGAAGTAGCAGCGGTCGGGGCCCGGGGGCGGCGAGGCGCGGCGGCGCTTGTGGCGTCCGTGGTGGCCGTCGTGGTGGTTTCCGAAGCGGCTGTAGCCTCCCTCGTCTTGTCTTCCGCGCTTGTTGTTGGTGGTTTTGGATGCAAAGGGTGAGGCGGTGGCGCCGGGGGGGATGGTCGTGTCTGCGGGGTTGAGTGTGAAGGCGTACATTGCCTTTGCCTTTTTGTCGTTGCCATAGGGGGCCATGGAGATGAATCGTGTGGCGGAGATGATGCTGGGGTCTTTATCGGACTGCTGGACGAATGGCTCCCTTTCATAGAAGAAGGCGTCTGGGGAGGCTGAGATGTGATACCGAGGCTTCAAGGCGGCGCATAGATCTGCAATCTCCTCGGAGCTGCTCACAAGAGCCTGATGAGAAGGCTCGAGGACCACCTTGGAGCCAGTCCAGACCTTGGCCGGCCACATGGCGGTCAACAGGATGTCGGTGCTGTTGGCGCCTCGCAAGGCCTTTGCATCGCCTGCCGTGTGAAAGGGCAAGTGCTGTTCTTGTGATTGGCCGGCCACAAGGTTCGGATCGAGCACGCCGCCGAGAGTTACGATTCGGACGCCTTCGGAGGTCTTTGTCACGCTGCGCTTCCCGAGGTAGTGGAGGTTGGGACATATCTCTTCGTCTGCTTCGATCTTGGCTGCGATCCGGGGCGGCAGGGGATGAATGCCGACGGTGAAGTAAGTGGGAAGGGGAACCTCGATGGATCCCCCTAGCAGGGCGGATATCGTCTCGTCGTCGGTATCGGTGGTGAAGACGTCGCCTGCGAGGATGGCGAGAGAGAACTGGTTCTTGGCGTGGAGGGTGGCCAGCTTTTTGAATGCGGGCTCGAGCTGGCCATTCAGGCTACCCAGGACGATGCTAGCAGAACGGAGGATGTCAGTATGTTGAACTCTGTGAACGACGGTGTAATCCGTACATCTTGGGTGCAGCCATGTTGCCAGGATAACTTGAATTAAGATTGTATTTGTTGTGTCAGTATATGATAGTGTAAGGGGGAGGCATAGAGTGGTTGGCGTTGAAAGGCAAGGTCAAGGAGATGCAGCACAGAGTGATGTGTAAGTGTCAGTGGCAGCTTAACGCAGGTGAGATGCGCGAACACGCGACGTCAAAAGCTCGGTGCCGATAAGGAATTGCGCCTTACACGTGATTGGCCAATCGTGCGCACAGTGGAGCACCGCTGCTGCTTATCGGTTCGGCCGACAATCTGCCGACCAAAAAAATTTGGGAACTTTACAGTGGAGAGGAAACAGGATGAACCAGCTCCCGACTTTGGACGCTTCACGACCTGCGGCCGAAAACCTTTTCCTCAGCTTCCCCCAAAAGCCGCCGCCACGATGCCCGCCCGATCCTCCGGCCGCATCGAGAAGGCGCGCAAGAGCAAGAACTCGACGCCCCATCAGAAGAACCACCGGTGGGAGTCGTTTTCGACCAAGATTGCAAAGTTCAACTCGCTGCAGCCGCTGCGCAAGGTTCGCCGACATGACCTCGACACCGAAGACCTGGCCGCGACGACGTCCTATCTCCAGAACGGACTGCAGAAATGGAGCGAGCTCAACATCTCAAAGCCCTTCTCCTCGTTCAAGAGGGAGGTGCTCCCGCTGTGCGACAGCCTCCCGCAGATTCTGCACTTTGAGGAACGAATCATGGCGTCCTTCGCCAAATACATCTCGGAGCAGGACAAAGAAGGGCTGGAACCGCTGCTCGATCTGTTGACGGCATTTGCCCACGACCTGGGAATTCGGTTCGAAAAGTACTTTTCACAGAGTCTGGAACTCATCCTGGCCATTGCCGGACGGCCTCAGCCAGTCGAGGTCATCGAATGGACCTTTGGTGCCCTTGCGTTTCTGTTCAAGTACCTGTCCAAACTTCTAGTTCCGGATCTCCGACCGACATACGCCGTCATGGCACCGCTGCTCGGCAAATCCAAACATCCTCCGTTTATTGCCCGGTTCGGCGCCGAGGCCATGAGCTTTCTTGTCAGGAAAGCAGCGGCTCCTTCACTCCGCGAGACGGCCCTTGTGTCTTTCGTGGACTACGTGCGGAATGACATCTGCAAAATGTTGGAGGATAGGCAGTTCATGCTGTACAAAGATGGCATCATGACCATGTTTGCCGAAGCGATCAAGGGAACAGATCGAACCATCCACTCGACTGGACCCGCCATCTTCATCGAGCTCATCAACGCCATTCCAAAGGAGGAGTGCACACTGGCTGAGGTCACGACATGGACGGACTTGGTCTGTGGCGTTTTGACCAGCGTGATCCATCATACTGGTGCCGACACCTTCAAGGAATTTGCAGAGGCGGTCCTTGATAGATGCGAGGCCAAGATGAAGGAGCCTCATGACGAGGATTCCCAGTGGTGGATGGTGCCATATGTCAGGATTCTCGGCGTGCTCGCCGGTGTCCGAAAGGGAGGTCGGATTAGCGACTGGCCACGCCTCGTCCGACTCCTTGTCGAGCTCCTTTCGACAGCCACACGGCCTGTCGATGAGGCCACCGAGAAGAATGACCTGCTGTGGGCCTCGGTCGTTGTTAACGTGGCGATCGCCTGCCATCACGCCCCCATGGACTCCCTCATCCCTCAAATCACCCGTCTTCTTCAATGCCTGACAAGAGAGCCATACATGAGATTATTCATACCATTTTGTTCGTACTTTAGCGAGCTTGACCCGAGTCGATTCGGAAGCCTGTTCCGCAATGACTTTCAGAAGTAAGTTGTATGACCTTTACCAATTGGCTTCAGGCGTGTGCTAACATTGCCCAGGTTCATCGCAACCCATTGGTCTCAGGGACAAAACGAAGACATGCTGTGCATCTTGTTGCCGAAGATCATCGAGAATCGAGGATTCCCGCCTGCTGGAGAGAAAGACTGTTGCAGACTGCCTCAAGCATGGCAGGATCAGATCGTTTCCAGATTTGAGAGCCTGGAGATATCGCCTTTCCCCGAAAGAGGACCTTACGATAAGGACCCTCAAACCTGGAGAGACCGATGTCTTCCCAAATATGCCGCTCTCCTCCGAATCCTCGAGTTGACTTCTGTTCATCCATCGACCAACGCACGAATTGCCGAGCTTCTGTTGCGCAAACTCAAGCTCGCCCTTCGGCCCTCGTCTTCACTCGCCTCTGACGAGGTCAACTTCATTGTCAGCCAAGGGTTCCATGCCTACCTGGGGATGAGCAAAACTGCAGGTTCCACTGATCCAAAACTCGCTCCCCTACTCCGAGCAGCCGTACCGCGATTTGCACGGTCTGTGGGCTTCCTCCGGACCTATCTGGCCTACGAGCAAACATTCCCAAACGGGCAGGAAGTTGACAAGAACGAGGGGTCCGGCAGCGACACCTCAAACCCTGAAGATGATCCAGTGATCCAGTCTCTGGTTGACAACCTGACCTCCCCATCTCATGACATTCGGCTGGCATCATTGGAATTACTGAGCAAGATGACCAACGCGCCGAAACAATCTCAGTGTGTCGAGATCATGCTTCAAATTGAGCAATCTCCGTTGACGCTGGACCATACTCGATCAATCGCCATGTATCTGCGCAAGCTTGGGCAAGAATATGGCTCATTGACAGACTCGACTTGGCTGAAGAAGGGAATACCAAACTTCATGTTCGGTATGCTGACAGTCAACCTGTCCCCAGTCTGGGACGACTCAATCGAAGCTATGAAGCAGGTTGCCGAGAGTAAATCTGGCGAAGATGCTATCGCTGCCACCGCATTCCGATGGCTGGAAGTCCCATCGCCGCGATGGACACCACCGCAATCCGACAGTGGCTCTCCTCGCTCTTTCTACTCGGACTTCGAATGCACCGCTCTGAACTATCTCCAGGCGGCAGCAAAGAGAGTCCAAGAAGCCTCCGACACTTCAAATGATATGATGCTGCAGAAGTTTGACGACAGTCAGAGACTGGTCGAGCCGTTCTCAACAAACGCCAAGGCCCAGGCGCTGAAGGTCTTTAAAGCACTGCCTTCCATAGCCGAGAGAAGGTCCCGCCAGCTTGTGCCTCATCTATTTGCCTGGGCTCGGGAAGAGGAGGATGCGCCTGACGCCAACGGTGAAGATGACGCTCAATCTCAAGCAGCATTCTGGTCATTGGCCGACAGAAAGGGGCTTGTCGCCGTGTTCGCACAGTTCATCAACCCGAGAGTCTTGTACCAGCATGAACAAGTGTACGAGGTCTTGCTGCAACTGCTGGCGAATGGTGACTTGGACGTCCAGAAGCTCGCTTTGAAGGCCATCTTAGCATGGAAGCAAGATGGCGTGAAGACTTATCAGGAAAACTTGGAGTACCTTCTCGACGAAGCTCGTTTCAAGAACGAGATTACCGTCTTCCTCCAGGGAGACACTGCCATCAAGCCTGAACACCGAGCCGAGCTCATGCCAGTTCTCCTTCATCTCCTGTACGGTCGTGCGATCTCGAGAAAGGGCGGAGTTGGCGGCCGTCATGGTCAGCAAACCACCCGACTCGCCATTCTCAGGAACCTATCTATTGAGGACCTCGGAGGCTTCCTCGACATTGCCGTAGGGAAGCTTAAGGGCGTGCGAGTGGCTGGGCCGGCGGTGAACCGGAAGAAGCTTTTCGACCAAGAAATCATCACGGTGCGAAAGCAATTCGGTTTCTTGAACATGGCCCAATCTCTCATCTCCGAACTCGGCACCAACGTATCTCCTTATATGGACATACTTGCCAACACAATCCTGTACTGTCTCGTCTTCTCTTGCAGGCAACTGAGCGGGACGTCTGCAGAAGCGGATCCCGATGCTCCTGAAGAAGAGGAAAAGGCCAGTAACCACTCTCTGCTCAGGTCGACGAGGACAATGGGTCTCAAGTGTTTGATTGCTCTCTTCCAAAATGCACAGGACTTCCAATGGGAGCCGTATCAGGACATCATTCTCGAGGAAGTGGTGGCACCTAGACACGAGAATCTGCCATCTGAGACTGCACAGGGCGTGTCGGGCATGCTGCAGCTGTTCTCGACATGGTCCAATCTCCCGAAGGCGGCCCTGTTCCTCGCTCCTCACGGCGATGCGCTGCCGGATGGTGTTTTACCAAAGGTTATTGCATGCATAGCTTTCGAGAAGTCGAAAGAGTCAGTCAAGATATTCGTCATGGAGATTCTCTGCAGCTTGGCCAGGCTGGCCTTGGCTCCTGCTAGCGAATCCGAGTTCAACGAGATTATCAAAGCCGAGCTTCTGGATCCCAACGCAACCGCGATCCTGGACAATATCACCACGGTCTTGAGGATTGGTGATATCAGCAATGCGCTCTTGGAAGCTGGCATTGAGACCATCCTAGCTCTAGCCCCCATGTTCCAGAGCCTGGAACATGTTCAAGCAGTCATTCGAATTTCGAGCTTCTTACTCCAGCAACCAGCACGCCGAGTGAACCCCAAGCTCAAGGGCCGAATCCTCTTGGTTATCGAGAACTTTGCGTCGCTACCGGATGCTGCAAAGGATGAGGCGCTGCTTCAAGAGGTGTACAAGACCGTCTCTGCCCTTTTCAGCTACTTCAAGGACCGAGAAAACCGCGCGTCGTTGTGCCGTGTTCTGCTGGCCATCTCGAAACAGGATGCCGAGATTGAGACTGTCGCAAGCCTATGCAACGAGCTGAACCAGTTCAAGGAGGGTCGCATTGACGAGCCGGACTATGACAGGCGGCTTGCCGCGTTTAGTGCCATCTCGAGCATTCACGGTGTTCCATGGACTCCTAAGCAATGGCTGCCAGTTCTTCACAACCTCATCTTCTTCATCCGCATGGATGAGGAATTCGGTGTGCTGTCGTCCAACGCCGCTGATGGAATTCGACGTCTGATTCAAGAAGTGGCGGACTGCCAATCCCAAGACACAAAGGCCGTCTTTGATGACTACCTCAAGCAGATCCTCATGCCCTCGATTTACGGCGGGGCTCGAGAAGAGTCGGAAACCGTGCGACGAGAGTACCTTCGTGTCCTGGGCTTCCTTCTCACTACAATGCCCGAATGGGCACCGGTGGCTGACCTTGATGGTCTCCTGAATGAGCGTCAGGAGGATTCTTCCGAACCGACGTTCTTCTTCGATATCCTCAGTCCAGCAACCTCAAAGCAGATGGATGCTATGCGAACACTGGAAGCGGCCAACGCAAGCAAAGAGATGGGCAGCCAGAACCTGACGCAGTTCTTCATCCCCTTACTGGAGCACTTCATCTTCAGCAGAGCGGACGGCGGTGACGATCATGGACTTGGTGCGCAAGCAGCAAACACAATCAGCAACCTGGCCATGTCTCTCAACTGGAACCACTTCCGCACAACATTCCACCGGTACATTGGATACATCGAGTCGAGGCCGGAGCAACAGAAGCATACCATCCGTCTTCTGGGCAAATTCACTGATGCCCTGTTGCTATCGCTGCCTGGGAGTCGAGATGCCGAAACGATGGAGGTAGACCAGGAAGAGAGTTCGTCTTCTGCAGTACGGCGCTTGCGTCTGATGGCCCCAAAGCCTGCAGAGCTGTCTACCCAGATCAACGACTACTTCCTCCCGCCACTGACCAAACACTTGCACCAAAAGGACGAATCCGAGGTCAGCTACCGTGTCCCCGTCGGTATCACCATCATCAAGCTCTTGAAGCTGCTTCCCGGTCCCCAGATGGACCAGAAGTTAGCTGGCGTCCTGACCGACATCTGCCATATCCTGCGTAGCAAATCTTGGGAGGCAAGGGAGATGACCCGAGATACCCTTGTCAAGATTGCCGTTCTTCTGGGCCCTACCTTTTTCGGGTTCATTCTGAAGGAGCTTCGAGGCGCCCTCACCAAAGGCTACCAGCTGCACGTTCTTTCATATACTGTGCACTCCATCCTGGTTCATACCGTGCCTCAGTTCTCACCTGGCGACCTCGATCACTCCCTTTCTGCAGTTGTCAACGTGATCATGGACGACATTTTTGGCGTCGTTGGCCAAGAGAAGGATGCCGAGGGCTACGTGAGCCAGATGAAGGAGGTTAAGAGCAGCAAGAGTCAAGATTCTATGGAACTGCTTGCCAAGAACGCATCAATCAGTCGCCTCATTGAGCTTGTGCGGCCATTGCAGGCTATGCTGATGCAGAAAGTGGATCTGAAGATTGTTCGCAAGATTGACGCCCTTCTGACTCGCATCACGGCGGGACTTTTGCAGAACCCGGCTGCCGAGAGCCGAGACACTCTGGTGTTCTGTTACGAGGTCATCCAAGAGGTGTACAATGCACGGAACCCGGAGGCCGAGCCGAAACTGGACTGGAAGACTCGAAGGTATCTGGTCCAGCGAGGAGCCAAGAAGAGCGGCGACAGGGGCCAGACCAGCAAGCATACATACAAGCTGACTCGCTTTGCCTTCGAGATGCTGAGATCGATGGCGAAGAAGTACGATAGCCTGCGAACCCCCGAGAACCTTGCTGGTTTCATTCCCATCATCGGTGATGCCATTCTCGAGGGCGAAGATGAGGTCAAGATTTCGGCCTTCCGACTCTTGGCAGTCATCGTCAAGGTGCCCTTTGGGACCAATGATGGAAACAACGTCTACAAGATTGCCGTCAAGGAGGCCACAAGGTGCATCTCAATGTCCACTTCGACGACGACCGAGTTGGCACAAGCGGCTCTGAAGATGCTTGCCGTCGTGCTGAGGGATCGTCGGGATATTGAGATCAAGGACGCTGCCATCGACATGCTGCTGGGCAAGCTGAAAGACGACTTCACAGAGCCGCTGTATCGACACATCACTTTCAATTTCCTGCGCTCTGTTCTCGATCGCCGCATCGAGACTGCCACCGTCTACGATACTCTGGACCAGGTGGGCACGGTCATGATTACCAACGACGACAAGGACACGCGGGATCTGGCACGAGGCGCCTTCTTCCAGTTTATCCGGGACTACCCCCAGATGAGGTCCCGCTGGACAAAGCAGCTCAACTTCGTGGTCGCCAATCTCAAGTACGATCGCGAGGGCGGCCGTCTCTCCGTCATGGAAGTGGTCCACCTGCTTCTCATGAAGTCGGCCGACGATTTCGTCCAGGAGGTTGCGGCAACCTGTTTCCTGCCGCTGTTCCTGGTCCTCGCCAACGACGACAGCGAAAAGTGTCGCCTCGCGGCCGAAGCGCTGATCAAGGAGATCTTCCGCAAGGCCGACAAGGAGCGAGTGCTTGCGTTCCTGAACCTGCTTCGGTCATGGCTCGGCAAAGACGGGAATGCGACGGTCGTCAAGCTTGCCGTGCAGCTGTTTGGCTACTACTTTGAGTGCAACGAGGACGCTGCCAAGAACAAGACAGACTTCAAGCTCATCTTCGACAAGGTCGTGGGTATCCTGGGCTCTGGAGATGTCCGCGACGTCGATGGGGGACTTGTCTGTGCCTCGATCGGTGTGGTACGCACCTTTACCACAATCTTCCCCGACAGGACACTGTCTGCCAACAGAGAAGAGCTGTGGGCCAAGCTGCCACGCTGCCTCGGGCACAAGGAGACGTCGGTCAAGCTGGCTGCCGTCCAAGTGATCAGTCTGTATCTCGCCGACTTTGCCAAGGGAGGCGCCAACACTCCGGCAGGTGAGGATGTCGAAGGATCTTATGGCCTTGCGCTCAGGGCCAGCCACGTGCAGGAGCTCGTTCGCCTCGCGCTCAGTGCCTTGAACGGCCATGAGGTGGATGAGAGCCTGGCACACGAGCTGGGACAGATCCTCATCTTCCTCGGACCCCGTCTCCCCGTCGGAGAGTCGCCCGATGCTTCTTCAGATGCCGAAGCCGAGACGGAGGAGCTCGAGGCCGAGGACAAGGAGGAAGCCAGTGCCAAGCCCAAGGACTTGCAGTACCTGTTCTGGCGCCTGTCTCACATCCTGCGCAAGGAGATCCGGCCCAACGCCGTCGCCATTGCGCCCAAGGTCGTGGCCATGGAGGTGCTGGAGACGGTCTGCCGCCGCTCCTCACTCGACCGGCTCCAGCCCTCTCTGCGCACCATCCTGACGCCGCTGCACAACCTGACGGACCCGTCGATCCCCGCGCCGTTCAGCATGGACGAGGCGTTCAAGACGAAGCACGAGGGCCTCAAGACGCGGGCGCAGATCATGATGGACTCGCTGCAGAAGAAGTTTGGCACGGCCGAGTACAGCAAGCAGCTCATGGCCATCCGCGACGAGGTCAAGGCGCGCCGTCTGCAGCGGTCGAGCAAGAGGAAGATTGAGGCGGTGGCGCAGCCGGAGAAGTACAACAAGGACAAGAGGAAGAAGTTTGAGAAGAACAAGGAGCGCAAGAAGACGCGGTCGAAGGAGCAGAAGGTGATGAGGCAAGCGTATAAGACGTGGTGAAGAATCTGAGAGGGCGTGGCATGTGTCGTACGGCGAGCGGCGTTTTCTTATAGACTGATATGTTGGGCATCTTTAATGGCGTTTCACGAAGAAAAAGTAATTCTGTGATTGTTTGTCAATCAATACCATATATATATTTACATATACACATATACTGTTTGCTAGAATCGAGTGTATAAGCATCAGAGAGAGTTTCTTTCAAACTCCCCCTTTATATGCCGTCGCTGCTTGTCAAAGATTTGCGAGGTTCCCTGCAAATGATCGTTGACGCCGTAGATGTAGCTTTTCCATATAGTCGTACAATAGCCATCCTCACAACATCTTCATCCAAAAAGCCTCCCAGTTCCCCCTTCCTAATCATGACGAACCCCCAACTTTCTTCTCTGCTTCATCCGCCAACTGCTCCTCCTGCACCACCTCCTCCGGCCAAAACTCAATATCCCCATCCTCCCCCAGCGAACCCCTCTTGACCAGCTGTCCCTTCTCCCGCATGAGGTCCTCGACCGTAATCTTGCGATCGCCAAAGATGTTCAAGTGATCGCTAATCACATGTCTGTTCCGACAGCTCGGACACGTGATGAGCGTGGACCCGTGGTGGTACGCCTGCTTGGAGACGTTGTGGTGCGAGCGGTGGCCGCAGGGCTGGCAGGTGAAGGAGAGCTGGTAGAAGGCCGGGCCTTTTGGCTCGGGGCGGTGGCTTTCGCTGGCGGGAGGATCGGCGGCCGTGGAAGAAGGCTCCTTTGGAGGAACGTGTTTTCGTGGAGGAGGGCGGGGGATTGCGTGGGCGTAGCCACGGGGGTGGATGCGGGTGAGGATTCCTGTTGCGGTTGTTGTTGTTGGTGGTGAGGATGAGGATGGTCGGAGGAGGGCGGATTGGCGGAGGGCGGACTTGGGGAGGGATGTTGTTGGGCGGAGGAGGTGTGATAGTAGAGATGATGCTGGTTTCGTGGCCATGGCTGCTTTGTCTGTCTGGCGCGTGAATTATGGCGTTTGAGTGGTCTGGTTGAAGAAGAGGAGAGAAGCTGGAGAACGAGGTTTGGTGATGGTGTTGTATGTATGTACGATGGCGGAACTTTTTCGGCGCCGGACGTCATTTTGCGATTTTGCCGTTTGCTGGGGACGAGGTACGTACCGCGGTGTTCTCGGGAAGTGGTCTGTGCGCGGGCGTGGATGGATTTCCTAATGGGGTAATCGGCGTCGGGCTCTCGAATGAACTTGCAGCAGCTTAACAGCTCGCATTATCTTGAATGATGAGGGCAGTTTTGGCCGCATTGTGCTTGTTCATATCTATAGTTACTAGGAATAGCTTGAACGGGATAGAGTTGTATGTCTTTGATGCATCATACCATCAGATGTTAGAGACTGGCTTTATCTCCTCGCAGAAAAATCGCAGTGGACAGCGGCTGTCTACTAGCAGTGATTTGATGCCAGAAACAAGGGGAACGGACGGCTTCTCGCGTCGACAAGGTATCAGTTGCAGCTTCCACGAGGATCTGGATAATCCAGTCTCATCAGAAGCAAGTCGTTTCAACTTATGCCGTATTATCGCTTCCCACTGTAGTCAGTTGACCGCTTCTGGTTTCCTCGCCGACCTGTTGCAGCCATGCGTGCCTTCTCACTTGGCCTATTGTGAACATCATATGATCTGCCAGTCTTCTTCTACGCCTCAGAGTCTCCATCTATGCCTCTCTTCTTTGCATACTGCTCCCGTCAAGTGTTTCCTTGAAAACCCTTTCTTGCTACACACTCCCCTTCTAAAGACTGCTCAACATCACCGGCAACACTACTCTCACTTTGTCTTGATCTATCCAGTACCGTGGACCTATCAGATCTTCACAATTTCCCCCATCCGAGCACCTACAACCTCCGGAGACAGCCTTGAAAGAGAAAAATGCACCTCATCCGCATCATCCAATGTGTTATTCCCTTCGTCACTCTCTGCCTCGCCCAGGCTGATGATCGATCCCTTACCCTCAACCTGATCAACCAGGCTCGCGCGGCTCAAGGAGTCCAGCCTCTCACCTGGAACGACAACCTGGCCTCTTATGCCCAGTACTGGGCAAACATCATGGCGGCTGGCCAGCAGCCCTTTTCGCACGCTCAAGGTTCTTACCGGCCTCAGCAGGGAGAGACGCTGTTCGAGTACCAATCGTCCCAATGCGATGCGGCCTACGACAGCCCCCTGCAGAAGGCCGCACAGACTTGGCTAGCACAGGCCTCGCTCTACAGCGGAGCGCCTATCGCGGATGGACACGAGCCCTGGCTTCACTGGTGTATGTGATGATGATGATGATGATGATGATGATGATGCTTCTATAGTCATTGTATTGCTGACATCAAATGGCTTACAGCACAGTGCATGTGGTCGACGACGACGCAGATTGGCTGCGCTCGAGCCTACAGCATCTCGGAGGCGTACAAGGTGTACGACGTGTGCCGCTTCTTTCCAGAGGGCAACATGTAGGCAATCCAGATGCTAATTTGTCTCTGAGGATTCATATCGCTAACTGCTGCTCCACAGAGTTGGACAGCGGCCGTTTTAGGTGCCTTTTGTCAAGGCAGCTGATGATGGTTGGCATGGTTGGCGAGGGTATGCTCGATGGTCGTATTGCCAGCCTCGTGGAAATGGTAGTCAATATCTGCAGCAAGACAATGCTTCGGTAATAATTGGAAGTCTACAAAGTTGGCTCCAAGCAAGAAAATCGTCTTGTAGCTTGTGATGTGTCTGTGATGGCGTCTTTGATGGGAAAAAGAAGGCAACCATGTCCAGAGTACAGGGTAGCATTGCAGTACTCGTAGATAGTACTTGCACAAATGTAGTTTGTCCCCACCGCTCCTTACATAAGCAAATTCCTCCCATCTCTTGACAAGGCAGAGAGAGAAAAGAAGACAAGCCAAATTTTGGGGCAAGACAAACACGCGATCCAACGTCCACGAGTCGCGACTTCGAACCTGCGCCGCCTCATTGCCCGGGTTTCCCGCTTCCGCTCCTCCTCTCGCCTCCATCACCATCTCCATCTGCTCCTCGTCCATTCGCGTCCTGTTTCTCACCCCCCCTCCATAGCCCGCTGCCCCGGCAATTCGAATTCCAAGCATCCTCGCAGGGCTGCCTCTGTCGGCTGCGATCTTCCCTCCCAGCGCGGGGACTCGCCAGCTTGCGCCCGCGTTGTGCTCCCTCGCGCGATGAGATAGCCGACAACTCTGTCCTCCAACCCAGAAGAAGAAATCCGCAATGGAGCGATCAAAACCCCAGGCGTTCCTGTCCTCGTATGCGCCGCGACTGCGCACCTACAACAACTCTCTCTTGACGCCCGTCCTGCCGAGTGCGCCGACGGGCCCTGTTTCGCGGACGACCAAGCGAGGAACCACCATCATCAACTACGCAGAGGACGGCTAC